CAGAAGAAGAGAGCAGACAAGACCCAGAAGCACGAAGAAATGTGCATATTAAGATAAGAATGTAATTTTCAGACTCCATCTACGTCCCCAACTCCGTCTCAAACTCACCATCTCCATCTCCGTCTCCAACTGCAACGCAGCACCAAGCTCGACAGTGGCCGTCAAAAGTTGGCGGCCAAGGAATGCCAACAGTTTCAGTTTCGGGCATGTAGCACCATGTTACATGCAACATACATGGTACAACATGCACTCGACTTGCAACTGGTTCGTACACCGGGGGGAGGCAATGGATTCTAGGCTTTGTCTGAGTCGTCAGTCTGGTTATTTTGATTTTTTCTCTTTTTTTTCGCCTTAAGCTCTGAAATGGGTCAATTTAGTGACAAGCGATACAATGTCGCCTCACAGTTGCAACTACCTCTTAGATGGCACATAACAATCTTGGTTAATGATCGATTTTCTTTTAGATGGGATGGCTGCGTAGTTTTTAACAAGAGAATCTTAAATATTTAATTTTGTGCTTTCAGTAAAAGATTAGCAGTGAATCATTAACAGTGAATCACTAAAATTTGCAGAACTAACTATTGGATAAAATCACGGAAATATAGCTTTAATCTAAAAATATAATGTAAACATATTGCGAGATTCAAATGCGCATTTTTTACATGTCGTTACTCATTTTATCAAAATAATACACCCACAAAATACAAAAATAAATAAACCGGATATAGCATTGCACTTGGATCACTTGGCTGTAATCAAGTGGCATTTTCGAGGGCAATATCAGTTGGCATTGAAGTGCTCTGCTCTGATCCGGTTGCACTGGGCGTGGGTGCATACAACAATGTTGCGGCAACGTTCTATGCCATAAAGGAAAAATGGAAATTCGGGGGAAAAGTAAGAGGCGGAAACTTCAAGGCGTCAATAAATTAGAGCAAAATGGTCGAGCCCAGAAATTCAGTGTCTCACTTATCAATCGAACAATTATTGTTAGCTGAAAAGGTTTTCAAGCGACCCACTCGCAATTGGCCAACACGCAAACTGAACTAGTCACGAAACCCTGACTAGACCTGGCCCACAAATTTTGGGCCAACTTCGCAATCGCCAAAGTAGAAGAAAAAAACGCCTTTGCTTATTAACACAACCCACTTAAATGCTCGTGCCGCAATTCAATAATAAATGCAACAAAGTAACCGAAAAGAAAGGTTAGCCAAGCGAATAAATGCAAAACGATTTTTGACAAATTGAGAGTCAAAATGTTAATAATACTAATATATTAGCAACGGTACATTGCAGCAACTTTCAATCTAAACTTTCGACTTAAACGAATGCCAAACCGATCATGTAAATACGTTACTAGATGTAAAAAATAAAAAATAAAAATAAAAATATAAAAAAAAACTTTATCATTACCAGTGTTTATTAGCACTGTTCAAGGTGAAAAAGAAGAATATGTTTGGCATACTTTGCATTGATTTTGTTGGCTAGGTCAGGTTCATTTCTGTACAGTGTGACAAAGTCAACAGAACAAGTTAAGATTCCATATGAAAAATAAAATTAACTTCCATATGTATATATATATATATATACACATAAGTATTAAACTTACCAATCGTAAATCCTGCACAGCGTCGATATCTTAACTAAAATCCAAATAACTAACTTTCTTCGCACTCTGGCAAAAATGCACTTTAGCAAAAAGCGTCAATAACCAATTTTTATTTTGCTATAGGCCACCTTTTATGGAGCTTGTTGATGGGCAATTGAAATGTTGCTTATTTATAAAAATAACACACACACACAGCTAAAGTTAGCGCAATTTTTAATAGACCATAAATATTTTTTATAGATTTGCAAAGAGCTTCAAAGTCACACCAGAAAACGATATAAAAAACGTAGTGCAGAAAAACATGCCACGACGGAAAGCGCGTCAAAAACGAACGAGCCTAAAACGGCGACTGAACCTGAACCGGAGCTCAGCTTCGAACTTTGAGAGCCTCACACATACACACACACATATTTATATATATGTAAATATATATATATATATTTATACATATATACATATACGCTCTCTTGCTCTCCCGCTCTCTCTTGTGTATGTGTGGGAGTGCAAAACCAGTTTGTTTGAGTTTAACTGCCTGCCACATGTGGCAAATGTGTGTTTGCTTGTTGCGTTTGTTCGATCGGTCACTCCACCACCCCTTTCCCCTCCCCCTCCCCTACTCTATCTTCTCTCTTTCGCTTGGCTTGCGATCACTTGATCCGTCTCTGCCACTCTCTCTCTCTCTCTCTCTCGCTGCACGTTTTATGCTGCGTTGCCAGCAACTTTTAAATTAAAAGCCAACGGCTTCGTCGTCGTCGTCGTCGTTGATATTGTTTTTTATTTTTTTTTTTTTTTAATTTTTTCTCTTTTTTTGTTATTCTCTTTCTTCTGCTGCTTTGTTTGTCACATAATCAAAACAAACGCGCTTTTCGATCACGATGCGTTCTTTGTTTTTGTTATTGTTTTGACTTCTGGTTGGTTTTTCTTCTAGCTCTGCTCTCGCTCTCTCTCTCTCTCTCTCTCTCTCTCTCTCTGTCTCTCTCTCGTGTTTCTTCGTTACTCGCACATTGCACATTGTGCTTGGCTCCGCCGCAGCTCATTAACTTTTTACAGCTACCGTTTCTTCTACATACTACTTTGTATTTATGTGTGTGTGTGTCTGTAATTAATTTGATGGCACCGGAATTGTAAGAAGCCGCCAAGAAAAACCCACAAAGCAAACTCCAGCTAAAAAGTTACCGGTTAATTCCGAGGCTGTCGTAAATTGCCTCGCGTCAAATCAAATTAGTTTCAGAGTTCAATCTGTTCAAACATCCCCGAGAGCCTTCGGAGCCGAATTGAATCTTTATTAGTTATCTCTTTTGTTTTTTATTCCCCCAAGTTGACCTTTTGAAAAGCTATGCTCAACTTAATGATTTTCACAATTAGATCTGTGCACTAAGATAACAGCTAACAAATTATTGCTTTTATGTAAACATACAGTTTGTCAATGTTAAAGTTAGTGAGTCTTCTTATATTATTTTTTAATTAGTCTTAAGAACTCAACTTAAAGTAGAAAAATAAGAAGAATGAAATAAAAGTGAATAATAATAATATATGTACATTTTTTTTGCAAAGAAATGAGAAAAGTTGAATTGTTTTGCAGTGTTTGAATACTTTCTTGAAAAACAATTTGAATGTGTGTACAATAAAAGGAAATTATTTATGATGATATAACTGAAAAGATGCTAAACGTTTTAGCAGAGAGACTAGAACTATAAATAAATATAATTATAAATAGTAATAATATACAAATAAATGTTTGCTTCGCTACACAGCACTAATGCCAGGAAGTTCTTTCGAAACGTATTGCGTGCTGCTCACGTGACACGAGTTCGAGCACGAAAACAACGCCAGCACAAAGCAAATGCAGGATCCTAACTGCATCTACCCATAACACACCCAGCTCAAAAAGCAGAAAGCAGTTAAATTAAAGCACAAGCGTTGCTTGCGACCCACGTCAAAAGGGACATGGCAAACAGACAGACAGACAGACAGACGTATAAATGCAATTGAGAGGCATGGATGCCTATTGCATACATACACATACACATACACAAACACATATGTATACAAATACACACATGTTTGCATGCACGTATGTGCGTGTATATATTCAAGATGTCAGCAGCGACAGACGGCAGACGTGGCAAAGCTTTTGGCTGAGCCAGACGAGTCAGAGACGCATCTTGACAACCTGCAATCAAGCGCCAGCAGGCAGGCGAGGCAGCAGCATGTTGCATGCTACAAGCAGTCGCGTAGGCAACAAACGTCATGGCGACATTTGTGGCGAGGCTTTAACTTAAATTATGCAGCAAACATATAAGGTCTCGCCAGTGTGCCATAATGATGCCAATGCATGGTCCATAATCAAGTTGCCTCAACAATTGCAACTGCAACATGGCCATGGTCGTTGCTGTCATTGTAATTACATGTGTGTATGTATATACATATATATATATATATATGTGTGTGTGTGTATGCCCCCGAAAGCAACAGTCAAACGAACTGTCGAAAAAAAAACAATGAAAAACGGACATCAACCACAAGAAACAATTAAGCTTTGCTGCAGCAATAAGCTAAGGAGCACACACACACTCGCATTAGTTTTGATAGGTAAATTGGAACTAAAAACTACCAATTTGAGTCAACAGCTGGATTCAAATAAACCACGTGCCGAGGCACGAAGCACTTTGCACCTGTGGCTGGCCACACATAAAATTTAATTATCGATTAAGCGACAATTTAAGTGCCAAAGTTTTTGGCCAGAACCCTGCGAAGCACGAGCCAAAACTACAACCTTTGCAGCCGGCTTTTATCCAGAGGGGGAATATACAACAGCAAACAGAGTCAAAGATCAGGGGCTCTTCGTAAAGAAAAAAAAAGAAAGAAAAAAACCGGTTGCAGAGTGCTGCTCCCACAGGCAATGCATAATTTAGCTTGCATGTCGACGACGTCGGAGAAGACTTGAGAAGTTGTTCAAATAAAAAAAATACAAGCGAGCCATGGGGCTCAGCTTTTCAATTTTGTGTAAGATGGCACAGCGCTCCCATTAGACGTAATCGTGCCGCAATTGTCGTTGATTGTTGTCGTTTCTTCCCCTCCCCCTTCACAGCTGTCTCAAAATGCAGCTGATTAGATAAAATGCGTGCGAATCTTCAATTGTAGATCTCGTCAATTTATTTAGATCAACACAACTAGATATGTTTGTAGTTGCTTGACTTGCTTCACATTTGCAAACAAAATTCTCTTTCTCTACAAATTGAAAAGTGAGTTTTGAAATTTAAATCTCGCGCCAAACAATGTATATCGAACCAGAACCAGTATGGCTTCTCAAATGTTATCGAAGCACTGTGCGCACTGTGCTGTAAAGTAAGAAACGAGAGCAAGCAGCTGTTTGCTTTTTAATAAATAAACATAAATAATAATGAAACCAACCAAGGGACAAAAATCAGCCCAATGCTATCGCATTAGCAATGGCAATAAGAAACTAATGGTGACCGGCAAAGGACGACTCTCCGTCTCACACAACCCGATACACAAACGATGCATTCAAACAAAATTGTCGAAACGCGTTCAGCGAAAGAATTCGCCGCCAGAAACTATGGATGAATGCCCCGAAGATGATCTGTCCCCATTCCATGACATGGAGTTCACTGCGAACGCAGATGAGGTATGCTAACCATACACACATATATATCATATATCAATTTCAATGGTAAGCTCTCATTACAGCCGGAGCAGGATGACAGTCAGAATCGTGTTCTGAATTCATTGAAATCCAAATTGCGACCGCTTTTCCAATTGTTCTCGGAGGATTCGTGTTCACCCACAAAGCCGACAGGAACTCTCGAACCGCTCCAACCTGACAAACCACAAATTATATACAAAAATATTTGTCTATCCTCGTCGGATGAATCATCGTCACTGCATGAAGAATGCAATTTATCCTCCACGGATATCGATGTTCGTCGTAGTCGTATTAAGTCCATGGATGCCGCGGAAGTAGCATCCAATTGCCCAGGACTAAATAGATTCGAATGGTCGCCAAAATCAACCAATATATTGCTGGATTTGTGGGAAAAGAATTTGAGAGATATTCGCGGCACGAGAAAAAATTCGCAAATTCACAAAGAAATGGCGCAAGAAATGATTGATTATGGGCCAAGCCACCGGGAAATTAAACATAAAATGGACAACATGTCCAGAAAATACAGGCAAGTAAGAACAAACAGAAAAAAATGATATATATTTATTAAATATTTTGTAGGTTGGAAGCACAAAAGATTAAAAGTGGAACTGCGACGAATTGGCGATATTTCAAAAGAGTCCAGTTGCTTTTAATTGGAACACCTTCTGTTGACTTTGAAGAGATAATATTTGAAAATACGGGTTTGTATTCGTTTCGCTTGCATTCAAACACATAGAAATTCATTTTCATAATTGCCCAATGCAGATTCGACGACATTTTTCAATGCGGACACCAGTGATGAAAGCAGACAGTTCAACGAGAATAATCTGCCAAAGTTGCCACAAAGAGAACCAACGCCCATAGAAGAAGTGACACAAGCAGAAGAAGACGAGGAGGAACAGGAGGAGGAAGTATTGGAGGAACCCGGACAACATATTGAGGAAATGAAAGATCATCCGTCTCCGCACCGAGTGAAATACAAAACGCATGTGAAAACGGAGCCAAAAGTTGATCAAATGCTACAAATTGAGGAGGAAAAATTGCTGGTGGAAAAGCAAAAACTTCGGGTCATGCAACACATATCCAGAGAACTAGCATCGATTGGCAAAACGCTAGTTGAACTACTGCGAAATGCAAAGAAAAAATAAAATACCCTTCCAGTTTTCATCCAAGTCGAAAAGGGTCGATTTCTTTAATGTTGCTTAAGCCAATGACAGTGTCAAATAAATACCAATGATGCTCATTATTTCCATTTAAATTAAAAAAAAAAGTGCTTGAAATGTCCTGCGTCCTTGAGTTGGCGCCAATGCAAATTCAGGTCTGTTGGTATTTTTCGTAAATTTATTGATTTTGGGTATTTTTGCGTTACGCAAATGCGGTCACACTGCCTCGCACGCTATGGCAAATGCAGGAAAACAAATGATGTATATTTTAAATGTGCCCGAAGAGGAGGCCAAATGCACCGAATCCCAGTTGGATATATTACTGAAAATCCACGATGGCCAATATCGCCTCGTGAAGAAGAACAAACGCAGCTCCGTGTGGAATGTGTACCGTGAAATTGCACGACCCGATGGCACCAAGCTCAAGTGGAGATATTACTGCCTGGGCTGTAAGCGGGTAATGCAATCCACTGGAGGTACCACGTCCAATCTGCGCATCCACAAGTGCCATGTACGCTACCTGAAGCAGCACGGCAAGGACGATGAGTTGCCCAAATACCAACGGATAGCCAGTCGCCACACAATGCAACGAATGCCAGCAACAAATACAGCGAACAGAAGACAAACTCAAACCTACGACGAGGATAGCGATGAACCAGAGGCGGAAGCGGCAGAAGAGGAGGAAGACTATGAGGAGAGTGAGTTGAGTGGCCGAGCCGGCCAAACGGCATATGTGTCAATTCAGCAGTTGGAGCATATGGATGCATCAGCGGAAATCTCATTCAATGCAGCTCCCAATGAGCCGAGGCCACTTTTAAAGCTCTTCTCCGAGGACGAATCGTGGTCACCCGAAACAATCGAGGAGCAACAGACGCTAACTCAGCAACAGCCACATTCGCATCAGCAACAACAGTCACATCAGCAGCAGGCGGCTATTGTGGAAATCGATCCTGCGACGGAGGATAGCTCGCAGGACTTTAGCAAGGAGACAATTCACCCCAATCCCACGCACACCATGCAAATCGATGCAAGCGCCTTGTCGGAGGCGGAGAGCTATGCACGCGCGTGGGCCCACACATTTCTCAAGCTGAGCGAGGATCAGAAATTCTATGCAAAGCGTTCGATTGATGAGCTCCTCGTTTTGGGCCGTTTGGAGCGATTGAATATCTCAACAGTTACATCACTGACGACCAATTTATAGAAAGTCGCCAGCGATTGATATTAATTTTAATAATTTATATATCACATAATCAGCCCCACAATTAAAAATGTAATGTATTAAAGTTTGATCTAAGCTCGCTTTTCAACACTGAATTAGACATTAAAAAAAAACCTAACCTTAGTCGAAAAACAACTGATAAAATCCAAGTGTTTCGTTATCGTCAAAACATAGTTTCTTATCAGCATTTCTGTCAATATTTGTTTAAGAAATCTGTAATTGGAAAAAACATTCGCTAATAAATTAAAAGTAAGCAATGCTCAAAATATCAGAAAGGTTTCTTATTTGTCTGAAAAATGTAGACTGTTATATGAAATGTATATGTATAATAAACTGCATTTTTTTGTATATTTTTCAATTTTTTTATTTTTTCCAATATATTTTTTTTTTTAGTTTTTTTTTTGTTTGTAATGTTTTCTTTGTTGCATTTTGCATTTTGTATATACTTTCTTTGCTGTGAATTACAAGGTGTTCTTTTGTCATCTGCTTTTTTTCTTGTTGCTTGATGTTCGCGAACGTTTACATTTTTCTTTGCTGTGGGGCGGGGGCGGGGCCATTCTTATTATTATTATTATTATTCTCGCGCCTGTTCTTCTGTTGATTTTTTGTTTTTTGCTTGTTTTCTCTGCTCGGTTTGTGTTTATTACGGGTTAACTGTGACTTTCAGTATTTGAGAGCTTACGTATTTTAGATGCAGCTTTCGAGGGCCTATCAATGAGTGTATATTCTGTCTGTCTGACCGTATGTGTGTGTGTGTGTGTTTTTGTAGCATAAATTAAAATGCATGTTTAATGTTATGTTATTTGGATCAACATCGTCGAATACGAAACTCTTAAAATTGAAATCTGCTAAAAAAGCACAACAAAACTTTTGTGTAAAATTACAAATTCATAAATAATAATCAAGCTAATTGTATCGTATATAATATATACATATATATATAATATAATTTTTTCCATTTTGTGAGTGTCTTAGGCTTGTATTATTATATTCAAGTTTATTATTTGCATTTACTGAATTTATGGTACAATTTCAAATTTTCTGTTGCCATGCACTAAATATATATATATATATATATATATATATATATATACAAATATAAATTTAATGTGAATTTGAACAATCTCTATACTTTTAATATTCTTTTTTTTTATAGTTCATAAATTTTACATTTTCGTTTTCCTGTCGCTTTTTCCCAGACGAAAAAACCAAACAAAACAAAAAAACAACAAAAAAACACGGCGACCCCATTTACAAATTTTACATGGACGTATTTTCCATTTTCTTCTGATTGTTGTAGTTGTTGTTGATGATGATGATGTTGTTGTTGTTTTTGCTACGGCATCTGTTACTGTTGATTCTGATGCTGCTCTGCTTGTTGTAGTTACTGATGTTTAACTGTTTTGTTTAAATGATTGTTTTTCTATGCGGTGCTTTCAGTTGTTGTATTTTGCAGTTCTTGAGCGCCATTCTATGAGGGATTGAATTGGACATTTTGTCAAAAAACAAAAAAAAATTGAAATAATAATGAAAAGAAAAACAAAACGAATTAAACACAAATTAAAAATCAAATCTGTTTGCTTAAGTGGTGGTGGTGGTTAAGGGTTAGGTGTTAATGACAAATGCAATTCGTTGCACGCTGTATGTTGCATGTTCGTTAAATGTTACGTGTAACAGTTAAATTAGCGCAGGGCTTCTACATGCGTATGTATAAGAATTGTTAACAACCAAAGCCTCTCAATGTTAACTAATTATGTGTGTATGAATTTGGGTGTGTTGAGTGTGTTTTTTTTTCCTTTTGTTAGTTTGTTGTGGTTAATTATTGTGGGGAGCATACTCTTCAATGCGTTTTTTCGTTAGTTTTTGTGTTGTTTGCCGCCACCGAAAGCCAAGTTGTTATTATTGTTGTTGTTGCAGGGCTGCTAGTTGTTGTTGATGATGTATTGGTTGTTGTTTTTGTTGTTAACGGGTTGGTGATTTGTTTTTGGTTTGGCTTCTAGTTGATTACCTGCTGTGGCTGCTGCTCCATGCCACCTCCAGGTCCATTGGGCTTACGATTCTGACGACGCGGACGGAACGGCTGACGTGGCGGTCCCTGGCCGCCCTGAACTAAACAGCAGCGGGAAGAAACGAAATTATTATTAATATTTTATTATTTTTCAAGTTTTTCTATTTTTGAATCCATTTGATGATGACTTACTGTACTCGCCGCCATCACGACGCGGCGGTGGGCCGTTGCGTCGGAAGAATCGTCGCTGGGGTCCACCAACACCGCCACCGCGACGTGGCTGTCCATCGCCGCCACGCTGACCACCGTCCGAGTTGGGATCATGGACGCCGGGCTCGGCGCTTCCATCGCCACCACCCAGGACACGACGTGTCTGGCGCGGATAGTAATTGTTGTAGCGACGCTGGCCAGGACCAGCACCGGGTGGACCGCCTGGGCCGCCGCCGCCGCCACGTGGTGCACCACCGCGTGGACCGCCGGGAGGACCACCAGGGCCGCCGCCGCCGGGTCCGCGACGATAATTTTGACGTGGCTGGCGTTGTCCCGACTGCTGCATCTGCTGTCCATCGAGCTGCTGCTGTCCATCGAGCTGCTGTTGTTGCTGCTGATGCTGAGGCGCCATTTCATCAACATCATCGCCCTCCTGCTTGCGACGATTCTTCTTCATCCAGGGTCGGAAGTTGCGACGCTTATCAGCGGCGAATTGACTGCCACGCACCGGCTCACCGGACGGGCCAGTCACATTGGCCGCTTCGTTGCCCTTCTCGCCGATGACCACATCAAACTCGACCAGTTCACCATCGCCTACTGAGCGCACCGCTTTCTTGGGATTGTTGCGCGCTATGGCGCTCTGGTGCACAAAGACATCCTCTTTAGTGTCGTTGCGATTGATGAAGCCGTAGCCGCTCTTCACGTTGAACCATTTAACGGTACCGGTGACTTTAGTAGCTGCAACAATTAAATTAAAATCAAATCAAATATCAATATGTGAGGTTAGAAACGAATAACAAACATATTGTAATCGATATCGATAAATTACAATTACAAGAAACAAAATCTGGTAACACCTCAACACTCAAACCAAATAGAGCAAATGTGCAACGAGCACTTATGTTATGAAATATAACTTGTATTTACTAATGAAATATTACGAAATTTATTCAATTCAAACGTAGCTGTCTCACATGACTTAAAAGTTCTGCTGGATGCTGGTCGCTGTTGCCTAAGGAGTGTATACAAATAAAGTTATCAAAACAATGAACACACACACACATGCACACGCTTACAAGTCACTCTCTCTTTTAGGTAAATGAGAGTGCGCGCAGAGAGAGCGAGCAATAGAGAGACAGAGTTAGTGTCTAACAAATTGGGTTGCCAGCATTTTGTTCGTATATCAGCTCATATTGTGGGGGCCGCGACGGTGGGGGTTGTCTGTGCCACCGGCAAAAAAAAAGTAGAATTTTCATCGTTTTCGTTTCCTACGCCGCTTTTCTCATGCGGCAGCCGGCGAATGTGTTAATATGTATGTATGCGGCATACAAAATGGCGTCGCGCGTATATTTTAAGACACGCACACACACACACATAAGCACGCACATTTTTTCATGTACACACACACGTACATACATACGTATGTATATCGTTTGCCGTTCCTTTCTCATTGCTATTTTGGTAGCCAGCAATCGGCGCCATGTGTTTTGCATGAATGAAAATGCAAATTGATTTGACAGCTTACCAATCAGTTCCTTTGGTGGCTGCGCCAACTTGCCCTGCGCCTGAAGCACCTCATCCTCGAGTTCTTCCTGGGACAGCGATTGCTGCTGCTGCTGTTCAATGGGTAGCTGCTGCTGGTTTTCCGAGTCTGCCATCTTTTTTAGTTGCATTCGTTGTTCTTCCACTTCAACTTCCTCAAAACGCGCACACACACACCACCTACAACACACACACACACTGCTGCTGCTACCGACGAGCTTCCAAAAATAAAAGCAAGAATAAATAAAGTACGCTCTTCTCCTTCGGATCTTTTTTCTTTTGTGGTCGAAGGGCTTGTGTTTTTGGTTGCTTGGTGTTGGTAATTAGTGCGGTTTGAGTTGTGGCACTCTTTCAACTACCACTTTGATGTTATTTTTTGAGTGTGATGTTAAAACACTCACTCGCAGGGATTTTTTGGCGATTCTATTTTGTTCGCAAGCACAGGAAGTGAAACATGGCAGATATGGCAAGTGTTGTACAATTTTCAATTGATCTGACACACGGTTGCTTCGGTCATCGCAATATATTTCACATCGACCTTAATTATGGTATTTTTCATGCTGTCCCCCGCTGGTCCCATTCAACGCGCATTAATCGATATGTCGTATATATCGATACATTGAGTCAGTGCTTAATTACTGTTGCTTCATATGAGTGTTTATCTCACTAAGAAGCCCGTTTAAAATTTGATTGATTTAGAAAAACCAACCATACGAAACGTTTGCAAGATGCGACGGTGTTAGTGTGCGTGTGTGTGTGATGAACTGCAATACATTTGTGGCCGTTAACAATTATGGCCGATCACAAGTTAGAAACAACAACAAAATAGTGCTTATTAAAAAGGTGGGTGCTCTAAACAAATAAAATTTACAAATTATATTGTAACACGTGCATATTCAAATTAATTGCCTGCTACCGAGCTATAAAATAGTAGGAAAGCGCAGGTGAAAACGACGCCGTCACATCGTATGATTCTCGCGCGCATTCTGATTGGTCGAACGCCGCTTTTCATGACTGCATGCATGAGTGTATGTGTACGTGTGTGTGTATATGTGTGTGCATGCGCTCGCTTCTGCGTATACATGTGTGCGTGCGTGTTTGTTATTTTGTTTTTGTTTGCTGCTTGCCTGTTATTGCGCCGCGTTCAAATTGAAATTTCATAAACAAAACAAATGATTACAGCATAACAAATACCCTGCAATAAAAAAATACAGAAATTGGGTACAATGGCTACAGCTCCTAATAGCAAATAATAACAAGTTTTTCAAGAAAAAATATTAGAAATGTATTAATTTTTATAAATCAATTAAATTTGAGCTTTATAAATTCTCTGTATATATTCCAATAAGAATTTATATCGCTCTAATAATAATAAAATGCAGTGCATTTAATATCATCACTAATATTAATTCCTGTTTTCGCAAATAATGCTAAACTTTGCATATATTATAAAAAAAAAACAAATAATTATGTTAAAAATGAATTAAATTTTATGCTCCAATTAAATATGCGCTTTATAAACTATAAATATATATTCCAATAATAATTTATAATGCACCTAAAATTGTAAAAAGGGTATTTAATTGTTGATCAATCATTAAGATTTATTCTCATTTTAATCAGCAGAAGTCAAAAGAAGTCAATTCAACACGCCAGCTAAAAATTATAGACAATGGACATTGATCCTGCATCATTGGACATGGAATTCATCTCCAGCACAATGGGCGACACGCTGGAGATGTGGAAGGAGGAGGAGGATGCGCTCAATATAATCAAGGAGATGATACCATCGGATATGTTAAATAATTTCCTCAATGAAATGGATTTGGATCTGGATATGAATAGTTCGCCGCCACTGCTCGAATGTGCCATGGACATGCAACAGCAGCAGCAGCAACAGCAACAGCAACAATTGCAACCACAACAACAACAGCTTGTTAAAAGTGAGCATGCTTCGCCGGTGCACATCAAGGAGGAGCTGCATCAACAACAACAACAGCAGCAGCAGCCAAATCTCTTCGATTCCCCATTGTACAAACCGGATCCGCTGATTGCCTCCAATGCGACTGGTGGTGGCTTCAATGCTCAGGCATTGCCAACCACAACCATTCACCACATGGACACCAGTCAGCGGCTGCCCACCGCTTCACCAGCAGCAGCCACTCTCTATGCGCTGGCGACGAACAACAATGATTTTGTGTATCAGCTGCCAACAGCAGCTGAAACATCCTCAACGCCACCAACAGCCACAGCTCCAACTCCAAGTAATACCAAAGCGACGCCTCATTACGCTAGCAAGAAGATGCCCGCAATGATGCAGAGTTTCATACTACAGGCACCAGTTAATCCGACGGCAACCACAACGCTCATGTATACCACAAATAATGCCACCATACTGACAGCTACGCCCATGCCGGTGCTGCTCGAGACAATAACAACGGCGACGACGGCGCCGGCGGCGAGTGTGAGGGTTAGTCCGAGTCCCAAGTCAACGCCCAAGACAACGCCCGTGGAGCTGGCACCGACACCAGCTCCGATAGCTGCTGGTCCACAATCTGCACCAACAGCTGTTGCCCCGGCGGCCAAAGTGGCCATTCAGCGAGTGCAACCCAAGGTGAAGGAAGTAAAGCGTTCGGCACACAATGCCATCGAGCGTCGCTATCGCACCTCGATCAATGACAAGATCACTGAGCTCAAGAATCTCGTCGTTGGAGATGCAGCCAAGCTGAATAAGTCGGCCGTGTTGCGCAAGTCGATTGACAAGATACGCGATTTGCAGCGCCAGAACTATGAGCTCAAATCGGAGCTGCAGCGGCTGCAAAGCGAGTTTATGACACGCGACGGTTCCAAGGTTAAGGATCTACTCCAACTGGGTAGCAACGCAGTAACAATGACAACAACGAGTGTTGCGTCGTCCAAGAAGCGTCGTCATCAATCGATCCTTTGCGATACGGATGCAGCTTTAACGCCGCCACGCAGCGATGTCTCGGATCCGTCGTTGTCGCCGCTGCACTCGGATATATCGTTGCCACCGTCGCCATACGGTGGCTCCAATACCAGCTGCAGCAGTCACGGCAGCAGCAGCAAGGACGAATTGTTGGTGGTGCCCAGCTCGAGACGTGGCATGGCCACCCATTCCCGTTTGGCACTGTGCATGTTCATGTTTGCCGTGCTCGCCGTTAATCCCTTCAAGATGCTGCTCCAGCGCAGTCACTTTGGCAGCGATCTGAGCGATTTTGGTGATGCTGATACGCTAGGCGGCGAGATGAGTCGTCAACGGCGCAGCATCCTGGCCTACGATGGTAGTAACTATAAATGGCATTAATATATATAGATTGTAAATTCATTTTCATATTCCACTTCCAGATGATACGGAATACACGGGCTGGCAGCACAGCTCGGGGCTGTGGTTATTGAATTTATCACTGATGCTGGGCTGTTTGATTAAGCTGCTGGTGTACGGTGATCCCCAGTTGGATACCCAAACGGATGCCTACTATCAGCACAAGCAGCGAGCCGAATCGCATTTCGCTCAGGGTCAATCGTCGCTAGCCTACGCCGGCTATCTGAATTGTCTGCACATGTACGGCTTGAGTTTGCCCGCCTCCCGCTTGGAGTGTCATCTGCAAACGTTTTGGCAATTCCTGCGCTTTCTCTTCCATCGCCTCTGGCTGGGTCGTGTGCTCTCCCGCCGGGCCGGCGGACTCTTTTGCAGCGCCGAGACACGCAAGCGGGCCCTTGCCTCGGCCCGTGAGCTCGCCTTGCTCTACAATCGGTTGAATCAATTGCATCTGACTGGGGATCGAAGCAATGATCGCAATGGGATTATGCTCGTGCTCTGTGCCAGCAACATGGCTGAGGTAGCTCATAATTTGTTGACGCCACGCGAGACGATCTGTGTGAATGTAATGGCCGCGTTGCGCATGAAACGCAGTGCACCGAAATGGCTGCAACAGCTCTGTGCCCGCTACTATATGAGTCGAGCTCGCCAGGAATGCGGACGCACTCGAGCCGCCGAGCAGACGCAGGATCTGCGCTGGGCCTTCACTAGTTATGGGTATGGTTATTTTGCTGCGCATGTTTTCAACTATGCTGAGCAGAGTGCCGGCGAACAGGATGGTTTCTTTACACGACTACGCAATCCCTGCGATCCGGCGGCGCATGCCATTAAGGTAATTGGAGAGAGTTTAAATCTCTAGAGGAATAAAACAAATAACTCATTCTCTCATTCCCCTCTTTCTAGCAATATCGCGAGCATCTGCTTCACAAGGCGATTCAGTGTCTGGTTGGCGCCGGTTCACACAAGTCCAGTAACAATAACAAATCTGCACCCAGCCACAACAGCAACAAAAATAGCAACAGCAACAACAATAATAGCAACAGTTCTGGCAGCGAATCGGAACAATTGCAAAATCAGCACAGCGGCACAATTGTTAGCAATGTGCTGAAATATACGTCTCTGTTGCGCGATACGCTGTGGGCCGATGAGGATAAGGAGCGCGACATAAACGTGGTGTGGTGGGCAAATGTCCTGGAGATAGCCGTACATTGGCTGCTCGGCGAGGATACGCTGGCGGAGAAATTGTACGACAGCATCAAACAGCTGCCGGCTCAATTGCAGCACAGCAGCGACAACGATCATCTGCCCAAGGCATTGCACGCGGTGCTGCGCGCCAAGATGATATTGCTCATGTAGGTGGCCAATAATTGCAATCTTATATCTAATGCCTAATATAATCAACCACTTATTGCAGGAGCAATGGCAACACAACGCTGGACAAACGTCTGAAGCATTCAATTAATCGTCTGTGCGATGAGTCCAGTGGCCAGTTGCAGGAATGCCTCACTGTCAATCGCATAACCAATGCCAAGGGCATTAAACTGGTAAGCAGCTCGATGGATGGCTGATAGATTCCTCTGCACAGTTAGGGCAGACATCTCCAGGAGCTGTCACGAAGGTGCATTGTAGTCGCATTGTCTGTCCAAAAATTGCATGCGGCAATACAACTGCAGTGCAAGCTCCGTGCAGTTCACTAGCAACAACTCTTTGATCGCTGATCGATCTGATCTCTCCCTTCGCTCCTCAAAAGTCGCACTTGTCTAATTATACACTATTTGATTTAGCTGTTCCAGTTGCTCACCTGCGATTGGTTGCTGGAGACGCGCACCGCCTTGTGGGAGCTGGAGCACATGGGCATAGAGGATGATGGTTACTATCAGGTGGCCGGCGATGTGCTCGAAAAGTTCCAAACCGATTTAAATTCATTGCGCAGCATTGTCGAAAATATTCCGGTAAGCAGTTCTGCTGAAAACTAAATGAAATCATTCTCCAATTCTACATTCTATGTTAATTTGTAGAACGCACAATCGCGCATCTATTTGTATGAGGCCGTTTGTCGTTTGATGGCCGGCGCCTCGCCGTGTCCCACGCAGCAGCTGCTGGACAGGAGTCTGCGCTCGCCCAACGCCCATTCGTCAATCTTCTGCGGCAGCAAGGATCGACGCCATCAGAATTACGAGGGTGGCGAACGGGAGCGTGCGGCTGCCATGTATGTGGCATGTAAATATTTGCCGCCGGCTCTATTGAGTTCGCCCGGTGAACGGGCTGGTCTCCTGGCGGAGGCAGCCAAAACGCTGGAGAAAGTGGGCGATAAGCGTAAGCTGAAGGAATGCTATCAGCTGATGAAGTCTCTGGGCAGCGGCGGGCTTGCCACCGTCAAGGCTTGATTCAAATATAAATAAGTTAATCTAACCAGAAGAACATGTTCCCACGCTTGGAGTGCACGCATAAATTGATTAAATAGACGCGGCACGCATCCAAGGCACTTGGCACCCCCAAACAGACCGCCTACGCTTTATACCTGCTATATAATTTCTGTTTAGTTTGTAATTTATTGTAATGCACATTTAATGCATCTGGAAAATTGTTTAAACAAGTTGTTTACATACACAATGATTGTGGTTACCATACATATATTTATTTCAATAAATATTTCAAAAGTTCAAAGTCCTTAAAAAATGGCTATGCATGCAGTTAATATCTCAAATAATCGTTTGGCTAGGGATGGCTAATAAAATGTCGCTTATATCAAATTAGCTTGACTAGGGATTTTGAAATAAATGTTACTTATAAGCGGAAGTCACAAAATTGCATATAATTTGGTATCGGTAACAATATAGAAAATATTTTAAGTGTTTTTCATTTAACACGTAATTTGTCTCTATATATAGTTGAAAGACTACCTTGCTACTTAACGTTGCGTTATACTTAATTACCTTTATAAAATGCGACCGACAAAAATTCTTTAAAATGTTAATTAATGCAACCCTGGCCCAATTTGCTCCTTTGGTGGGTATATAAAGCTGCTCTTTGGCATAAAATAACACAGAGGTAATTGAGACGTTAGCCATGTTCGTGGATACAAATTACTGGTCAACAGTTTTAAGTTTTCTGGGTGAGCTTTTCAAGACAAGACACAGAGTTACATTTCTTCTAAAATACATTTATAAAAAGCACAACAATACTTTACGGACTCGCATGCCACTTGCATTTTATGGCACTCCTCGTTTGATATTCTACTAGAGACGAGCTCACCGTTGGCCGTGCTCATTCTGGACCCACTCAACTGGTCCAGTTTCGAGGCCGAGGAGAATGACGTCTATGATCTGAAGCGTGAAGAGTTTGTGGAGCGTGGCCTAGCTTACAATGATTGGATACTCCATCTGACCATTGCCATTGAGAAGGTGCATTGCGAGGTGAGTTCCAAAGAACTAATCAAAATTACATATGGCATGTCTGGTGAAGTGATCTGGCTTACACAGGCAGCATGAAGTGCCCTCGCAATCCAATTTCACATATTGTGGATTTAATTTCCGCCTTAGCTGAAAAATACATAAAAGGAATTTGGTTAAAAATTGTAAAGTTGATTTTTAGTGGATTTGAAGACACCTCTTTTTGTAGTTCGTTTTCTATTTGAAAGTCCACCGTTAGCAGCAATTTGTAGCGAACAACTCCAGTTGCTGATTGCTTTTGCACCTTCTCCTGCAAGGCACACGAAAAGTATTCCAAGTCCAGTTTCTGCCAGAGAATGCCCAATTTTATATGCTGCAGCTGTGAGCAGTTCCCAATCATAGCGAGCAGCTGCATCATACGATCCGTGGACTGTTTGCAATTCAAATGCAGACACTCGAGTTGTCTCAATTGGCTCAAACTTAACAGGGAGTCCTCGCTGCACCACATGTTGCAGACCAGCGACTTGAGTTCCTTGAACTCAACAATGTGCACCACATGCTCCCTAGCCAGCATAGTCATCTGCAATTGCTCCAAGCAATCGCGATACTGTTGGACCAGTGTTCGAAAGAGATTGTGATTCAAGCGAGTGCTCAAACGCCAAAAAATACACAGAGATTTCAGATGAGGAAAATATCCCACATCATCTAGCGCTCCATCAAAGTTATTCAGCGACAAGTGCTCCAACTGCGGGCAATGAACGGACAACGGCGGAAATTCTCGCCTGTAATCGAATCGTATCGAAAGTCGACGCAATAATTTCAGCGACTGAAGCACCTGGCCAAAATCCTTATTATTCAACTCCTTATCTAATCCATCAATGTGTAGCGCCTCCAGTTCCATAAAATGTTTCACCTGCAATACTGCAACATTTTGTACATTTTTATTTATTTTTTTTCAGTATATTTTGATGAATTTTATATTCTGTAACGGTTAAATATTTTCCAACGAACTTTAAAATAATTTAATTATTTATTTTCCGTTATTTCTGAAATAGTAACTTTAAGTTCTTACCGTCGGCAGCACTCGCATCGATGAGGCTTAGGCTTTTCAGATCTTTTCGCTGCAGCATTTTTAAAATAATCAGACCACTACCCTCCGACTCCGACGACTTTTGAACGGAGCGTGTAAACAACAAATACAAGTGTTGCAAATTCTTGCAATGTGCATTCAAGTTAGTCAAGAAAGGTTTCGTGATATTATCGTCAAAGCGTCCATGACGTATTTCGCACTCCACAACACTTACGCCAAACAGGCTCAGTAGATAATCCCAATCCGAACTGGAGCGCAGCATTCGCATATTGATTTTGGCATAATGACGACATTCCTGCCTGGCAAATACGTTACGAAATCGCCAATGTGCTCGGCACAAATTTAATTTGTCTTCGAGCGCTGTCAAATACAAGAATATCTCCACATAGCAATCGTAATTTAGATCCAATATATTTGTTTCAAACTGTTGCGATTTGCCCGCAAGGAATCCCAGTGAACAATCGAGACCAAGTTTCTGCATCGTTTTCTTTCAGTTTATCCCTGTGTTGTGTTGTGTAAACAAAATCTTAAACCAAATACCATTGAAAACTTTTACATTAGAATGGGTATTAGTCGAGCGAAAGTCAGAGGACAGTCGAAGCTGGAAGTCAAAAGTTCATGCGGTCTAAATGTATTTTGTTCGATTTCAAGTTTTCAATTCAAGTTCGGCAAATATATTTAAAATAAATAACTGAGCACTGGCTGGCCTGCGCTGCCACGTTGAGACAAAGCGATTCGTAACAAAATTATTTAAATTTACTTACAGAGTTTCATAGTATTTCAAGAGCAAATACCAAAGTTTACACGTTATTTCTACAATGCCAGCACTTATTCAATTTGGCGATCATTGGAGAACCGATTTATTTTTGTGTACACCGATGAGCTGCTAGTACAGTCTATTGGTTCATCTTATTTTGAAGGTTATCTGATTTATGGTAAGTTTTTTCTTTGTCGTTTATTTTCCACGAAATTTGATTACGCTTTGGTCCTTTAAGATCAACCAAACATTTTGTTGGTCAACGCTCAATATCTAAATGCGAGCATTTTTGAGATTAAAACCAATCGATTTGTTGGAAGGCGATATGATGGATCGGGAACAGTACCGGCAATATTTGATAGGATGCAGCTTTACGATGCCCACGTGAAGAAAGTAATATGGGATAGTGGTTTGGATATGTTTAGTAAATTGTATGATCTAAAAGGCCGTGAAATCGTTTTCGGTGTATTCAATTACAAACCATATATGCTATTAGATTATGTATGTATATAAATGGAAAAATGTATTTATATATTTTCATGTATTATTTTCCTCAGTTAAAAAAACCCGCAGCTTTCGACCGTTTTTTAAATAAATCTGAGGCGGCTGTTGATGGTACCGAAGTTCGGGTTTTACGAACATTCTGCGAACTGTACAATTGTACGGTGCAAATAGATACAAGTGGGTATTTCAAACTTAATATTAGTCAATATTAATGTTAGGCAAAAATCACACCAAAACGCAGAAAAACTCCGTACGATCAGCTGGCCATAAGCTTAGGGCTGACACTAAGCTGATTGAAGTACAATTCCGCGTTATCGAAAGTTCAAATGTATCGATAGATAACCATCTGTTGAAGCATTAAATTTCAAATATGAAACGGTGTTTAAAAAATGTTCCTTTGATTATTTTCAGTTTCTTTAAATATTAAGAACCCTTTGATTGTCTGCAGGTGAAAATTCGGATTGGGGTGATGTCTTTGCAAATGTTACAGGCGTTGGACTGATGGGGATGTTGTTGAACAGAACCGTTGAATATGGCATTGGCGGATTTTTTATGTTATATGGAGGCTATCAGAACATGGAAATGACAACTTTTCTGGGACGTTCCGGTATCACCTGTCTAGTGCCTGCACCGCAGCGAATGATTAACTGGATCCTACCACTACGTCCCTTCCAAGGCACCCTCTGGCTATGCATAATATTTTGTTTAGTTATCGAATGCATTTCGCTGGCCGTCACACGTTTCAAGGAGCGATTGTCGGATGGAATTGGTGCCCCACAGCACAATAGCTGGCAGCAGAGTCTGTACTTTGGTGTTGTTAGCACATTGAAGCTATTCGTTAACCAGAGCACCAGTTATGTGGCAACATCGTATGCTCTACGCACCATTCTGCTGGCTAGCTACATATTGGACATAATTCTGACTACCGTTTATGGCGGAGGATTGGCGGCCATATTGACGCTACCTAAACTTGAGGAGGTCGCCGATTCGCGACAGCGTCTCTACGAACATAAGCTCATCTGGACGGGAACATCTATCGCCTGGGTATTAGCATTGGATATGGACAATACGGATGTTAGTGAATGTCACCATATATCACTTATCATATTCAATTGTTCAATTTTAGTTACCTTTCAGCCCGTCTTACAAGGCCTCTTGGAGCATTATCAAATAAATGATGGTGCAGCCATTGCCAAAAAATCACGCAGTGAACAAATGGGATTTGTCTTGGAGCGATTGCAATTTGGACACTTGGCCAACGCTGATCTGATACCGGACGATGCCTTGCACAGACTTAAGCTAATGGTGGACGATATATACTACAGCTATAGTGCAGCTTACGTGCCTCGCTTATGGCCATATTTGAAAGTGCACAATGATTTCATACTGATGTGGCACTCGTCGGGCCTGGACAAGTACTGGGAGTGGAAGATTTCTGGCGAGTATATGAGTCCGCACAGACATAATCGCATTGCGTCCTCGCAAAGGCCCAATCTTTATATTGGACCCGTTCCCTTGGGGATCGATAATTTTATTGGCCTAATCATGCTGTGGTGCTTTGGTATGGGATGCAGCCTGCTGGCTTTTGTGGGCGAATTGTGGTACTTTTCGATGAAATAGTTTGGAATAGGTTTTATTGACGGGCGACGATATATACTTATTATACAACAAATATATTTAATGCACGCTTGTTACAGTCAAACACTGCTTGCTTACAAATAATAAATGAAAGCCTAAGCTTAACCTTGCAACAGGACGACTTGATCAATGACACGCGTTATCAAGGGATCCAATTCGTTGTCTGGAATTTGCTGCCACAGTTCGTGCAGCATTTGATAGGCCAGTTGCGTTGGTGTTGCGCCAGCGATTTCATGATGTGTGCGCAGCGTTAGAAAGATGACCACATCCGGAGCAATTGGACTGTACGTGTCGCAAATCGTGTGCAGAGCACGTGCCGCTTTTGGGGGTATCTATTAAAGATAAGTGAGAGATGGAGACGGAGATGGTAAGTTGGAGATATGGTCTACTCACATCGTTAAGATTGACTATGAGAAAAACGTTGCCTTCTTTAATTTTCTTTTTGTACTGTTCAATGGGATAACCGTAGTCATCGCCATGTTTCGTTTCGAAATCCTGCAGGCCCATTTCAATAGGTCGCTGGCCATCTGTGTTGAACATAAAAAAGACTATTATTTTGGGACAAATGCATCATTAACCATCACATCACTAACCAAAACATTTGGACGTCTCCAAGGCAATGTCCTGAACTAGTCCCTGTATCCGATGTTCGCTGCTCTTGTTCGAGTGCAGCAACAGGTAGACATTGGGCGACTTGGTCTTCTTATTCAGCAGCAATTCAATGTTGATCGTGAGTGTCTTCCACACATCCGACGACTGTAATGGCTCCCGTTGGCGCAGCTTCTCAAATTCACAGCGTTTCATTTGTGGCTCCTGTTTCAGCAATCGAGTGCAAGCAATTAATGGTAGTATAATCAGAATTGCATATGCAATTAATTTGATATTTAAGCCAGATTTTTGAACGTTCTCTGATTTTGCCAACTGCTGCCTAGGTTTTTCTTTTGCCTCTGACCTCTGTGGTATGGGGGCAACCGGTCGATTGTGTGTTTTTTCTGGAGTGGAGCCACTGTCAAGCCGCACCACGTCTGCTTGTGTATCTGTATTGGTCTCGTCTGTGGACGCGGATCCATCTCCCGACTCCACAAATTCATTTTCCTCATCGCTACTTGAACTGTTTTCATCCTCAGCATTTAACAGGCGTGAAGTTTTGTCAACTTTTGAATATATAGGTATAGGAGATCTAGAGGCGCTGACTTCGCTCGGCGAATGTAAGGGCCTCCTGCTAGTCATCTAAACAATATTGGATTACAATTAACACAAAAAAAAAGAAGAAATACGACAAAAATGTTTTTGCCAACAGACAATCTTATATTTTGTCAACCAATTTAACAGTGAGGGGAAATGCTTCAATATTGTCATCAATGTGGCAACACTGCACGAAATTATATCGATAGCATTTATCGTGCACCCGACAGAAGTTTCAAATGTGCTTTTTGGCGATTGCTTTATTTATTTGTATATTCCATATACTTAAACTTCGACACAAATTTAAAACGAAATTTTTGAAGCATTTACATTTATATTTAATGATTTTGTAAGGTGGGAAGTGGTTGTCTTTCCAAGACTACTTTGCTACATATTTAAGATTAAGTTCTTAACAACCGAGACCAGAGAATTTATCTAATAAATTATATACATTTGTATGTTACATATTTTGTAAGAGTAAAGTCTAATTATATTTAGTCTACGCATACAAAATTATTGGAGTATTTCACTCGGTTACCGCTGGTACCGTATTTAACGTTAAACGTCTTAATCTCCCCAGAACAAAGATCTCATCAATAGCCCTCTTCGCATAGAATTTTTGATCTTCTGTCAGTTTGCGGTATTCCAAGGACCATGTTTGTGCATATATCGCCGATTCTTCGGCCTCGCTAACATCGTGGGACACAAAAACGTCAGAGCGACGTGAATTTAAGTTCGTAATGCATGCGGTACCAACGTTGAGTGGATCACCGTTGCCTTTAGACTGCTGGACGAGAGTCGCACTGTTACCGGCAGCGTCACCACCAGCTCCTCGAAGCGCCATAAATGCAGCAACGTCCGTCGAAGTGGGCTTTTTCTCCACCTCGTCCATCATTGAGGAGGCAGACTCCGAGCATTCATCATTATCCACTTTAAGCTGCGACTCCGCCTCCATTAGAATGTCTTCCACAGACATTTCTGCTTCGTCATCCTTGAACCATTCCTTTGTGCTGTTTGCGTCTGCATATCCATTGCAATACGCCTGTTTCTTCAAATATTGCAAATGACACTTGTGTCTTCGCAAATTTGTCGTGGACTTGTGCGTGAAAGACATCAGATTTTTGCAACCCGTACAATACAAGACGTGCTCCAATATTTTGCCGTCATCTTTTTCAATCTTTCGATAAACGCGCCACACCGTGCTGCGTGTGCTTTTGACATTTGTTGCGAGCTTATAGATGCCATTTTCGATTTTATCACGAATATCTTCGTGCTTGGTGGCCATGTGTGAAGGTTTCCTTGTTTGTTATTTGGATAAATTTGTTATTGTTTCTTCCATTGGCTGACCTATGTAGAGATGGTAAATATCTATTGCATTGCACGATACACGATACTATCGATTGCTGAGATGTATGTAATTTTTGGCAGTCGGGCTTTCTATTAAGTTTGTCATTTCTTCGAAATTTATCAAATGAATTATTACTTTCCAGTAAAAAAATAACGGTATATTAGCAAAGAGTTCGACGTAAATAATTCGAGGCGGCAAGAAAACATTGGCTTTTCTAATTAACCAATCTGAATAATGTGGCAACGCTTTTGAAGGCACATTGCGCCGGCAAAATACATATGTACATGTGTTTTTTTGTTTTGTTTTCCTTTTAATTTTTATAAAATTTACTTAGCTCTTCCGATGGCTACTACTTGCTTTGATTTTCTGGGTTTCCAAGTGAGTCACATTGCATAAATAATATACACACATTAATTCAAAAGACACACGTTTTTTTTTGTTCATATTTGATAGGAGGCACTGAAGAAGATGCGAGATGTAGACGATAAAATTATATATGCGTTAAACGCACTACCAACGGAATCGTTTAAAGGCCAAGTAAATAGTGAGAGCACATGCCGTGATTTATACGCCAAGCTGCAGCAGTCGCATCTCTCACGGGTAAACTTATATTTATAATTGCTGTATTTTAACACTAACACTTTTTTTTAACTCGGCAGCAAAACAACATACGCAATTGCATAACTTTGTCGGCGACCACATTAAAGCAGCTACGCGAGCAGCGGGAAAAACAACCGGATGATGTCGATGTCGACAGTAAATTCAAGGCAGAGCAACGCAAGGTTTGCCTTTTTGTATCAAACTTTACTATATTTAAATCTAATATCTTTTAATTTGTTGTTTAGCTGAGAGTGTTGCAATCGGAGCTAAATGTAGAGGATATAATCAAGGAGCGGACTTACAAGGCATTTAATGAACGTTGCAGAGCCTATTTTCATGCCGGTCAATGAATTTAAGTAGGTTAGCTGCAGCAATAGCAACAATATTTATATATGCGATTTGTTGTTGGCATGCAATGGAGGGAAGGCAGTGCAGTGAATTGTTTAGTTGTAAGTGAAATTTTTAGTTATAAACAGACAGCGACTGCCCAGTAAATTTGTTATCAACCAGTGCGGTTTACAAGCACATGGCTTTTTTTATTTTGAAAAGAAATACATTTAACTAAATGAATCTTATATTTGTATTTGTTTTGCCCTCAATCATGGCTAGGCAGATTGTACATCTTGTGTATGTCTTTAACTGTTAATCCTTTTGCCTGCGCCAAGGCTCCGAGCACCGTTTGTGTGGCATCTTTAAGATTGTTGTACTTGTGTAAAAGTTGTAAGTGTTTTTGCTTCTGCTTTTGCAAATCAGCTTCGTTGATTATTTCCTGTGTTGTATTCTGTTGATATTTGGAATTGTTCATTGTTGGCGCTATTTTGTGTTATTACAAATGATTGATATCGTTATCGAAATTAATTTTGTTGCACAATCAGCTGTAATGCAATGAAATAAGTCTGGCAACCCTCTACGCCCAACTAAAAACGTGTGGCGTATCGTGACTAAAATTTGCATTTGTGTGTTGAACTATTAATAGACGCTTCAAATTGGCAGAAACACAGGTATAGTGATGCAAAATTTCAGCTACAACTTCGAACAAAAACCAAACTTCCTTTTTCAAAAATAGTGAAGAGCAAGCAGGAAAAAAGCGAGAGTGCAGTATTTGCTGACGCTGACCTAAGCCCATCATACACGCACACGTTCACGAGCGTGTGCTTGTATGCATGCATGTGCGTATGTGTGTATACATGTGCATACATATGTAATTACAATTAGAATGTGAAAGTGTTGTTGCTGTGCAAATAGAAAAGTACTCGTAAAATGCATAGGAAATATTAAATCTAAGCACTTAATAGGGACCAGCTCATCGTACGCATTCAAGCTCAACCTAACTGCTCAAGCTGACAACCCTGAATATACAAAAAAAAAACTGAATAGTAAAAGTAAAATGCAAAGGTTGTCGACGTGACGATACTCTGCAAAACTTAATTTAAGATAATATATATATATATATGTAGAATATACATCGATGTAGGCACTTATTTTGATGTGTTGTGCTGTGTGTAGTTTATCGAAAAGATTCGAGCACAAAAATGAATATACATTACATATTTACTAAATTGTTAAGCATATGCTTTAATTAAGCGACTCTTGCAGAACTGCTAATATCAACAGACAGACAATGTCCGCCACACACAAACAGCGCTATAAAAATGCCGCACTCGACTCCACAGAGATGCGACGCAGACGCGAGGAGGTTGGCATTCAGCTGCGTAAAACGAAACGTGAACAGCAGCTCTCCAAGCGACGCAATGTGGTGTTGGATCCAACACCGACATCCACGCCAGGCATCGCCGGAGGCATCGAGAACAGTGCCAGCAGTGGCGACAACCAACACCACGCGGGCGACATGCATATGGCTGATAGTAGTGGCCAAGGAATGGGTGTCGGTGGAATAGTGCAATCGCATGGAGTTGGCGGCATCGGTGGACAGTCGGCGGAGGTGGCTGTCGCTCAATCGATAATTAATGCGGAGATGATACAAATGTTATATAGCGACAAGGAGCGAGATCAGCTGGAGGCAACACAGAAGTTTCGCAAACTGCTGTCCCGCGATCCCAATCCGCCCATTGAAGAGGTCATACAGAAAGACATTGTGCCACAATTCGTAAAGTTCTTGCGCAACAACACAAATGCAACGCTACAATTTGAGGCAGCCTGGACGCTGACAAACATTGCGTCGGGCACATCGCATCAAACGAAAATTGTCATCGAGGCTGGTGCCGTGCCCATTTTTATTGAGCTGCTCTCCAGCCCCCATGATGATGTGCAGGAGCAGGCTGTCTGGGCGCTAGGCAATATAGCTGGCGATTCACCCACGTGTCGCGATCATTTGCTCAGCTCGTGCATTTTGATGCCGCTTTTGAAGTGAGTAGAAGAGTCTTAAAATCACCACATTTTATGATTAACTTTTGCGAACCTTTTTTGCAAATTTACCACAGCGTGCTGAGCACATCGGATCGTATCACAATGATTCGGAATGCTGTGTGGACGCTGTCCAATTTGTGCCGTGGCAAAAATCCGCCTGCCGATTTTTCAAAAATCGTACACGGTCTCCCAATACTAGCGCGACTTCTGGACTACACTGATGTGGATGTGCTCAGCGACACATGTTGGGCCATTAGCTATCTATCGGATGGACCCAACGACAAAATTCAGGCCGTTATTGATGCGGGCGTCTGCCGTCGTCTTGTTGAACTCCTTTTGTAAGTGTCCACTGATAATTGGGGATAACAATGGAATGATAACTCCCTTCATATTAACAGGCATCCGCAGCAGAATGTTAGCACTGCGGCCCTTCGCGCTGTGGGCAATATTGTCACCGGCGATGATCAGCAGACCCAAGTGATATTGAGCTATAATGCCCTGCCGTGCATCAGCCTTTTGCTGTGCTCCACGGCCGAAACGATTAAGAAGGAATCTTGCTGGACCATATCAAATATTGCGGCCGGCAATCGTGACCAAATCCAGGCAATTATCAATGCCAATATATTTCCGCAGTTGATGAGCATAATGCAAACGGCTGATTTTAAAACACGCAAAGAAGCCGCTTGGGCCATAACAAATGCCACCAGTAGTGGTTCCTCGGAGCAGATACACTATTTAGTCCAGGTGGGCTGTGTGCCGCCCATGTGCGATTTTCTCACTGTCGTCGATTCGGATATTGTTCAGGTTGCGTTGAATGCTCTCGAGAATATACTGAAAGCAGGCGAAAAGTTTCAAGTACGGCCCAATCCCTATGCAATGACCATTGAAGAGTGTGGTGGTAAGTCGAAGTTATTTTGTGTTATAGTAATTTATCATAGTAATATCATATATTACACAGGTTTAGATAAAATTGAATATCTGCAGTCGCATGAGAATCGCGACATTTATCACAAGTCATTCTACATTATCGAACAGTACTTTGGCAACGAGGAGGAGGACACGCGTGTGGCGCCCGTTGCTGGGACTCAGCAGTACGAGTTTAATCCGCAGAATATGCCCGATAGCGGATTCAATTTCTAGCATGACTACAGAAATAACACTACAAAACAAGCGGTAAAGCAACACAACCAGCGGAGCAAAACCGGAATGTGTGTATCCTATGCACGGCTAGAAAGACAGGCACTGACAACGCCGCAGTGTGCAGTCATTAGCATTTAAGTCGAGTCGAGCCAGGGAAGTGTTTCACGTTTTCTTTGTTTGTTTTTTTTTACTCTTTTGTTACATACTCCTTATCATTATCATTATTAATTGCGAAAGCGTACCGAAAATTAAATGTGTGCATAAGGTCCAGGACCACAACTTGAATAATCCGTACTTGAATCCAAATAGGTTGCAAACACACCAGCATATACATATGTACACATCATGCATGTGTATGTTAGCCAAACAGAATTGAATTGAAATAGTTGATCCATATATATTTGATTGATGATGTACACTCAATGCTTTCCTAATGACTGTAAATATTTTCATTATGCATATAAGTACATATACATATATCTCCATATTTCTGTACATACATATGTACTCTGTGCGTTTGAGAAGCCGGCTTTGGTGTTGTTATTTATACATATTTATGTATGTATACCTACATCTACATTATATAATTATAACGAATAACTTGAAAAGTTTTGATTTTGTTACACAAATTGCAAATCGTAATAGTTCGTTTAAGTTTAAATCGTAAAATTATAATTTAATTTAAATTGTCATTCAATAAAGAACAAGAATCAGACCAGAACGAATTGAAAACCAGTTCTCCTTGATACATTTTCTTTAAAATATTTAAAGTTGGTAATAATGTGATGTTATAATATGCTCGACACCCGCGATCAAATGGATGTATCCAAAGAGTTCCCGAAATAAACAACTATAGCTAACTCAAATTATACAAAGAGGTGTACAACAAATTTATAAAATAAATAAAATGTTAACAAGCACGTTTCATTAAATTGTACATTTTTTTTAATGGAAATATTGCTTTAAAATTTTTAATCTCTAAATTTAAATCGAATAATATTTGAACCAAATTCAACCTACTGTTAATTTGAAAGCACCAGCTTTCAGTGCTATCGATTCTCGATTTTTATTTATTTCGACTAAACAGTCGAAACGTTATTTGTACCAATATGAATAGTTATGTATCGATATCGATTGCACATGTACAGCATTCCTGCGGCAATACGGCTATTAGTGTATTTATACCAGGTTAATGAGTAATCAGTGGAGTTTTACTATTATTCATTCAACATGTTGCGGAGGGAAAGAAGTCAAGCATCTGCCGGTGTTAATCACAGTTATAAAATTATCAGTAGATGGATGCATAAAACTCTAACGGAATGGCAAAGTATTCTCAATCTGAATGGCGCCGAAGTTCTGATCTACGAGGAATACATTGACTCATCGACCAATATTGAGCACTTTGCGAAGTTTATTTTGCTGCTGAGCAGGCATTGCCCAAACTTGACACATGTTCGTTTATTGTTTTCTGGAGAGAAGAGCGATTATTTAGAACAAGGTTTTATCAAATCTCTTTGGCAGTTGCCACACCTAAAGTGCTTAAGTCTATTTGATACCCCCGACACTGAATGTAAGTGTTTTATCTTTAATAATTGTGAATTACTCTTGTCATTTATTTATTGTATTACATAACAACTTTTTATTAAAATCTCCTATATTACGAACACACAACAAATTCTTATCAATGTTTGTTTTATATGTGAAATCATAAAAAATATAATCATATTTCTGATATCAATTCGCAGTCTTTGCTCTGAAGGATGACTCAAATAAACTAACAACTTTAAAAATAGATACTGTCGACGAAAATGTGACAGCTAGTGATTTTTCAAATATATGTGGTTCTCTGATAAATTTGCAAAATATGGTCTGTGAATATGTCTACAGTAGAGAAATAAAAATGGTTGCTGGCTTGTCCAGTTTATCAACATTAAAATCGCTAACTTTATTCTATCCGCCGGAAAATGAATGTAAGTCTTTGAACGATGGTGAGCTGAAACGAATGATATTGATCATCAAATTGATATAAACCTTTTTCTCTTTCAGTAAAACAATTGAAGAATTGTAACCAACTTGAAGCACTTAATCTTTACAAAATTAATAGTAACCTGAGTTCGGATGATTTTCTAGATATATTTAAAGAAAAGCGCAATCTACATTCTCTTTCGATCTGCCTCATAGATAGTAAACTTAGCATTTATCTATCCGAATTAGCTACATATTGTCCAAAGCTAATTAGTCTAACGATTAACCTGCCAATCAAAGATATTGGTAGTTTCGTAAATCTGAAATATGTAGGATTAGACATGGATGGTGAACCATGCTTATCAATCTTGGAAACAAAAGAATTCTTTGAAAACTTGACGCAATTGCAGCATCTCCAGTTTCTCTCTTTGGATACGACACCAGAAAACCTAAATGAAAACGAAGCTCTGCTCAAAATTATACTTAACTGTACAAACTTAAGATACCTCCGTTTGCCATACAAAACGCAAGGATTCAATGAACTCATTCTAAATCTACCCAATTATCTAAGTAAGCGTAACTTCCAACCGAAGTCGCCATTTGTGCTGTCTGTGCAGGGCAGCGATGCACTGACCGATGTGGAAGATAAGGTAAAATCCAAATTGTACAATATCTGTGTAATTTCTTATTAATTTCTCATTTTATTTTCAAAGTTAAAGGCACATCCCCGCGGTGAATTGCTGCATTTGGATTGGAATGGCAAAATGTTTGCATCCGAACTTAAAAGCCTAAGCGAATCTTTAGGCCATTCCGATGCATATACGGACGACAGAAATATATTCAAATTTCCTGGAAAGGTGGCCGGTGATTCATTTGGTCCAGTGGATAGATGGTCATCTAACGCGAATTACAAATTGGCTCTTAAATCATGCACCAACAAATTTAATCTGGACTACGACGAGGAGCTAATAAAAAGATGCCGAGATTTCACCATTAATAATGCTGAATATGAAATATCGAACATGGAATTCGCATTCAATTTAAAATATGATTCAATAGATGAGGACAATAAATTTCCAGAGGCGGAGAGTTAATCAATTGCATTTTATTAATATAATATAATTATAAATTTTATAGATGTATTATACGACTTAAATATATATTTCTTGTAAATTTAATATCATTATTTTGGTCAAGTAAAAAGATGTTGGGGATTCACTTTGCTTTGCTTACCGGGTGGCAATAACTATAGAATTACATATATATGCAGTCGATAAATTGTGTTGGTCGACCATCTGACTGTCATCGATGCTATCGATATTATCAATATAAACAGGACTGTTTCCATAAACTCTTTTTCAAATTTTAAGCAAACTGTATTACCAAGAAATTGCAATAGAAATTATAGCAAAATCGTTTTGAAATTTCTTTTATTATATCAAATTGAATTGTGGATTGAAAATTGTAATTGAATGTGTGTAAAGACCAGTGTAAATAACTTGTTGCCCACAGCATTTTTCAATTAAATTCACTTGCGCTTTACGAAACGCACTTTGTATGGCTTGGGCGTCAGTGTGATGCCCGGTTGAAGGATCAATGATGGTGTTTCACCCTCGGGCAGTACCACGCGAAACTGCTGCATGCTGCTGTTGCTGCTGCTATGCATATTGGCGGCCACTTCGGCATATACCTGCTCTTGCACATCCTGCCGCATGGCTAGCATCATGAGCGCCAGATTGATTGTGTTACTGATCGTTTGTGAGCCCAGCAGCAATACGAGTTTAATCCGCAGAATATGCCCGATAGCGGATTCAATTTCTAGCATGACTACAGAAATAACACTACAAAACAAGCGGTATGCAAACCCAACCAGCGGAGCAAAACCGGAATGTGTGTATCCTATGCACGGCTAGAAAGACAGGCACTGACAACGCCGCAGTGTGCAGTCATTAGCATTTAAGTCGAGTCGAGCCAGGGAAGTGTTTCACGTTTTCTTTGTTTGTTTTTTTTTACTCTTTTGTTACATACTCCTTATCAATATCATTATTAATTGCGAAAGCGTACCGAAAATTAAATGTGTGAATAAGGTCCAGGACCACAACTTGAATAATCCGTACTTGAATCCAAATAGGTTGCAAACACACCAGCATATACATATGTACACATCATGCATGTGTATGTTAGCCAAACAGAATTGAATTGAAATAGTTGATCCATATATATTTGATTGATGATGTACACTCAATGCTTTCCTAATGACTGTAAATATTTTCATTATGCATATAAGTACATTTACATATATCTCCATATTTCTGTACATACATATGTACTCTGTGCGTTTGAGAAGCCGGCTTTGGTGTTGTTATTTATACATATTTATGTATGTATAGCTACATCTACATTATATAATTATAACGAATAACTTGAAAAGTTTTGATTTTGTTACACAAATTGCAAATCGTAATAGTTCGTTTAAGTTTAAATCGTAAAATTATAATTTAATTTAAATTGTCATTCAATAAAGAACAAGAATCAGACCAGAACGAATTGAAAACCAGTTCTCCTTGATACCTTTTCTTTAAAATATTTAAAGTTGGTAATAATGTGATGTTATAATATGCTCGACACCCGCGATCAAATGGATGTATCCAAAGAGTTCCCGAAATAAACAACTATAGCTAACTCAAATTATACAAAGAGGTGTACAACAAATTTATAAAATAAATAAAATGTTAACAAGCACGTTTCATTAAATTGTACATTTTTTTTAATGGAAATATTGCTTTAAAATTTTTAATCTCTAAATTTAAATCGAATAATATTTGAACCAAATTCAACCTACTGTTAATTTGAAAGCACCAGCTTTCAGTGCTATCGATTCTCGATTTTTATTTATTTCGACTAAACAGTCGAAACGTTATTGTGTACCACATGTACAGCATTCTTGCGGCAATACGGCTATTAATGTATTTATACCAGGTTAATGAGTAATCAGTAGAGTTTTACTATTATTCATTCAACATGTTGCGGAGGGGAAGAAGTCAAGCATCTGCCGGTGTTAATCACAGTTATAAAATTATCAGTAGATGGATGCATAAAACTCTAACAGAATGGCAAAGTATTCTCAATCTGAATGGCGCCGAAGTTCTGATCTACGAGGAATACATTGACTCATCGACCAATATTGAGCACTTTGCGAAGTTTATTTTGCTGCTGAGCAGGCATTGCCCAAACTTGACACATGTCCGTTTATTCTTTTCTGTAGAGAAGAGCGATTATTTAGAAGTAGGTTTTATCAAACATCTTTGGCAATTGCCACACCTAAAGTGCTTAAGTCTGATTGATACCCCCGACACTGAATGTAAGTGTTTTATCTTTAATAATTGTGAATTACTCTTGTCATTTATTTATTGTATTACATAACAACTTTTTATTAAAATCTCCTATATTACGAACACACAACAAATTCTTATCAATGTTTGTTTTATATGTGAAATCATAAAAAATATAATCATATTTCTGATATCAATTCGCAGACTTTGCTCTGAAGGATGACTCAAATAAACTAACAACTTTAAAAATAGATACTGTCGACGCAAATGTGACATATATCTGTTCAAATATATGTTGTTCTCTGATAAATTTGCAAAATTTGGTCTGTGAATATGTCTACAATAGTAAAATAAAAATTGTTGCTGGCTTGTCCAGTTTATCAACATTAAAATCGCTAACTTTATTCTATGCGCCGGAAAATGAATGTAAGTCTTAGAACGATGGTGAGCTGAAACGAATGATATTGATCATCAAATTGATATAAACCTTTTTCTCTTTCAGTAAAACAATTGAAGAATTGTAACCAACTTGAAGCGCTTAATCTTTACAAAATTAATAGTAACCTGAGTTCGGATGATTTTCTAGATATATTTAAAGAAAAGCGCAATCTACATTCTCTTTCGATCTGCTTCTGCCTCACAGATAGTAAACTTAGCACTTATCTATCCGAATTAGCTACATATTGTCCAAAGCTAATTTGTCTAACGATTAGCCTGCCAATCAAAGATATTGGTAGTTTCGTAAATCTGAAATATGTAGGATTAGACATGGATGGTGAACCATGCTTATCAATCTTGGAAACAAAAGAATTCTTTGAAAACTTGACGCAATTGCAGCATCTCCAGTTTCTCTCTTTGGATACGACACCAGAAAACCTAAATGAAAACGAAGCTCTGCTCAAAATTATACTTAACTGTACAAACTTAAGATACCTCCGTTTGCCATACAAAACGCAAGGATTCAATGAACTCATTCTAAATCTACCCAATTATCTAAGTAAGCGTAACTTCCAACCGAAGTCGCCATTTGTGCTGTCTGTGCAGGGCAGCGATGCACTGACCGATGTGGAAGATAAGGTAAAATCCAAATTGTACAATATCTGTGTAATTTCTTATTAATTTCTCATTTTATTTTCAAAGTTAAAGGCACATCCCCGCGGTGAATTGCTGCATTTGGATTGGAATGGCAAAATGTTTGCATCCGAACTTAAAAGCCTAAGCGAATCTTTAGGCCATTCCGATGCATATACGGACGACAGAAATGTGTTTAAATTTCCTGGAAAGATGGCCGGTGATTCATTAGGTCCAGTGGATAGATGGTCATCTAACGCGTATTATAAATTGTCTCTTAAATCGTGCACCAACAAATTTAATCTGGACTACGACGAGGAGCTAATAAAAAGATGCCGAGATTTCACCATCAGTAATGCTGAATATGAATTATCGAACATGAAATTCGCATTCAATTTAAAATATGATTCAATAGATGAGGACAATAAATTTCCAGAGGCGGAGAGTTAATCAATTGCATTTTATTAATATAATATAATTATAAATTTTATAGATGTATTATACGACTTAAATATATATTTCTTGTAAATTTAATATCATTATTTTGGTCAAGTAAAAAGATGTTGGGGATTCACCATTCCATATCCCACCTGCTTTGCTTACCGGGTGGCAATAACTATAGAATTACATATATATGCAGTCGATAAATTGTGTTGGTCGACCATCTGACTGTCATCGATGCTATCGATATTATCAATATAAACAGGACTGTTTCCATAAACTCTTTTTCAAATTTTAAGCAAACTGTATTACAAAGAAATTGCAATAGAAATTATAGCAAAATCGTTTTGAAATTTCTTTTATTATATCAAATTGAATTGTGGATTGAAAATTGTAATTGAATGTGTGTAAAGACCAGTGTAAATAACTTGTTGCCCACAGCATTTTTCAACTAAATTCACTTGCGCTTTACGAAACGCACTTTGTATGGCTTGGGCGTCAGTGTGATGCCCGGTTGAAGGATCAATGATGGTGTTTCACCCTCGGGCAGTACCACGCGAAAGTGCTGGACAATCCTCACGAGAAACGAGAAAATACATGCGCGAGCCAATGCATCGCCCAAGCATCGACGGCGCCCCAATCCGAAGGGCATAAGATAATCGTCCTTGGAGCATTTGCCGGACGCATCGATAAAACGCTCTGGCCGAAACTCGTGCGGCTCTGTCCAATGCTGCTTATCCATGTGCACCGAGTGCAGGCTAATGAGTATTGTGGAATTCTTCGGTATATCGTAGCCACCCAGCTTGGTCGGCCACAGAGCACGACGCGGCCCCGTTATGGGTGTGATGTGAAAGAAACGCTGCACCTCCATAATGAACGCGTCCATATAGTGGAAGTATTCGCGCCGACTGAGATGTGGAAATGCAACCGTATCCATGCTGCTGTTGCTGCTACTATGCATATTGGCGGCCACTTCGGCATGTACCTGCTCTTGCACATCCTGCCGCATGGCTAGCATCATGAGCGCCAGATTGATTGTGTTACTGGTCGTTTGTGAGCCCGCTATGAAAAAGTCGAGTATTGTCATCACCAGCTGCGTCTCGTTGAAGCTGTCGGTATCCTTGCCCCGACTGCGCATCTCCAGCAGATAGGCAAAGATCAGATCATCACTCTCGTGCTGCTCAACACCGCGCGCCTCGCACTCATCAAGACGACGCCGATGCTCCGCAATTGTCTCCATGAAGAAGCTGTGCATCTCGGCATTCAGTTGTCGTATTAGGTTGTAGCCCGTCCAATTGGGCGCCACATGACGCAGCCAGGGAAATTGTGCCAGTATTCCGCCGCATATGTCAAACAACTTCGAGCGACGATTCATCAGCTCGAGGAGGCGACGCAGTGTGCCATCCTCAGTGCTGGTGATTCTCTCACCGGCAATCAAACACCAGAGCACATTGAGCACACTTTGGGCCAGCCAGTTAACGGGTTCAACGGCCGCCGCATCCGTTTTTGTGAGTTGTTGCATCAGCTGCTCCGCCTCATGCTCGATTTGCTGCTCCATCTGGCTGCGTCCGTAGCCCACGTGGCGCATTTGTTTCATCGCAAAATTGCGATGTTCATACCATAGCTGGCCATCCGTGCACGTGATGCCCTTGCGTGTGCCCATGGTGCGCAGGCGCAGAAAGAAGTTGTCCGGCCTGCCCTCGAACACCTCCTGCAGTTGCACCTCGCGCACCAGCTCATGGCCCAGCGCCACCACTACATACTCCTGGCCCAGCTTCAGGCCCAGTAGCTGGCTGTCATATTTCTTCGCCCACTGCTTGAAGAGCAGATGCTGACCGCCAGCGTCGCGTGCTTCTCTACGGAACTGCAGAGTATTGCCTAGCCAAGGAATAAATCCAGGACCTGTCATCGAAATCGAAATAAATAAATATATCAAATATAATATAAATAATGAAATTAAGAACATATTCACAACCAAAGTTATATTCCCATCTTTAGCTATTGTATACCTAATCTTATCGTCGATAGTATTTGGCACCACCGAAAAATCAGGTAATCAGTTTATAATTAAATCGGTAACTCAAATCTCAATTTTTCGAGTCTGTTCAATACTTATCAGCCATGTGCTTTTACATTTGTGTGTGCTTAACACATGGAGACCTTTTTGTTAGCTTGATTTTGCTTTAATTAATATACAATAATTCTAATTAAACATTTTAAATATACAATAATTCTGATTATACCTTGCAAATAAGAATAATTGTATATTAATTAAATAAATGCATGATTTTAAATTTGATTTGGATAGTGCATATGTAAATCAATTAAGACAACTACGGGTTAATGTGATGGATGTCAAACCATAACTATTTTATCAATTAAATCTATTTGAAATGCTAGACATACGCCGACAACCTTGGGATAAAACGTGTTCCAGTTGGACAATGTATTCCAGCTACCCCTTTCCAATTGGATTGTTGTGGCTAAACTTATCTAGTTGAATTGAAAGTGTCTGTTTGCCATAAATAAACAAAATTGAATAAACAAGTTGATTCCAGAGATGTCCACGCCAAAAAGGCTTTGTTGTTTCTTTTCATTAGCTTTTCCACAGAGCAAAGTTGGAAAAGATTTGCTAACTTGCATTTTCTGTAAGCATTGAATGAATTTGATCAATTGAATTATTTAATGAAAGCACCGACGTCTTTGGCAAAAGTAATGTCACTTTGAAACTAAAAAAAATGAAACTCCGAAGGTCGTAAAGGCGGCTGTATTTATTTTATATATTTGCTTAACTGTCATAACAAAAGCAATACTATAATAATAATATTTCTTTCCTTATGTGTTGGATTCATTTTTGGATAGAGCTCACCTGGCGGAAAATTGCTGGGACGTCGAATTGATTTGAACAGCGAATATATTAGAAATACAATGAGAATGGTTACCAGAAAGATGAGGGAACTCATCTTGCCGATATAATTTTCAACTTATCGACAACAAATCACAACAATTACAACGCGTCCGCATGCCTTGCACACACGATGGCAACTAAAACCAAATCCAATCGGATATGCGCACTGCATGCGCAAAGAGAGAGCGGCACAAGCAAGCCACACATATACACACACACATCCATATGACATACACACACATACATATGTACTTTAACGCTCGTGTATTTTTGCCGGCTTTCGTGTGTGGATGAGGGCCCATTGAATGATTCTACTGAGAACGGCAACATTGATAAAAGCAAATGGGAGAACTAGGCACTATAATAATAATAACTATTCGTTAAATTATATTAAAAAGCGTACAAAATAAAGAGAAACTTTCACTTAAGCGTTGACCATAAAAGGATTTTCTTAAACGAGTTTATTTAATTCAAAAAATGAATTATTGATTACAGCTATCTATATATAGAGCTTCTTTGTTTAAATCTACGAACAGATGATACTTCAAAGGCGGTACGCGTTCGCAGCTCCGCCCTTCACCCTAAAGTTGAACCTGAACCTGATACTGGTTGAAGGTCGAAAGTCATTCTCCTCCACACAATACAAAAGGCTGGCGGAGAAGGTCAGTCTGTGATGAAGACTAACGAGACAATAAAACGTTACTTTTCAAAATTGAACCAGTGTGTAGATATATTAAAAATGTAATGAAGTTGTATAAGAATCGCTTTAGAAAATCAATACAAAATCGTTATTCAGAATATAAACTGCATATTTATTGTGGTTAGTTCTTGAATCATCGAAAAACAGTTGAAACCATTTAGAAAAGGGGCTACGACGACGACCTTCCTACAGGAACACCGAATTCTTGGCAATTATAAAATCAATGTCGTTTGTCCATGGATTCTTGAAGGCGCGCCATTCACTCTGCAGCTGGATGTAGCCATTGTCCTTGCAGCGAAAGCGATACACCTGAGTGGTGATATTCTCGGGCACCTGCATAACCATCTTATGGCACTCGACCAGCGCTGAAATGTCCTCTTTGTGGAAATAATCGTAGAAACTGGTGCCCAGTATTTCCTGTGGCAAGAAGCCAATCACCAATGTGGCACTGTAAATTAAAAATAATAAATTACAGATTTGTATATGCTTCATTAGTGCAACAATTGCAGAAACCAACCGCTGATCGATGAAAAGGAACTTGCCCTCGGCCGAGTGACGGGATATGAAGAGAACATGCCTAATGTGGGGATTATTGTCCAGCGAGGTGGGCGGACAGGAATTGAGCACATTAGGTGGTATCCGTCCAATGGCCACGAGGCAGGATAGATTCGTTGTTTGCTCATCACTGTCGCCATCCTGATCCTCGTCCTTGATGGGCGTCCATGATTTTAAATATCCAGTGCATTGTATAACCTGATATTTATGATCCATATTCAGCTTTGATTTGCGTTTGGTGGAGCTACGCGAACTAGACGATGTGTCCGATTCGTCCTTGATCTGATTGTTGTTTGCCGCACGCAGTTTCATGCGACAGAAGAAGGAACGTCGAGCTCCGGGACAAAGGCGACACAAGCTCTGCGGCACATCCGTCTTAACCGGCAACATGGCTATAAAACACAAATATCTCTAGCAATTAACGTGTATGCATATATAATTTATAGGATTATCACTCACTCTTGGCATCGATGAGACGCTCGCGTGGACACTGCTCCAGCGAGGACAACTGCTCCTTCACCTTGACAATATCCTTGGGATGCAGTACATCGAACCAGCTCTGGCCGAGAAGATCAGCCTGCGTGCAATTCAACACGTTCGACACGGAATTGGAGACAAATAAAATGCGTCCACGGTCACAACCCACAACGAAGAGAAACCCCTCCGACGCCTGCAATATGATCATCTTTAGCTCCTGGTCGGACAGAAAACTTGGCCTATAATCGCCCCCATTATAGGGATGCAGGCTGCCGCGTATCCCCCGCAAATGCTGCACAGCCATGCGCAGCACAGTCAGCTTGTCCAGCTTACGCTGCATCGCATAGCACATGGGTATCATTGAGGATAGCTCGTTGATGTATGTGTTCATCTTATCGCGTCGCCTTTTCTCAATCTCACTGTGATTCTGTCTATCGAGCAATATGCGAGAGAACATTTTGTTATTACACTGAATGCTCGAAAATTACATTTTCAGAAGATAGTTCAAGTAAAATGTATAATTTAAATATAACGAAGATTCAATTTGGAACAAAAAACTACTAAATTCCGAGCGAGCACTGTATTATTAAGTGCAATTTTATCCATAATCAAGATTGGAAAAGTTATCTTCGGAGAGCCGAAGATTAATTACCCTTACAGACATATGGCCATACGTATATGGGCAAAGTATTTGTATAAAAAAGTAACGTTTTTAGTTTTTAGTAAGAACTCGACTTTCCGACCAATAGTTCCTGGGGCAGCTATATGTCTACTGAAAAGAGATCTCACTTGAAAACAGACAGACGGACGAACAAACATAATAAATGGGGTCTCCTTTTTGTGTGACAAAATTATAATACCCTCTGCAAGGGTATAAAAGTTTGATATTAATATGTGATTGATTAGCCATTGGCTGCATAGATTGATGCTTACTTGCGATTCTCATCCATTGTGCGCGTCGACTTCTCATCACCGGGTATTTCGTCCTCCAGATCCTCCAGGTTTTCACTGTAAGAGGCGCAATTATTATTACCAGGAATTGACATTGGTAATCAATCAAACAATCAGTTAACAGCTTTTATTGCGCGTTAACATTAACATTGACGTTTTTTTAAGTGGTTGTCAAAAGCATCATCAAAATCAACCCCATTGAATTCCAAAAATAATCCGGCAACTGTTGCTCGCCGTTCATCTGACATCCCCCAGAAGAACACATGTAAACCAAAAAACGTTTCATAGACATGTGTGTGTGTGTGTGTAAGTCACCCATACTTAGAGAAATTTATAATTTGCAATGCACACGCAATAGAACATACCAAAACTCTTGCATGGCTCCGCTTATGCAAATTAACAATAAATTTTTGTTTAATTGACTGTGATTTTGAATACGCTTCCTGGTTGCCAGCAATTCTTTTGTTTACAAACAATTTAAGGAACCGTCGGCGAGCGAGCAGCGAACACGGCAATTGGAGAAGTATCTGCAATTTGTCAAATGCAAGCTTTCCCATGGCTTAAGCTTTTTCGCGCGTCTGGCAACTCTGCATGGGAAGCTCGATGCATTTGCAGATGCAAGTCTATCGAGCTTAAAATTTTTTTAAATGTTATATTAAAAATTCAATAAATCATTAATGAATTTTTGACATTCTAATAAAATACTGAATATCAAATGTTTATAGTTTAATTCTAAAATAAATCCAATACTTATATCAAAAGAAAAACATAACTTATTTATATATGATACATTTTATCTAAACATATTGTTATAACTTGCATATAGCGATCCCAAAGGCAACGCGTCTCTTGATCTCTGCAAGGCAAATCATTTAATTAGACACACACATATTTATAATACAAAATTAATACAATCTCACCTAGATATTTCCAAATCCAGAACGCTCTGTGTTATTGAAGAGAGAAATTTATTGACTTGCTCTCGATTCCAGCCATTCTGACGCCAAGGCTCAACCAATTTCTCGCACAGATCGACAAATAAATCTCTCAACTCACGATTCCTATGCAGATTGCAGGCAATGGTGATAAGTGCCCGCCAATACGAACGAAAATTTCCATCTAGCTCGTGAAAAGCGCGCTCCAGCAAAACAGGCTTCAAACGCAGGCAGACAAGACTGCAAAATAAAAATGAATTTGAGCAAAAAATTATAAATCGACTATGTATTTAGATGACACACTGTTTAATCTCCTTTTCCTTGTCCAATAAGCAGCGCAACTCACGCAAATCTAAAAGGAATTCCTTGTCCATTTCGGTGTCATAATACTCGGGTCCGGTGTGCTGAAGAAATTAAAAAATGTAGTGGTTTTTAAAGAACATTTTGAGATTGTAGGCTATTTACCTGATATGTATATGTCCAGTAGATCATGATGGAGTGCGAACAGGTGAGCAAATCGCTAAAGCTCAAATATTGCAATTTCTTTTTGGATGTTTCGAAGCGCAAACAAGCCAAAAACACAATGCAGGCATATCTTCTGTAAATATCGATAGACTTAAATATATAAATAGTACGTGCTTATGTATATCTAATGCTTACTTGGCCAGTTCGTTGGATATAAAGAAATGCTGCTTAATATTATTGGTCAGAGTTCCTGGCATCTCCTCAACAGTTCGAAAAATGCGTTTCACATTGTCAAATTGGCGACTGTACATAGAAATGGTAATATGATATGATATTAATATAATGCACAATTTACTTACCAACACGATTTAAGTTTGACGCAAGTCTTTTCGCCCACTTCGTCCAGATCCTTGCGATAGCGTGATGTCAACTTCTTGCCAAGTATTTCACGTGCCACAACATCATCAATTGAATAATATTTCTCAATGATTAGGTCACGCGTTTCGGGCTCCAATTGGAAACAGGATTGTTCCATCAATTTGGTAGGCGCATGCAAGTAGAGCTCAATCAGTGAATAGGTGCGATAATGGTCCAGAACATCAGATGCAATCAATTCCAGTGGCGCACCCATAGAATGGCCAAATCCCTTCTGCTTTATGTAGCACACCGCTTCGCTGGCTTTGAGAGGGAATAACAATAATAAAAAATAAAAATGAGCATTTTTCGAAATCTGTGCATAACAGACGCGAGAGATACTTACCGGAAAACCCCTCGATCCATAGTTGATAAATTTCTGGATCCACAAGTGTGTAATTGCTTATGAAAACGTCAACATCCCCCTGTAAAAAAGGCATATCCAAAATATTAATGCTTATTTGCTAAGCAGATAACACAAACACACCATGTTTGTTGTTGTTAAATGGTTGTCGATTCATTTCGAATAAGTTCGATTACACGACCCACAAATTCAATTGAGCGAACTAAGTTCGTGATTGTCGCTGCATTTAAATGATATATTTTTGGCATGCAAAAGCTTAAAATTTAGCTGAGCCGAATAACATTTCTTTGGTTAACTGTCATGCGAAATGCTTTCAACAGATCACTAAATGATTTTTTTATACTCAAAAATAATTTTTCATACAGAATTAATTTTATTTTCATATACATTAATATGAAAAAAGCATGATCCGTTTGCTAAAGTATTTTTGTGAAACGTGTCACTGAAACCAGCAAGTAGCAGCTACGAAACTATTCGATAATATATGCTTGACTGCGCATGTCTAAGAATTGGTTTCAAGTGAGAGAAATATGTGTTGGGTATGAAGTTGAAATAATGTGCCAAAATTACATTAGATATAATTTGGTTGCTTACAATTTAAAATCATGTGTTTAATAAATGTGGTTTGTAATTTGTGTAAATACAAATCATCGAATTAATATCGAATATGAGAACTATCGATGATATCGATACATCGTTGTGTTTCTTATATCGCAGCGGATATCAACTTTTAAGAAATGTAAAAATGTAAATTGCAACATATAAAAATAATTGTAAATAGCCAAAGGCAACGTACGCAATACAAATTCTATGTGAATGGTGTGCGCGCAAACCGAATGTAAGCGCTACAATAGCTGAAACCAACAAACAACAACAACAAACAAACAAGCGAACGACAACAGACGTCCGTAGCCCACAATTGCAATTGCAACAATTCGATGAACAACTTTACATTCATATTCAACAATCAGCAAATAGCAAAGGAAACCCATAGAAGTAGTTGTCGAAGAAGAGGAAGTGCATTTGCTGTGTCGCGTTGTTGTTGTGCAGAATGGAACAGGATTCCACAACGGAGCTGCATCTGAGCAGAATACGTGAAGTGAAAGATTTGGCCGCATTACCCGACGACGTGCGCGATGTTGTGAAAGAAGAGGTCATATTAGAGAATCACCATCATCATCAGGTAAATCAACACACCAATATCTCTGACCGACTGGCGTTGGCGGCAAGGGTGGTTCGTTCGTTCGCTCCTTCGTTCGTTTCGTTTCGTTTAATCGTTCGTTCGTTTTATCGTGTTCGTATGCTTTCGTTTCGTTTCGTTGGATGCCCGCGCAGCCAACGCGCAGTTGTAGAACGCGGTGCCTGCCACCTGCATTTGTGTGTGTGTGTGTGTGTGTACATATATATATGTGTGTATGTGTTTGTACGCTCCTCTCTGTAGAACAAGTGGTGTATGTGTGGGTGGTTATGTGTTAGTGTGTGTGTGTGTTGGGGGCGGGAGGGCTGAATCGGTTTAGTGTAAGAGGAGAGGGAAGAGAGGGGAGTGGGTGGCGAAGGTGGCGGCGCAACAAAAATGCGCGCGGTGCTTGCGCCCTACACAGCCCACAATGCACAGTAAGAGACTCGTGAGTCCAAAGCCAGAGCAAAAGCCCGCCACCATAACCACCACCATCGTCACCATCACCATCCACATTCACATCCACACACAGGCCAACTCCAACAAGAACGTCAGAATTTGTGTGTGGCGCAAATTGTTGTGTATACCGATTTTCATTTTTCCATGCTGTGTTGTTTACTTACACATACGAAATTTTCTTTGATTTCTTCCATGTTAAAAATTGCAAAAAAATCACGAAAATACAAATAATAATAAACGGCAACGCCAAATATCAACCTGAATATTAAACAAATAATAAATACTGGATAATTGTGATATAAAAACAAACATTCATGTGACGACCACGACGACGACGGCGCTCGATTGAAATTTCTGTGGGCTCTGTAATGTGCGCTATGGTAATGCAGTTGGATACGAAAGTTCGCATGGTCACATCCTCATCAAACGACAACAGCGGCAGCGGTGGCGGCGGCGGCAGTGGCGGTGTTGTATCAGTACCCGTTTCTCTGCCCATCGGATCAATGATAACTGGGACGGCATTTAATGTGATTACGCCGGATCAGTTACCGCACTATAAACCGATGCTGTGCGTCGACAACAATTGCTATCTGTCCAGCAGTACGGTCAGCATGGGCGGCGACCTCAAAACGATTGTCATACAACAGCAACAGCAGCAGCAACAGCAGCAGACGAGCGTCAATAGTGGCGCTGGTAATACAAATACCACCGCCACAAACACCATTGGACTGAATCACGATGGCTCTGGTAGCAATAATAGCCATGACAGCATCGGTACGCTCGAGCATGCTGCTGGCGGCGGTGGCGGTGCTGGGAACACAACCGGCTCAACGGGCTGGGCGGAAACGACATCGAATACACCGCACTTGGAGGTGTTCCAGATCCGTTGTAAAACCACCTGCGCCGAACTCTATCGCAGCAAACTGGGCTCCGGCGGCCGAGGGCGTTGTGTCAAATACAAAGACAAATGGCATACGCCCAGCGAATTTGAGCATGTGTGCGGCCGTGGCTCCAGCAAGGACTGGAAACGCTCCATCAAATATGGTGGCAAATCTCTACAGTCGCTCATCGACGAGGGCACGCTAACACCGCACGCGACCAACTGCAGTTGCACAGTCTGCTGTGACGACGAAGCAGGTGAGTCAGGTGAGAGATGCATACACAATATTAATACCCTACCCTGTCTCCATCAATGTACCCAAATCAATATTCCATGAGGCATGACAAAACGATTGATAAACATTTTAAAAGCTTAAGGCCCATAGTATTCATATATTTGTTTAGCTTCTATATAATGAGAAACAACTCTGGAACTTGGCGTAATAGGTTGCGAGTGTCTACTGTAGCCATAACAAAAGTCTGTAATGCTTTGTTCCGCTCCATTTTCAAATGGAATCCATAAGCTGAAGACATCCTCAATAGTTAGATTATATTGAAATCTGTAATTCTTATTCTTTGATCACTTTTTGCTATTTTACAAAATAAAAAAGGATGATAAAGAAATAACATTATTATACAACGCTAATGTCGTTTCAGCATCGGGCCCTGTGCGTTTATTCACGCCGTATAAGCGACGAAAGCGAAATCAAACTGATCTCGATGTGGAACCTGGGCCCAAACGCAAACGCAATACGCATAGCAACAATAATAATAACAATAATAGCAACACCAACAATAACAACAACACAAGTGGCAGCAGCATCAACAATAACAACAACGTGGACCCAACGCAAGCAACCGCCACCAGTGTGGTGGATGATAACAATATGTTTTTAACCGAAGACAACATAACGTCCAAGGATGAACCATGGGCGGCGCTCAATGACAGTTTAGATACCTCCACCGAGCTGGTTGACCAAACGCAAATGGGCAATCCGTATGAGCGCGAAACGTTTGTGGTGAACATAAACGATGCGGGCTCCATTGCCGTACTGGACGGCAGTCAATCGATGAAGAACATCGAGCATGTCTATTGCACCATGGTCAAGGCAACCAACGATTTCAAACGCCTGCTCAACGACATGAAGCAAAACTACGAGCGACGCATCGAAGTGCTGCAAAAGGAGCGCGACGCAGCGGTCAGTGCGATGCGTGTCCAGGTCCACACAGACATGGATGATCCCAATATATCGGGCTCATTACATGGCAACGAGATCATATCTGCAAAGAAAGTAAGCACTAAAATAAAATCACAGACTGAGAACAGCAACATTTTATGACTGGCTCTGGTTTTGTACCCAAAAAAAAAACATAAATTAAATTTATTTCCCCCAATTTGTATCTTTTAGTGCGCCAACTGCAATCGGGAGGCGTTGGCTGAGTGCTCGCTGTGTCGAAAGACGCCGTATTGCTCGGAGTTTTGTCAGCGTAAGGATTGGAATGCTCATCAGGTGGAGTGCGCAAGGAATCCACAACCGTCAACGCAACAGGTCATGTTATTGATCGATGATCAGTCCTAAGCAACGTAACGAATTGTACATACAAATTTTACTACTAATTAATATATGATTGTGCAAGGCCCCACACCACCTTCCCCTCCCCACATACCATCTCCCAACAAGCCCAGATCCCACTCTCCAATTATCCCTACCATGCCTTCCCATTAGATTTATGTCCTATAATAATGTAATTCTTAAACGTACGTATAACTATATAAATATGTGTATATATATTTATATATACATTTTACTATCGACCGTAGAAAACAAAAAATCCAAAAACAAACAAAAATAATCAGAAGGAAACATTTGTAGTAAGCGCAAATCAAAGCAGAAGCGTCAAAAAAAAATTGAATGTCTTCTTGGCATAGCGTAAATGAAGAAGTTTAGCTACGATTTGAGATAATGCAACAAAATCTGAAAAAAATTTAACTTGTAATTCAATTTAAATTAAATTTATAAATAGTTGCAAAGCGCATAGCAAAACTAACAAGGTCCCCAACCCGGAAGAACTCCCCCTCTCATTTTCTGCTTGACAACTTTTTGCATAAAAACAAAAGTAAAAGTAAATAATAAAAACATAAAGAAAAATAAAAGAAACAAAAAAAATATAAGAAAATTACAACCAAAATCGAGAGATAAGCAGAAATACAATACATATTCGTCTATGTATACATTTTTCATTAGACACTAAGCACATAGTTAAACTTTTAACATTTTACGATTATAATTTTATGGATCTACTGCCCGTCGTTACAAGCATCCAATAAAGATTTCAAAACAACAAAAAAAAAACAAAACAAAAAAAGAAGAAGATAAATATAAATAAAAACGAAACGATGTAAAAAAAATATAGAACAAAAAACGAAAACAAAAACGAAACACACACAATACATTTAATCGCAAGTACATTTAATTATAAACAATTACATAGTTGTGTGTTTAACTACATTTCTGTGTCGCAGTATTTTCTCCTTTTTCCACTTTCCTTTGTAAAGTTTTTTGCCGCCCTCCGTAAGCAGCTGTAACAATTTCTCGTAGTCTGTAGTCCATATGCAAACACATTCATATATACTTATGTATGTAGTATATATATATATAAATATCTTTAAACAACTAGCTATATATTCCGGTTCACACAGACACAGCGGACAAACACACATACAAATACAGTGACACACATTCAACACAGATTTAAAGGAAATTTCTATGAGAGATCAGCAGATCAGTTTGATTCAAAGTTGAGGAGTATTTGAAATCTTTGTTTTCAGATGTCTGTAACGTTTTCGGTTGTTGCTTTACAATAACAATAACAATAACAATTACAACTTAACTCCACACCCCCACAAGAACACACACACACACTCAAACACATCCACACAAAACAAGCAGAAAGAGAGAGAGAGCTGAAGTATCAATGCGATGATGAAAGAAAAGAAATGAAAAATATATACATACATTTAAATGTACAATGCTTACTTTTTGTCGTATTCTTTGTTCATTCTTTTTGTGTTCTTAGTTTAGTGTCTATGTACAACATCTAGACTTTATAAACTTGAAATATGTAAACATCTCAAGGTAAGTACTTACTTTGATCAATTCTAACAGAAACATCTATAAGTTTGTGAAGACTTAGGTCGATTGCTATATAGTTCAAGTGTAGCATACTTTTTAGATCGCCAAATGCATTTGCAGGCAGATATTTAGTTTCTTATTTTGTCTGTACATAACAAAAATATATAAAATCGCAATCAGTAGTTTCTTAAGGCGGTGATCTTAACTGCTTACTGAATTTGTCTCCGCTTTCTTATCAGTTCGTTTAAGAAAGTAATCTGATTTGAAAGATACGGCTTATAGAGGGTATTCCATTCGGATTGGTTAATCTCAGTGACCTGTAATCAATTAGAAATAATCAGTATTATCAACTCCCAATCATAGCTCCCATTTAATTTAAAATGTTTTTGGTTTTGTTTAAAGTACTTTGTTGTTAGTCCATATTATGCACATGTTTCATTTATTATTGCATTTTGCATTACATATTATCAATATGCTTATTATTATAGTCTATTACCAAAAATAATTTCTTAAAACTTGTTTACTCGTTTCATTTATTTATAGGTATGCTTTAATTACTTTAAGTTTTGCTCGGGTAGATTCTTTTCTTTTTGTTTTGTTTTTTGTTTAGCTGTAGTATATATAATTCGATTTAATTTGCTTGCGTTTTTACCAGCGATAACTTTTGTTTGCAAACACACGAAACTCGAAAAAACTGTAAGAAATAACTACAAGAATATTCATCGTAGGATCGTAGGAGAAGGGGAAGGATATATCTGTGTGTGTCGGAGAGGTGGTGGGTGGGGGTAATTGGATTGTGTACAGAGAACGAAACCGTTATTTAAATATTGTTTTTTTCATTTTTTGTTTTTGTTCTGGTTGCGGTTGTTGGTTTAGTAACTAATTTGTGTGCTTGATTATCATGGTTTTCTTTTTGTTTAATACATACAATACGTGTGTGTGTGTGAGTGTCGCGTAATTAATAAATACAAAACATACATATGTAAGTATATTAAATAACGTGCCTAAATATAAAACATTTCACAATTGTCTAAATAATAATATTCTGAATATGCATACATACATATATTACTGAAATTTATTAACAAATTTCGCTGCTGCCCAATGAAGGAAAACAAATATTACATAATTTATAAACAATTGCCAAATTGGTTATTCAAGTGCCATAATTCTAAACACAACGATTTAAAAAGGGGAAGGCGGGAATTAAACAAAGCCATACACAGTAGAGAATTAGTTAGTTTAAGCGTTTAAAACTTAATTCGATTCGCAAAACATTTGCAAATACAATGCATACATATATATTTTTAATTTTCGTTTGCTGTGTTTGTTCTGTTTTGTTTCGTTTTTGTTTGTTTGTTTTTTTTTTTTTTTTGGAATCACAAATGTTAGCTATAGTATTTAAATACACATGTAGGTAAGACATTCAAAAGGAAAATTAAGTTTTATAGCGCTTAAGAATGCTCTTGATGATGGTGTTAGAGAGACTGCGATTGCAATTGTGGTTTCTGCTGCTTTTGCTGCTGGTGGTGGTGGTGGTGTTGTGAGTGGTGGTGGTTGTGGTGGCGGTATTGGTGGCAAAGTGTGGCAACCGGCAAGATGCACAGCTTCACTCCAAATTTCGCACCTCAAAGCGCTTGTACGTGTAATTGATGAAGACCCAATCCTTCGAAATTTCACCGCCCTGCGGCACTGGCGCCGAAGCTGCACAAAACCATTCATCACAAAAAGAGAGAAAAATGAACAACTTGCAAACATAAAATGTGAATGGATGTGTTGCACTTACGTATCTCCAGCGAGACATCCGGAAATTCATCGAAATTGGACGTGTCATCAATGGAGCGCACTTCCACGGGAATTGCCGCTGGCCGCTCACGAATGTGCTCCCAGTCGACGCCGCGAAAGAAAGGCACCGACTTCAGGTCCTCGAGGCCACGCTGCGAGCCCAAGCGTCGATCTGCCTCGCAGCAGAAATTAATGATCGTCTCTTTGGCCTCCTCCGATATGGGTATTTCGGGCGGAAATATTAATGTTTCGCGCCAGTTCATCACCTTGCGATACGTATCCTGCGGATTATCCGAACAGAATGGCGGATATCCCATCAACATTTCATACATAATCACGCCAAGTGACCACCAATCGCACGCAGGTCCATAGCCGGTTTGCAGGAATACTTCGGGTGCTATGTAATCTGGCGTGCCCACTGTGCTGTAGGCGAGAGCGCGTCGATTTCGTTTCCACGATTCTGCGCGTCGTTTTGAGTCCATGGGACTGCAACAAAAACATTGTTGAACAATCACAAACTTGAATTTTGAGTTAATTGTATTAATTGATACTCACCTGGCACAAGTGCCAATAAAATCGGATGGTTTCGCCTGCGACAAATCACGATAAAAGTCTGTGCGATGCGACTTCTTTAATCCTGTGCACAGTCCAAAATCTGAAAGCTGCTCAAGTTACAAGTAATATATATTATCAGATAGTTTTATTTTAATATTTAGCTCATCATTCACCTTAAGATGCCCTCGCGCATCCAGAAGCAAGTTATCCGGTTTGATGTCCCTGTGTATGAAACCGAGCTTATGGATCGAATCAATCGCCAACGCTGTTTCACTTATATAGAATTGTGTGCACTCCTCGGATAGCGTGTCCTTTTTCATTAGAAGCGTCATCATATCACCGCCAGGCAAGAATTCCATTATCAAATATAAATTGACCTGGTCCTGTATGCAATTAAAATGCAATTGACAAGCAAATATATTAGACGACTCACAACAAATTTAAAAGTGACAATTACTCAGCTAAAGTTTTAAATTATTGCCTTTTGAGCTGGGATAACTTAAACAGTTATTAAAGCAACAAGCGTACTAAGAAGCCAAGTACAAAATTTAATTTGAAGTGCCATAATAATCTGTATTTGAGCAAACCTTTTTAAAACTAACTATAGGAAATTATATAACAACACAGAAGCTGAGTCTACATTGCGAACAATGACTATAACTTCTAATTCACATATTAACTTTCACTATTTCTTATTCTCGAAATGAGTCATACAAAATTAAGCGGAATTCAGACATTGTCAGATCTTACATAAATGTGCAATTGTAATGCCATTGCATTGTAAATTACAACAATATAATAATAAAAATGGGCCATAACTTTAGAAGGATGCACAAATACAAAAAAATAATTAAATTCTTTTGCGTTGCAGAGAAATAGTGTGAAATTCTGGACGTTTTGCATGTAACAAGGTTCTGTTGGGTATATTGACATACAAACAAACACTGCAGTGTTGTCTTCGTGTTCGTTTGTGTGTGAAAACTTTCACCAAGAATCAAAACAACAACAACGATAAGAACAACAACAACAATAAAGAGCATATGATTTGGCAAGCGCGCTTTGCGCTTGTATTGGTTTATTGATTTTCGGTCAGCGAATTGCGGATGGATGTGTGTGGGTTTTTTTTTGTATTTTTCATTTTTGCAGTCGACTCACCTGAAAACTGTAGTACATCTTGACCACCCACTGGTGATCGGCCTCGACGAGAACATCGCGCTCAGCGCGTACGTGGGCCACCTGCTCCTTTTCGAGCATGTCCGCTTTGCGCAGAACCTTCATCGCGTACACGTGTCCCGTATCCTTTTTCTGCACCAAACGCACCTCACCAAACGCACCGCGACCAATGACTTTCAATGCCTCAAAATCTTCGACGCCGAGACGCAATCGCTTGAGGCGCAAATATTCTGTCTCTTTTTGCGCATGTTGTAAGCGTTTCTCCTGGCGCTGTGTCTCCGTTAGACTTTCGTCCTTCAGTTGCGCCTCCAATTTGGCCAGGCGCTGTTTGCGTTCGCCGTATTGTGTCACCAGATTGCTGTAGTAGTTCTCCAGCGTCACCTTGGCCTTGGTCGCTTTGTCCAGTGTGTGGTCGCTGAAACGTATGGAGGAGCCATCCGTGTCCGTTGTTCTGCTGCTCATCATCTAAACGGTGTGCTTTGTGTGTGTGTGTCTGTGTATGTGTGTGTGTGTGTCGTACCGTACACTGTCCTTGCACGAATTGTACACTTGCTTAAATAACACACACACAGCTTGGAAGTATTATATTGCCGTTTTTTTCCTTTGTAATTTATTAAATTGCTACCTCTCTTTCGTGTTTCGTTATCGTCGTTCTTTCTTATTGTGCGTAGGGTTGATATGCCCACCATTTATCGAATACCCTCCAATCGAATGGCATGAGCTCATTTTCTGATAAGAATTTCATGTTGCAGAATACAGCCACTCTTGAACAATATTATCGATATGCCCGCGAAATCGATAGTTCTTAACAATCAGCTGACAATTAAATACCTTTGTTGCAAAAATTATGTGTTTGGTTAACTTAATTAAAGCGCTGTATAAACCACCATGGCGCGCACAACCAACTTTTCGGACCTCACTTTTAACTGCCTACTGTTGATATTCAAGTTACTGGACAATCTAGAGGATCAGGTTAACCTGGCCCTCTGCTGTCGGCGTTTTCGTGAAGCATTCGCCTATTTGCATCGCAAACGATTCGAGGCCATCGTTGACAGCGATATCAAGTTGCGGAACATGGACAACTGGCGTGCCTTTCTCTGGTTGTGCGGTGGCAATGTGAAGAGCTTACGTTGCTACCACGACGACGACCATCCGCTGCAGATACTTCCACTCGTGGCTAGATACTGTGTCCGCTTGGAGAGCATCACACTGCGCAATGCGACGATCTCCAAGGCGCAGCCGTATTTACTGCAGCTGCGAACACTGCGCAAGGTTTACGTGAGGAATTACAAGAGCACGAGCATAGATCTGATTAAGGCCATGAAGTTGCGCTTGCCACACATACAAAATCTAGGCCTGGAAAACTTTGAACGGCGGGAATGTGAGTGTATTATATCATGTAAACTGATTGCCTGTTTAAATAAGCATAAACATATATATATTTATTTTAATATGCAGTGCAAGAGTTGCGTCACTTTACTAACTTGGAGGAGCTGCAAATGTACGATGAAGTGACGGCCGCCGACTTCCAAGCCATAACCAAATCCCTGCGGAACTTGCGGATACTTCAACTGCGCAATGCAAACAAATTTCTGACCACACAAACGTTGAAGCAGTTAGCTTCTAATTGTCCACAGCTGACAAAGCTCTGCTTTCAGGACAGCGATGCTGAACTCACCGCCCTAGCGCTATTTCCACAACTCAATTATCTACAACTTCACTGCCCGGATAGTCAGAAGAAGCGACTCTTTAAAACAATGAGCAGACAGAGTGGAATGCCTTTGGAGTATTTAATATTGCATCGGAAGCGCTGGATCGATGAGGATCAGGCGCAGCGGATTGGTGCCATCAAGCCACTGAAGTGGCTTGTTTGCAAGCCACGAAACGATCGTTGCGTTTATCATTTGGCAAATCTCACCCAACTCGAATGCCTGTCGGTGCAATGTGCTCGCGATATTGGTGAAGCGGAGCTACTGCATCTGATCCGCAACAATGATCATCTGCGGTATCTAAACATCTGCTACTGCCTGGGTATAACAGATGCATTCATCGTGGACACAATCGCCATCCTAGCCAAGCGTCCCAATCAGCAGCCGCTGGTGCTCTATGCGGCTGCCACTGATATTAGGCACGATATCATGGAAAGAGTGAGTAGCTTTTTCTTTTACAAATATTTTTTTGATCTTATAAAAATACCATAAATTTCAGTTACCAGCTGATTTTGCATCTAAGTTGCTAGTGCTGTACTTTGAGTGCAGTCAAGGCATGAAATCCGGTGATCATTATTATAATGACGAACCGGAATTCGATCGGTAAGCAATTGGATTCGTGGAGTCACCCAAATCAATTTTACACATCATCATGCAAATTGCATATGGGAATAATAATACGTAGTCCGTAAACCAAATAATATATTGTAGATTTTTATAAATGTATGTATATTTTACATACATATTTTCACACATATTGTTATTATATTACACTTTAAGTGCTAGCTTTTTATTCTAAATCAAAGGCTTATTTTTCAAAAATAATTGAATACTTTTTATAATTGTCTTAAAATAAATATTTACTTATTAGCGTTCATTGAAGGACGCTAATTTGTAATACTTTGCATTCCAATTTTTGGTTGCTCCCAATAAACATTTTTTAATTCACAACAATAATTATATTTGAATCTAATATTTGTATTGACAATATCGTATGCATACGATAGTTATGAAATATAATATGCACATCTCTAAGTACAGCAGTGCTGTAAAATGACAAATATTTGTCTTCATCGATTATAAGATTTCGATAATTATTTTTGTTTTCGTGTTATTGTTGTGTATGACCAAAGTGAAAATTGCACAGAAATTGCAAAATAATTGTGTAAAAGCACATTTAAAAGGTCGCAACGATGCTCTCGCTGCTGCAGGAGAAGCGTCCGCTCAAGCGCACCCGCCTCGGCCCGCCGGATATTTATCCGCAAGACGCCAAGCAGCGCGAGGACGAACTGACGCCCTCAAATGTGAAACATGGCTTCATAACGACGCCGCCGCTGTCCGACGAGTTTGGCACGGCGCACAACTCGAATGTGAATGCCAGCAAGGTGAGCGCGTTCTTCAGCGGCGTGCTGGCCAAAAAGGAGGAGCTAATGACGCTACAGGATACGGTGCGCAAGAAGCAGCAAATCAATTGCAAAGATAACTTTTGGCCGGTGTCGCCGCGTCGCAAATGTACGGTGGATGCGTGGTTCAAGGATCTGGCCGGCAACAAGCCGCTGCTCAGTCTGGCCAAACGGGCGCCCTCCTTCAACAAAAAGGAGGAAATATTTATAACACTCTGCGAGAACCAAGTGAATATGCAGCGTGCCACCTGGTTCATCAAACTGAGTGCGGCATACACGCTCAGCTTTACCGAATCGAAGAATAAGAAGCGCAGCATCTATGATCCGGCCGCGGAATGGACAGGTAACATGATCAAGTTCATGAAGGAGCTGCTGCCCAAGCTGCAGGAATACTATCAGCAGTGTAAGTACATTAGTGATTATTCCGAGTAGGTATAAAACTATCTCCTTTCAATGCGCTTTCAGCTCATGAAAAGAATGGCATGCAATCCAATGGCAGCAGCAGCAGCTCATCCACCACCAGCAGCACCAGCAGTAGCAACAGCAACGGCAGCGCCAACAACAACAGCAGCAGCAGCAACAACACCAACAGCGGCAGCAATAACAACAGCAGCGTGGGCAACACGTCGACACCCAATGTTATACCTGTGCCCAGCATGTCGAGTCCGCTGCCGCCCATACACAGTCCGGCTAATGGACAGCCAGGTGCTGTGGGCAGCGGTGCAGTTGGCGGCGCTGTCGCCGGCGCTGCTGCCCCACCGGGCACAGCACTAGCCACGCTGAGCGGCTCGGCATCTGGCGGCGCAGCTGGAGCTAGCGCCGGCGCTGTTCCGCCCGGCTCGAGCATATCGGGCATTGGCAGCCAGTTTGAGGATAGTCGCAATGCGCTTAAGTATTGGAAGTACTGCCATCAGTTGAGCAAGTACATGTATGAGGAGTCGCTGCTGGATCGTCAGGAGTTTCTCAACTGGATACTGGATCTGCTGGATAAGATGCGCACGCAGGCCAGCTTCGATGAACCGCTAAAGAAGCTGGTGCTCAGCTTTGCACTGCAGTATATGCACGATTTTGTGCAATCGGAGCGGCTGTGCCGTAAAATGGCCAATCTGGTGGCCAAGAAGCTCGCCCAGCTGCTAAACTCGGCTGTCGAGCAGCAGCAGCAACAACAGCAACAGCAGGCCCTAATCAAATCACAGGCCATGGAGCTGGATGCACCTGATGAGCAGCTCCACCATCATCAGCAGCAGCACCAGCAACAACAATCTGTGGATCCCTATGAGCAGGCACTGCATGACTACATGAACTGTCCGCACCATCGAGACATTGTGCTCTACTTGAGCACCATACTGCAAGTGATTACCATTGAGTGCCCCACGGCGCTGGTGTGGAGCGGCATAGCAGCTCACAGGGCACCTTCCTCACTGGTGGGCAGTCCACTTGATCATTTGCCACTGGCGCCATCGGTGCTACCGATGGCCTCACGTTGTCCACGCACCAATCAGGAGTTGAGGAGACAACTGCGTGCCGCCGAAGCGGACATTGTGTTGCGCACACAGCACGCCGAGCAGCGCTGGTTCGCCTCCAAGTGGTTGAGTGCAGGCAAGAATCATTATACGAATGTGCTGGCCACATTGGATCACCTGGACACACACTGCTTCGAGCGCATGGATCAGTGCAATTCCATTGATACGCTCTATGCGCACATCTTTCCCCCACAATCGGCGCAGCTGTTGCGCCGCTCCGAGGATGATCAACAGCAGCAGCCACAGCGAGCTGTCTATGAGCCCAAGCAGGATGCGGATACGGTGCGGATATTGTGCGAATGGGCGGTGTCCAGTCAACGTTGGGGCGAGCATCGGGCCATTGTGGTGGCCATATTGCTGGACAAGCGTCAAATTGATGTGACCAGTACACCAGCGGATCTGTGCGGCGACAAGGAGGACAAGGATTCGCTGGCCTCCGGTGCTGGCATCATTGATGGCTTGCCCGTCTTTCAGCACGTTCTCATGCACTTTTTGGATCACGATGCGCCCGTCTTGGATGAGCACAACAGTAGCGCCCAACAACGCACCGAATTCACAAATCTCGTGCAGTTATTCAGTGCGCTCATCCGTCACGATGTCTTCTCTCACAATGCGTACATGCACACGCTGATCTCGCGTGGCGATCTGCTGCTGGAGTCGATGTTAGTGCATAAGCCGGCAGCGAAGAGTTCACCGCCGCCGCCAGCGCCACCGCCGCCCAACAGCAGCTCGACAGCTCATGCATTCGATGACGATGGCTTTGGTTCGGGCATTGGTATTGATTTCAAGCACAACGAATTCGATGACTCCAACGTGGACGATGATTTGGATAAGCTGGTACAAAACATTAAGGAGAAGGGTCAACAACACGAGGCACCCGACAGTCCCAAAATTGGCGGACCTGGCGATGGTGATGGTGGTGGCGTTGACACGCCTGCATCTGGCGTCAGCATTTCCAGGCATTATGTGTACACGAAACACTTTCCCATACCGCAGGACGATCCCAGCATGTCCAGCTATAGTAGCGAGAGCAATCAACGCTACATTCTCCTCTTTGGCGTTGGCAAGGAACGCGACGAGAAGAAGCATGCCGTAAAAAAGATGTCCAAGGAGATTGGCAAGCTCTTCACCAAGAAGTTCAGCATCGATGTCGCCGAGGGCGGCAAGGTGAAGAAGCATTCGCGCAACGAGTTCAACTTTGAGGCGACAACAGCCAAATGCCAGCACATGGCCTACTTTGATCAGCATGTGGTCACCGCCCAGTGTGCGGCCAATGTGCTCGAGCAGCTGAACGGGTTCGCCTTGGGCAGCAACAACTATTTGCCCGTGCAGGAGCACGTGGCATTTCTATTCGATCTGATGGAGCTCGCGCTTAACATTTACAGCCTGCTCGAACTGTGCGATCATCTGCTCAAGGAGCTGCCCGAAGTGGAGCATCAGCTGCAGCAGAAGAAGTCCAACATGGTGCGTGGCTATACTACCTCGTTGGCCCTGTATATTGTTAGCATATTGCGTCGCTATCACAGCTGCTTGCTGCTCTCGCCGGAGCAGACGGTGTCCGTATTCGAAGGACTCTGTCGCACCATACGCCACGTGAGCAATCCCAGCGAATGCAGTTCCGCAGAGCGTTGCATTCTCGCCTACCTCAGCGATCTGCACGAGTCGTGCATTCTGCTGCAGGGCAAGGAGCAGGCAGCCGAATACTATCAACAGCTGAACTGCATCAAGCGATTCAAGGATATCTTCAATACGCCCGAGCAGCTCAGGTGAGTTCCGAGTGATATCCCTGTATGCTATGTAATAATTAAATCTATTCTGTTTATATTTGCTTTCAGCATGGCACCGCAAGGCTATAATACACAGTTGCTGCAGGAGCTGTTCGTGGCGCCGCGACGTGGCGGCAAATTGGAGTCGCATTGGCTGCGTCAGCTGCACGAATCATCGGCAAATGTGTACAGTTTTGTGTCGAACGCTGTGATCGCCGTCTGCCGGGAAACGGACAACGAGCGGCTGAACGATGTGGCGCTGGCCTGTGCAGAGCTAACGGCCAGCTGCAATGTGCTCTCCGAGGAGTGGATTGCGGCGCTGCAGAGCCTGTGCAGCGGCAGTAAGAGTCCACGCTATCCGCATCTTGGCGGCCAGGTTGATATTGGCCAGAGCAAGACGCACAATGCGCTGGCCGTCTTTGTGTGCATTCTTGTTGCGCGTCATTGCTTCTCCCTTGCGGATTTCGTTAGTAAATTTGCGCTCCCGACGCTGGCGCGTTCAGTGAGTGGCGCCAGCGGTGGTGAGTTGAGCGTGGATGCCGAAGCAGGTGCTCGTCTCACCTGTCACCTGGTGCTGAAGCTGTTCAAGACTCTGGAAATTCCGCAGCCGGGCATGTATTCGGTTAGCACGTCTCCCAATCCGCTTCATGCGGCAGGCAGTGATTTTAGCATACGGCTCAGCTGCGATCGTCATCTGCTGGTTGGGGCACACAAGACCATACCCATTGCTGCTGTGCTGGCCGTGCTCAAGGCCATACTCATTGTGGTGGATAATGCGGCACAGAAAACGCCGCTGGTTGCCAGCGGCCTGGGCTCCTCGAGCAGCGGCAGCGCCTTTGGTAGTGGTAAGCGCAGTGGCTTCAATACACCCGTACATCCGGGCAGTACACCCAAGAGCAATGAACAGCGACCGGCGGATCTCAGCCAGATATTGGGCACAAGTGATCTGCAGCTGGGCAGCTTGGGCAGTGAACAGGAGTCGCTGCAGCAGACAACGAGCAGCAGTCTGGTTGGTAACGAGCAAATCTCACTGCTCGAATTTGCCCAGGCAGTGCTCAAGCAGATTTGCGCCCAGGAGCATGTCCTGGAGCGGTGCTTGAAGAATGCGGAGCAGCTGTGCGACATGATCATCGATGAGATGCTAACGGCCAAGCAGGCGCAGCGTGTGCTGCACATGATCTGCTATCCGGAGGCGGAGTTCAATATTATTTCCGAGCTGGATCAGCGTTCGATGATAGTGCGCATATTGGAGCATCTGGATCAGTGGACCTTGCGCATTTCCTGGCTGGATTTGCAGCTCATGTATCGCCAGTCGCTCAGCAATAATACATCGCTGAGCAACAATACGGAGCTCAATGTTTGGCTGGATACGGTGGCACGAGCGGCCATCGATGTGTTTCACATGGAGGAGGTGACGCTGCCGGGTGCACTGAAGGCCACCCATAAGCCCAAACCCTCCACATGGCTAGTGGCGCCACTCATTGCGAAACTAACTCCCGCGGTTCAGGGACGCATCTTGCGTGTAGCCGGCCAGGTGCTCGAGAGCATGAACTACTTTTCCAAGGTGCCCAAATCGGACTGCAACAGCTCTGGCAGCGGCGATGAGCGCGAGAAGAGCAACAGTTGCCACAGCAGCAATAGCTACGGTGGCAATGGCAGTCTTACGGCTCGCAACAAAAAGATGCCGCTCAACTATCAGCCCTTCCTGGGCCTCATACTCACCTGCTTGAAGGGCCAGGACGAGTACAAAGAGAATCTGCTCGTCTCACTCTACTCCCAGCTCTCGCAGTGTCTGCAATCCTTCGCTGAGGTATTTCTGCGTGTTTGGTAATCTTTTGTTTACTGCTGCTTACTAATACTTTATTCGAATTGATAGCTGGACACCATTGGTGGCATCGATGAGCCACAGGCACGTGAGGAAATTCTGGATGCGCTGCAGTTGCGCTTCTCGCTGGTGGGCGGCATGTTTGATGCGATACAAAAGAACAGTACACCCACAACGGATTGGGCTATATTGCTTGCCCAGCTGGTTTGTCAGGGTGTTGTCGATCTGAGCTGCAATCGTGAATTGTTTACGACAGTGGTGGACATGCTGGCGACGCTGGTCCATTCCACGCTCGTCTCCGATAGTCAATCGGAGCGGGATGAGCACAAGAAGCTCTATCTCAATCTGATGAAGAAACTCAAAAAGGAAATTGGCGAAAAAAATAATGCTTCGATACGCGTCATACGGCAATTGCTGCCGCTCTACAAGCAGCCGACAGAGGTGAGTTTACCATCGCAAATAAGATCACAGATCCCTTACTGATTCATTCCCTTCCCTTCCGTTCCATTCCTTTTTCTAGGTCATAGCCTGTGAGCATGCGGGCATGGATACCAAGGGCAATAAGATTTGTGACATGGACAAGAAGCAGTTGCGCATCTCGGATAAGCAGCGCATCAGCGTCTGGGACATACTCGAGGGGCACAAGAACCCGGCTCCATTCTCTTGGGTGTGGTTCGGTGCTGTCAAACTGGAACGCAAACCGCTCACCTACGAGGAGGCGCATCGCAATCTCAAATACCACACGCACAGTTTGGTCAAGCCAAGCAGTTATTACTATGAGCCATTGCCGTTGCCGCCAGAGGACATTGAGCCAGTGCCGGAGAAGATTTGTATAGTAAGTATATACAGCTAGGCGCCTCCCGCAACAAATAAAAATATTCATCTCGTGCCTTCGCAGAAGGATGAAATGATGAAGGCCGACACGCCGTCATCGGTGGATCAATCGCCCAGCGCTGTCGTTGGTACGGGACGTGGTCGGGGCAAGGGTACCACGACGCGCAAACGCAAGCCGAAGAATCCGAAAACGCCGCCCGTGGTCAACACGCAACAGCAGCAACCTCAGTTGGCGCCGCAGCCGCAGCAGCAGCCAAATGCGCAGCAGCAACAGCAAATGCAGCAACAACAGCAGCACATGCAGCAGCAAATGCAGCCAAACCAAATGGGACAAATGCCGATGAATATGCAGGTATGCAGTAATTGAATGCTTAAACCTTAATCCTTGACTACTCTTAATATCGTTCTCTCTAAAGCAGATGAACATGCAGCAGTTTGGGCCGAATGCGATGATGCAGCAGCAGAATGCACTAATGCAACAGCAGCAGCAGCAACAACAACAGCAGCAACAGGTTCAAATGCAACAAATGGCGCCCAATCAAATGCAGCAGCAGCTTAGCGTGGGCGGCAATGGGCAGCCCAATGCACAAATGAACTTTATGCAGGGACCCGGGCCGGGTGGCCCGCAAGGCATGCCAGGACAGCAGCAGCAGCAACAACAGCAGTGGCACAATGCACCCCAGCAGCAACAGCAACCGCAGCAGTATCACAATCAATATCCGCATCAGCAGAACATGCAGAGTAAGTAATCGATCGATTCCGGTCACAAATGCAAATTGAACTAAAATTTCATTATTTCAGTGAATCGAATTGAGCGACCGCCGTTGAATACCAATTCCAAGCAGGCATTGTCACAGATGCTGCGCCAACGGCAGCCAGGTTCGTTCCAGCAGCAGCAGCAACAGCCACCAGGCGGCTTCAATCCCATGCAGCAGCAACAGCAACAAGCACAACAGCAGCAACAGGGATCGCAGCAGCAGCAAATGAATGCCCAACAATTGCGGCAGCAGCAGCAAATGAATGCCCAACAAAATCCACAGGCAGCGGCCGCTTTCAATGCCATGCAACAGCAGCCCAATGTGCAGCAGCAGCAGCAAATGAATCCTAATCAACAGATGCAACAGCAGCAGCAACAGTTCATGCGTGGCAGTTTGCGCGGCATGGCGCCTAATCAGTTGGGTGGCATGAATATGGTGGGGCAGGGCATGCCACAGAATCCAATATTGCAGCAGCAGCAGATGACTCAAGGCATGGTCGGCATGGTCAATCCAAATGCAAATCAAATGATGCAGGGAGGCGGTGCTGGCGGCAATGGCGGCGTTGGCGTAGGCGTAGGTGTTGGCGTTGGCGCTGGTGGCAATAATCCGAATATGGGCATGGGCGGCATGCCCCAGCAGGGCATGATCCAGCAGCAACAGCAGGTGCAATTTCAAAATTTCCAAAATCAACAGTATCAGCAGCAGCAGCAACAGCAGGGAATGCAGCAGCAGGGCGGCGGTGGAGGCGGAGGCGGTGTGGGCGTGGGCATGGCGCCAAATCAACAGCAACAACAGCAAGCTGGTTTAATGAGCAATTTCAATCCGCAGATGCAGCAGGCGCAACGCAACAATCCCGACTTCATGGCCGCAGCAGTCGTTGCTCAACAGCAGCAGCAACAACAGCAGCAACAGCGTGGTGTTCCTGGCGGCATGATGGCCGGCAATCGGGGACAATATATGAATCAGGCACCTAATGTAACCATGACCAACATGATGGGTCCAGGACCCGGTGGCGTTGGCGTTGGCCAAGTACCACCCTATGCACGCCAACAGTCTGCGGGTGGAGGGAAACCGGGTGTAATACCCACACAGCAACAATTCCAGCAACAACAGCAACAGCTCCGTCATCAGCAGATGATGCAAATGCAGAGTATGGCCGGCGGTGGAATGGGCGGCGGACCACAAGCCGGTGGCGGTGCAGTTGCTGGCGGCGGTGGCGGCATGGTCCAGCAGCAACAGAGCATGAATCAGCAGCAGACGCCCAATCTGGTGGCGCAGCTGCAGCGACAAATGCCCAATCAGCCGAACATGATGGGACAACAGCAACAGTATCCTCATCAGCCGCCACCCTATTAGATGAACAAAACAAAAGAAAAAAATATAGTTTATATAAGGCTTCAACTTGTGTACGAATATTTATCAATGCTATTTGCAAATAAATAATAACTTTATTTTTAAATATTTGGATTGAGGCGCGCTGCGCTGCCAACTCTCTGCAACCAGCGATAACTTTGCAATCGATAATTGTGTAATTTGCTCCAGTGCGAAACAGCTGTTCGTGGATCTGTGTGAGTATTGTAAGTGTGTCATGTGTGTGAACAAATCGCTAAACTTCCGTGCAGCTTTCGATTTAATTTTAAATAGTTCTAAGTGAAATAGTGCAATAAAATCAGTTCCTAGAAAGAATACAACACATGACCATCAGTTGTCCCACATTAAAGTAACAACTCACACAATCGCAATTAACCCACGGCAAACATTTCATTCATTGATCAGCAAATTTTTACGTCAAATATTTGGCAAAAAAAATCCAAAAACAACAAAAAACACCAAACACCCTGTGTCCACATCAGTATTGTTTGCTTTCGCTTAGCGGTTGGACGTTTTTCATTGTTAACTCCCAGAGCAAGTCATGAATGAAGCACCAGAGCACAGCAAAAAGCGTCAAAAGACGGTAAGTAATTTTCGTGCGCCACAACTGTGCGACTGCTGCACTCTTATTTGTACAAATGTGTCAAGGAAATTGAAAATTCGTGACTCGGTCACGAAAACCCAAAAGAATAGAGTGCAATATGGGCTATTTGAACAGTTGTTGACTGGAAGAAAGAAGTGAAATGTGTTCTGTTTGTGCTTAAACATTTATTTTGTTCGTTAACAGCTGCTTGTTATAATTTTATAGCAAACATTTAAGTGTGTGTTGAATAAATAGTGGCTTAATATAGAGAACACGTAATACCTATAATGATGTTTGCGATTTTTTTTGTTAGCTTAACATTCTAATCTTATCTTTAATTTGCACTATTCCACTAAGCAGTTAAAATTGAAGTCTTGTGCACAATAACAAGAATGTGGCCTCAATTAACAAAATTTTGCTTTCAACAATTAACTGTACCTAATCCACGAAGCTACGATAATGCTTATCAGACATTTTAATCACAATTTTAAAAGCGTCTAAGTACTTGATACTTGAAGTACTTGATTTCAAATAATACCACCACATGGCATTAACCTATAAGCTTTTAATTACAACCATTAGCAGTACAATTTGCACAGCTTATTAAGCAGTTTAAACATAATTTTATACGTGTCTAGATACTTGGTAATTCCAAAGAATTGCACAACATAAAATCTACAGCTTTTTAAAAATGTGGAACGTTCGTAAACATGGCTGCAACAACTTGTTGAGCCTGCAAAAAAATTAAAATAAAAAAAAACGTACGATTTTATAATAAAGTGAAAAGCTGGATATCATCCGCGATTAATCAATTCATAAAAAAAAAAAACAACAAAAGCTGTTAATCCGCCTCTGAATAAAAATTATACGAATGTAAATCAAACAGCTGGAAATTTACATATATGTATGCAAATGTAGATTTATTGTTACAAAAACTGATGGGAAAATAAAACGAAATACAAAGTCTATTTGTATGTTTATTTAATATTGTTTTCAATTTATTACTACTTTTATCTTCCTGTCTGCAACCCATTTTATGACAGTCTTTTGCTCTGTTCAGCAGTTATGGCCAATAGCTGAAAGTTATGGCCTTTCTTATGCAAGACATGTAGTTATTAACTGGTTTTTTTTTCAGTGCTCATTACGGAACACACTCTCATGTTTTGTTGCAGCCGGTGCACAACTAGTTGAAATTGAAAAGAAAGTATGTTTGTTTTGCATGTTTTGGCCATTCTAACGAATTGTAAACAAGTTGAAATTCGAAGTACGAAATACTCGTGTCTCAGTCACACTTTAAACGCAATTCGAGCAATCTGCAGCGTTAGCTATTGTTTGTAAAAAAAAACATGGTCAACGGCCAGATTCAGTCACAAGTTGAATGACCGGCTTAGTATGTCTTTACCATCTATTGTTAAGGAATCATATTTGGACTCTTCAGTTGTACAAGCGTGTAATTTGTGTTTACATGTGTAAGACAAACATTTAATGTTCTTTTGTTTGTTATTTTTACCTGCTAAACAGCCAAGTTAATACATCTATTTCAACAACAATTATTGTATTGTTTTCATTTTTTAATTTCAATGCTTTGTACATCTTCACTCTTGTTTTATAGCTTCATGCAATTTGTTTTTTAATTACGCTCTTCAAGTGACTCAACAAGATGATTTACACAATCCACATAAGCAGTATACAAAAACTGAGTATTTGTTTTTATCTCAGAGCTGTGCACATGAAATTTACGTGATCTTGAAGTATTTTTCCGCAACTCATTTTTCTTTTGAGATGTGCATGTACTAATGGTGTTTTTACTATGATACCTGTTACGTATATAATAATTAACTATCAAACTAACTTGGCCTATACCCTATAGTCGAAGTTGAGCAATTCATACACTTTGAGGCATATTTATCGCTTGATTTGAGCCAAATTACTCAAATAAAAGTTGCAAAGTCGCTTTCATACTGTTTGTAATCAAATCTGGTTTTTATTATGATGTTTTCGGATAAGATTCTATAATTTTAACAAGCTTTTTTACTTATCACCATCTGAGCATCAAGTGATTACCACATCCGCGCCAGCTTGACCACTCATTCACATCGAGATTTTGGTCCCAGCTGCATTTAACGAACGAGTGTCCAACAAATATCAGTTGCAGTTTTGAGCTTCGTCGAGAAAGTTCAGCGCGTCTTGTTTATTTATTTACCACACGGTTGGTTCCGGCCACAAGGCAGACCCCTCAACAACAACAACAAAAACTCTCACTTGTTTAATTATCAGAGTCTCGTTGTTATTTAGTGTCTGGTGAGGTGTAGTGCGCTTTCTATTTGTGCGATATTTGCTTAAGACATTTTCAGAAAATGTTCACAAAACGCAGGAATTTGCTGAACAACATTTACAACAACAATAACAATAGCAATAGCAAATGCTGTTTGTTAAATCATGAAAAGTGCAGCGATTCGGTAAGTTTCGTACAACTGCAACTTATACATATAAACAATTTCAAATCGTGCCGATTTTCAATTTAAAGTGCTGACCATGGCACTGATCTTTTGAAATTCCTCTACAAGACTTTTAAACAATAAGTTTCTGGAATTCTCAGAACTACCTTGAATACATTTTCGTAGTTTGTTTAGATTCTCGAATACTAACACGTAAGTTTGTTATTTTAGTATTTCATATTATCAAAATTTGAGAAATTAGTTTTGCATTGCATTTGTATGCCCTAAGAATGGAAAGAGAAAAAAAATTTGGATAACTAAAATAATTTATATTTCTTATTTTGTTATATTAAACAAAAATACTTTATTGTGAAACTGCTACTTTAAACACTCTTATTTTTGTATGCAAAAATTCTTTCTTCTTTCTCACACAAATATTGCCATTAGTTTGCTGGCAAATACTTAAAACAAAGTGTTTCTTATTATAACCTTGAAGAGGGAGTATTCGAATTTTGTAGTGACGTGTGTACGAATTGAAGCAGACGTCGCCGATCCCATAATGCATTCCTAATTTCTTATTAAAAACAAAAAAGCATAATACAAATTGGAACTGCTGGTTAATATTTTAATTTCAGCAAATTATCTGCGATCTTTGTGGTTTATATATTCTTTCGCTTTAAAAACGTAAACAAAACAGACACAAAAAACGCACACTTTTTCATAATAACAATTACAAAGACAGATATGCCATACAATGGCTCGAAAGATAGATAGAAAACGATCTTAAAACCAGATGGAACACAGCTAAAGCCACAAGAGCGTGAAGCTTGGCTCTCTCAGCGTCTCTCTCTTTCTTTGTTTCGCTTTTAGTAATGCGGCCCGCAATATAATACGGTAAATATTATTGAAACTTTCCAGTTCGCTTTCAACGCTCGTTGCGTACGTCTATTTCGGCAAAATCAACTCGCTGCCCATTCAATTCTATCCGTGGCGTATCCAGTATTTCATTCTTACACTCCACGCGCAGCCTGCAACACATCGAAACGTGCCAAAGTGCAATTAAATAATATAATTAATTCAAAGCTAGAGAAGATAACAGAAAGACCATGCCCAACCCGCCCATTGGCTACTTTTCCCACATCAAAAGAAGGGTATGGCATCCAGTACAACTTCAAGCATGGAATTTTGCGCATGCGTATTCTCTCTAGAAACTTTAAACTCGAATAATATTTGTTTGAAGTTGAGTGTTAAGTGTATCTTGACCCAGAAACGATCTACAATTGAATGCTGATATAGAAACTAGACTGTTACTATTTACCCAGTGTGAATTATTTCAATAAACTACATTTTATTGCGCAAAAATGTTTGCCGATCTTTTGATAAGATTACTTTTGATTCTTCGGTTTGTTATTTTACTTTAATAGTTTGGCGTATAGCGTAGAGAGATCCCGATTTATTTAGCTGTGTAACAAACTAGAATATAATCTACATTTGACTAATTACAGTTGCTAAAAATAAATGTTTATTAACTTGATTATTTTAGCAAGCATGCTAACACTACAATCAAATAACATATGTCTTATGGCCTTTGTCTTATGTTTTGTTTGCCGTTTCCTCAATTTTCTCTTCTACGGTTTGCGATGATCCTATGTTTCTCTCCCTCTCTCTGTCGCTCTCTATTGAATACAATATTATGTATATGGTATCATTATCACATATTATTCCCTCTGCGCAGGGCCATTTGCGATTTTTCACACAGAGTAGAGTTGGCGTCGACACGCCGTCGTCTAAGGGGTCAACAAACTGTGCAGATGCTGCCTTAGGGTCAAAAGCGACGGACCAAAAGCACAGGCCAACCTCAGGCGGCATGAATATTAATTTATGATAATTTTGCCAGCAGCTATATATTTATACTATATATGTGCATAAATCTCGTTTCGTCTTTTACAGTGCCTCCAAGTGGCCACGAATGTGACCGAACAGAAGCATCATGTCACACGGGAGACGCGTGGCAAGAATCTGGGCCTGTGCCGCGGCTTTAGAGGCTGCACCGTCTGGCTAACAGGTAAGTAAATTCCACATGTCTTTAATTCGAGAAAGAAAAGAATTATTGGCAGAGCGAAATAAAGAAGAAAGGTAGAATGAAATTAAATCATCGACAGAAATAGATTAGAATATGAACAGGATGTACATTGAAATGAGTTGAGAAATTCTTAAGAAAAAGAGCAAATAAAACCCGAGGCTAAAAAGAAGAAATGTAATCTAAATAATGAACGTCTGTTCTTTGCTAATTAAAGTTTATTTGTTAATAATGGAATTCTTTTCTCTTGCAGGTCTCAGTGGTGCTGGCAAAACATCGATTGCATTTGAGTTGGAGGCGTATCTGGTGTCCAGAGGTATACCTGCATATGGTTTGGATGGCGACAACATACGCACTGGCCTGAATAAGAATCTCGGCTTTACGCCCGCCGATCGTGAGGAGAACATTAGGCGGGTGGGCGAGGTGGCCAAATTGTTTGCGGACAGCGGTGTCGTCTCCATCTGCAGCTTTGTGTCGCCCTTTGCCGATGACCGCGAAATGGCGCGCAAGATACACAAGGATGCTGGCTTGCAGTTCTACGAGATCTTTGTGGACACACCGCTGGATGTGTGCGAGACGCGGGATGTGAAGGGACTGTACAAGAAGGCTCGCGAGGGCGTCATCAAGGGCTTCACGGGCATTACGCAGGAGTATGAGCGTCCGCAGCATCCGGAGCTGGTGGTCAGCACCGCTGGCTGTACAGTGCGTGAGTCGACGCAAAATTTGGTGACGCTGCTGGAGCAGGAGGGCATCATTCCGCGCTCACTCCGCGATGTCGATCTGCTGCCGGAGCTGTATCCTAGCGAGGCTAGCGAGGCGCAGGCACTGCGCCAGGAGGCCGCATCGCTGCCAACGCTGTCCATCAGCACTGTGGAGCTGCAATGGGTGCAGGTGCTCTCCGAGGGTTGGGCGTATCCACTGCGCGGCTTTATGCGCGAGGATGAGTATCTGCAGACGCTGCACTTTAATACGCTGCAGAGTGGCCTGGATGTTTCCTATCGCGAGAATCACTCCGTGCCCATTGTACTGAGCGCCACAGAGGCGGACAAGCAGCGGCTGGATGGTGTTGCCGCATTAACGCTCCACCATGAGGGTCAAGCAGTGGCCATACTACGTCGTCCTGAGTTCTATTACCAGCGCAAGGAAGAGCGTCTAGCACGCCAGTTTGGCACCAGCAATCCCAATCATCCATACAGCAAAATGGTCTACGAATCCGGCGACTATCTGGTTGGGGGCGAACTGTCCGTCATAGAGCGAATTCGCTGGAAGGATGGCCTCGATCAGTATCGGCTGACGCCCAATGAGCTGCGCTGCAGATTCAAGGAGCTCAATGCGGATGCCATTTTCGCCTTTCAGCTGCGTAATCCAATCCACAATGGACATGCACTGCTGATGCAGGACACCAAGCGGCAGCTGTTGGAGCGCGGCTTTAAGCAGCCAGTGCTACTGCTGCATCCATTGGGCGGCTGGACCAAAGACGATGATGTGCCGTTACAGACACGCATGGCCCAGCACCAGGCTGTTCTCGATTCAGGCGTGCTGCGGCGCGAGGACACCGTTCTCGCCATATTCCCATCGCCGATGATGTACGCCGGACCCACAGAGGTGCAGTGGCATGCCAAGGCGCGCATGAATGCGGGCGCCAACTTTTACATTGTGGGTCGAGATCCCGCCGGCATGCCACATCCGGACAAGCAGGCATATCCCGATGGCAATCTCTACGATGCCACTCACGGTGCACGTGTGCTGAAAATGGCCCAAGGACTGGACAGCATGGAGGTGAGTCTTTGTTGATTTAGCATTGCCTGAAACATGCAAATATCATATTTACTTTTAGATCCTGCCTTTCCGGGTGGCGGCCTATGATAAAACTGCCAGCCGCATGGCCTTCTTTGATCCGCAACGCAAGGACGACTTTGAGTTCATTTCGGGCACAAAAATGCGCACGTTAGCTAAAACCGGCGTCAGTCCACCTAACGGTTTTATGGAGCCGCAGGCCTGGCAAATACTTGCCACCTACTATCAGAACCTGCCGCAGGCGTAACCCACATCAACTCGCTGACCAGACGCCATCCGCCAACGGACCGGTGTGCAATCCCGCACAATGACTAGTGCAATTCGCTAAGCTATATATAATATATATATATAAATATATATATATTTCGCCTATGTTTTGCTTATTTCCAAAACTTCAAACTTACATTTTCTTTTATTTTGCTCAAGTAATTTGTATGTTTGAGACGCATATCCTAAACCAGTCTCGAGTCACCTTATGTAAACCCATCCCTGTCCCTGTGTGTGGATGTGTATATGATTCCATTTCATTGTTTAACTCCCCTACAATTAATTTTATTTACTTTTAAGTTGTCCACTTCTATGTTTTTCACAAGCAAAATATTTGCTGAAACGAAATGAAATGCATTTGATTTTTAAATTGTATGCATTTAATAAATGTCTTTTTGAATTTTATATCCAATAACATTTGGACTTGCAAATGTCATTAGTTATCCTAACCCAAGGCTTGTTGTTGGTAAGTTGTTAGGTAAGTTAGCAATATTTAATGGCCCAGACCTTTTAAGCATTGCTTGCGCGGGGATTAACTGGAAAAGTGAATACATAGTAAATAATACGTTTTTACACATGGTTTATTTTATAAAATTGTATATGTTTAATAATTAATTTTACAAGTACATACATAATTAATTAATTAATATCAAATATGCATTTAGATTTAGTTATCAATTAATTTCACAATATGTATTTTACTGCTCTGCATTGTGTTGCTGTTGTTATTCGTATTGCATATGCGTATATCATCCATCTATCATACTTTGCTCTACTCACGCAAATTTTAATTATCTTCAAGTAGCTCATTAGATATCAACGGTTTGTTTATTGAAAACGCCCAGTGGTATGTTTGTTATGTTATAAAGCACCCGCAACTACTAATTAGAACTTGCGATAACTAAGTGAACCGATATTGACTTGTGCGTCTCGAATCTAGATTTCGTATCGAACTGAATAAAGGGGGGGCTGGCTGACAGGCCTCGTACGGGTTTCATGGTCAAATGAAATATAGATTAAATTACAAATTCATAAATGATTATACGTGAAGGGCAAACCAAATAATGTAATTGTTATACGCATGTATATAATTAAGATTCTAATTTATTGATTTGTCATTTTTTTTTGTTTTCATAAATTGTGAACAACCATAGCTGGTATTTTTCGTGCTACAGCAAATTTATAAATAATACATTACAAATGAAGAACTCTATAACGGACTGGAGCGCAGGGCGGGGCGGGCAGGGCGGGGCGGGCTGTATTGTTTGGTTTGATTTTCAGTTTACGCTACTCACAATTCTGTTGTATGTTACTTTTGTTTAAACATTAAATGAATATTGTTTATAAATATATATGTATATGCATATTTCGTACACCTTGTGGTCGTCTTGTGTCTCGAATGCAAATCCAAAATAATTGCTGTACTGTTATTATTATTATTATTATTTTGTATTATTAATTCATGAACTCGCATATTCAGGGGAGTTGTTTGCTCTCTTAGTTTGTTGGAACTTAACAGGAGTTAAGAAAACTACTACCACATACATTATCAGAATTATTATTACCACCATGCCGCATCAGTGCCACACGCACATTGCCACGTCAAAGCAGACTGCATCTGGACAGCCAACTGTCCTTTGTTCGAATCTCGGTAAGTTTCAGCTGATGACCGCCCTTGGGTGGATTATTCGCCTCCTGCATAAACAAAATAGAGTCAATTGCTTACACTTGAACAAATTAAGCATAATTTCCATCCACTTCACATACCATACGCTTTTCCGTTTTCGCTTTGATATCGCTGGCGAGCGTGAGGAAGGCCTCTTCAACATTGATGCTGGCTTTCGCGGAGGTCTCCATGAACTTAATACCATATTCGACAGCCAATTGTTCCCCGCGTTCCTTTGAAACCTGTACAATAGTTTACGATTACATACGTGCAGATCGAATCAGAGAATTTTTGAGAATATCATTACCTGTCTCTTATCGTTTAGTTCGCATTTGTTGCCCAGCAGCATTTTCTCAACATCAGCCGCGGCATTCTCTTCAATATTTCGAATCCAATTCTTAATGTTTTCAAATGATTTCTCCTGCGTTATGTCATACACCAGCATAATGCCCATGGCACCTCTGTAATATGCCGTGGTGATCGTCCGGAAACGCTCCTGACCAGCAGTGTCCCTGCGATTATTGTTTAGTTATACCTACAACATGCATATTTTTCAACTGATGACTTACCATATTTGCAATTTGATTTTCTTGTTATCCAATTCAATTGTTCTAATTTTAAAATCGATACCTGCGGATAAGAAAGACAAATAATAGAATTGAGTAAATGCCACACGTGATAAATAAATACAAATCATTTTTGGCAACAACTGGGGTCTCCAACCTGACTAGCTAGCGAGTAATCATGCGAGCGAAGAAGAGAGAGCAAAGACGACAACGGTTGAAAATACGCAATTGATTCGAAACGTTGTCGCCCGTTAAGTAAATAACCCAAATTGGAATTAGTGCAGGGAAATGTGCCAAATGTATAAATAGACAAATTGCTGAGCTCGTGACATGATGTGTGTAGGTTGTGTGTGTCTGTCTCAATGCTGCTCGCACAGCTGATAAAACCCATCTCAAACAAAAATGAGAAAGAACTTCCGCAAATGGCATACGAATTCAAAGGAATATTAATCATTAAGCCGAGTAGATTATGTCGCAGTTTTAGCATTGTGATTTTTGGCTCAATTGCTCAGCATTTATCAAGTGTTACTTCAACGAATTTTCAGCTGTCAGCCCTGTTTGAATGCATTTATTAGGCTCTTAGATTGGCCACTTTCCTTCTGCGGTTCTCTGTTGAGCTACGTCCTTGTGCACAGCCAAACAACAACAACAACAACACTAATTATGACAAATAACTTTGCAGAGAGCAAAGAAAAAGAGTATTCAAAATGAGTCACATATTTGCGTATGTGTGTGTGTGTGTATGCTGCTTCCAGCTGAGCTAAGAGACGATATTGAGAGCATGAGCATGGGCATATACGTATGTGTATGTGTATGTGTTCGATTGCTGCCCGGCGGCGTCATAATTAATTAAAAAATTTCACAGAGAAAGAGAGAGGCAGAGCGAGAAAGAGAGCGATGTTGATTACTGAGGATGACTGAATGTGGCTATGACTGATGATGTATGCACTTTGAAATGTTTGGTTCGGTGGCAGTTGTTGTTGTTGTTAGTGTTGGTGTTGTGCGTGAATGATAACGTTATATTTATAAATACATATATATTAATAATACACTCACCTATTGTAGATATAAATGTCGTGTTGAAAGCATCCTCTGAGAAACGAAACAATATGCAGGTTTTGCCAACACCAGAGTCGCCTATAAGCAACAATTTGAACAGGTAGTCGTACGTTTTGGCCATTTTGTATATATTCTGTCGTATTCGGTTGCTTCTGTATGATTAAATCACAGTTGTGCTTCCGCTTTGTGCCGGAATCTCGTTAAAGATGATGCAGTAGTACTCCTTGAACTTCTCTTTCGCCTCTCTATTTCTCCGCTTTTGGCGTTATCGTATCGTCCACGTCGATAACTGTTGGCTGGCTATACTGCTGTGTAATATGGCGGTGGTTGGTAATCAGTGGTTTTCGATTATTATTACACACTAGGCTAATGTCGGATTAATTTACTTGAACTGGCGCTACTACTGCGGGTCGGTACTCATTTGTTGGTTTGGTTTGGGTGTAGGTATGTATAAAAAATTCATAGACGTAACCACACACAGCAAACACAAACAAACACACGCAAGCACGCACAGTTTTTTTTCTTTTTTCAGCTCTGACTGACTCTGGTTTTCTTTTGTGTGTGTGTCGATTCGTTTCGAGCCCTATCGCAAAAATGGCGACGTAGTTTGAACACTTTAAGTTGCAATAGTAAATGGACGCGCGCCGTTTTGCACTTGTACTTGCTGCACTTGTAATTGTGAGGTGTTTTGTTGTTGGTTACACGTAAAAATTACGCTTAATTATTGCTTTCTAATTACGCCCGTACAATAAATGAATGGCTCTTTGCAAGTGTTGTGTAAGACTAAAGGCGAAACGATATATCGATAAGTAGTGTTAGTCAGCGCCGAGTAATAACTATTCACACAGCTGATTGTAGTAACAGAACAGCTGCTCAATTTTCTAATGACCCGATTTGACAGTATTTTTTATGTTACCAACGTGGTCACACTGACCACTCATAGTCAAATAAAAAAAAATATAAGCGAACGCGAAAGTGGCAAAGCAATGAAAGTGTGACAAGAAAACAAAGTTTATAAAAAATAAAATCAAACACAAAACTTGCTTTTGCATGTATATGACTCTGAGTCTGTGATTTAACCCTCAAGGCCCGGTAACGGCAACAAATAATATAAACAAATGTGAGAGGTGAAGTCACAAGACGACGACGCCAGCAGCACTCAAGAATTTGCCGTCGTCGACCAGGCAATTATGGGTACAAAAGAATCCAAACACGCTTGCATCAGTTATGAGGAGGCAGTCAAACGTGGTAAGTGCTAACCTTCAAATCCCACAGCAAGGCAACAAAAACGAAAATGGGTCATTCGAGTGTACAACATAAGGTTCTAGAAGAAAAACAATAATAGTATAATGCACCAACACAGGTGTAATTGCGCTTTATCGATTCTGTTGTTGTTTTCATTCTATTCCCCATGCTTTTATTGCTGGACATGGTAAATTCTTTTCATTTTCGCCTCGTTTTTTTCTTTCGGTTGTGCTTCTTGTGTGCAAATGTCGTAGGTGTTTGTGTGTGTGAATGTATGAGTATTTGCGTCGTCGTCGCGGACAGTGACGTCACAATAGAAAAACAGCAGCCGCGTTTTTTTATTCGGGGGCGGGAATATCGTTTGAGACAAAGCGAAGAAAATAGAAGACACAAGTAGTTAATGCTACTGTTTGTTGTCGTTAATCTTTCTCATCATTACAATCTAATGTGCACGCAATGACGTTGGGCTTGTAGTTTTTATTACAGTCGTATTGTTACTTTGTCTAATTTTCACTTGCTTTGCATTGGCATTCATCTCGCTGACTGTTCTTGTTGCTGTTGTTGTTGTCGCTTTATGGCCAGCCGCGAAGGCAAAGAAAACGAACGTTACTGATAAGATGCCGTTTGTATTTGTATCTGTTCCCATACTAGTCTACCCACTTGCGGGTGTCGATTGTTAACACACAAGCACACACACACGCGATGAACCGGTTGGTTTCTTATGAAAGCGTATGCAAGTCCAGTCGACACCGACCATTGTGCAACGCCATCCCCTTCTCCCCGCCTCCCTCTCCACATTTCCTCCATTCCAGCTGCACATCATAACAGACCATGCAGCAATCTGCCTCAAGAAGAAGAATGAATGCCTGCAATGAAATAACCGTTTGTCGCATGGCGTTGCTTAATAATTCTTTGCAATCGCAAAATTATTTCGCATTGCCTCTTCAAGCTCAATTTTTGATTATGAATTGGTGGCCATGTTAAACAACAACACCACACCGCACTCCTTACCGCATCTACAATTTACAAATTGGCATTTAACAATTGAATTTATTTGTCAGTTAGTTGATAACGTCTTTTTTGACGTCTAATAAGACGTTAAAGTTTAACGGATTTGTTTGTTTCTGTTTGAGGCCACAGGTTTGAACGTGTTTATAAATATGTGAAATACATTACGATTTTTAATGAAATTAAAATTAAACCTATACAAACGTATATATATATATACATTAAACAGGTGCAATTGTGATTTTTTTGTGCATATGACTCAGCAGCTCTCAAACGACAAGTTTTAACACTACTCGAATTAAGTGCGGAAAAAGTGTTTATATAGAATACTCATTCAGTGAGTCGAAACACAAAAGCAGTCCCCATTTAGAATAATCATTAAAACATGCGAATCATGTCCAATAAGAAAATCAGGAGTTTTCTCCAGACTAAAAGTAAACAACTCTTAACTTTATAGTTCTTGCAGATACAAGGTTAGTTTGAGTGGAAATGAATGCTAAACTTTGTACTTCGCTGAGATTTTTAATGATACTGAATTTTTGCAAAGATCTCTGCAGTAATGTGTATATAGACAACGTCTCAATTTGGCGGGTGTGAAACCGCAGAGCCGTAAACTGTTTTGGGTATTCCCCATGCGAGCCAAGACCTAAATAGCAAATTGTGCACATCCATTTGGGTTAAACCCAACAATTTATTTGCATACTTTATTATTTTTAATCTATATTATCTGTCCAATCAATCAACAGTTAGCGACGCCGAGCTGCGGCGCCTGAAAGATGCCTTCAAGAAGTCAGCTGGCGTGGGTCGAATCAATCTCAGTCGCAATGCATTCCAGCAGGATGTGCTGTGCGAGGGTGTGCCGCCGAAGATCACGGACATGTTGTATGTCGCCTGTGGTGGCACACAGCGCGGCATATCCTTCAAGGACCTGCTATGCGGCCTGGTGCTGATTACACGCGGCACCCAGGAGGAGAAAACCAAGTGAGTCAATACTAAATATTCAATTAATTAGACATAAAAGTGATACACTTATATTTATGTTTATCATGTTGCCCCGACAGATTTCTGTGGAACTTGTACAGCACTGATACTGGCTACATCATTAAATCGGACTATGTGCGGAATGTGAGCTTGGCGCCGTTCGAAAGCGTCTCTCTGTTTGCTCAGGGCGATCGGGTGAACTTTGAGCAGTTCCAAGACTGGATAGTCCAGCATCGCAATGCAACAGTGCTGTCCAGGTGGCTACTGGCTGATAATTGTGTCAGCCTCACCTCCGAACTGGAGACGCCCACCTTCTATCAGAGCTTGGCCGGTGTTACGCATCTTGAGGAGAAGGTCAGCAAAATATTAGCTAACAATTAACAGAAATCATAATTTATTTATACGCTTACATTGACAAACTCTTCACCAGTAGTCAGTACTTAATTTTTATGCAACAAATATATCGTTAAGCAACTTGGTTTAACTGATAATATTGAACATGAAATCATAATTTAATTCTACGATTACATTTACAATCTCATATTATCAGAAGTTGGTTTAACTTATAATATGATCGTCTATTGCAGGATATTGGCGACTTGGAGAAGGAGTTCTGGCGCTTGAAGAACACCTCACAGAACGGCCAAATCGACTTACAATTTCTGGGGCCGCTCATTAGTCCACCCATACCAAAGAATGCGCTGGCCGGTCTCTTCAATGCCTTCGACGAGAACCGTGACGGTCACATCGACTTCAAGGAGCTTTGCTGTGGCGTCAGCGCCGCCTGTCGCGGACCCGGCGTAGAACGGACGCGCTGTAAGCCTTCCTTGGAAAAAGCCTCAGCTATTGCCCAATAATAACCCCTCTTCTCATCTTGCATTGCAGTCTGCTTTAAGATCTTTGACGTGGATCGAGACGGGGTGCTGAGTCACGAGGAGACGCTACAGATGATCAATGTGCTGCTCTTTGTTGCCAAAGAGAATCGCGATGCGCAACAGTATAAGGATCTGACGAAGCAGCATGTAATCAGCGATCTGCTGGAGTTCGCACAGCGTAAGAGTCCCGACGGTGTGCCGAGCACCCTGACCCGGGACAATGTCTCACTGACGGCAGAGGATTTCATGCTGTGGAATGTGCAGTGTGGCCTGAGACTGATGCAGCCACTGTTGGACCTCATTTTCGAGCTGTGTCACATTGTGTTCGGACTGTGGCCGCAATGCAAGCACATGGAGTTTGACATTGTGCGCGGCTGGTTGCAGCGCGAGGAACGACGTCCGCATCGTGTTGGGCAGTTCTGGTATCTAATCTCGCGCGACTGGTGGCTGAACTGGATGCAGTATACCCAGCACACGGCACATACTTGCGACTACTGCAAGCGCACCGCCAGTCAGCGCAGCGCCGTCGACGAGGCGCTCGTTTGTGATGAGAGCTTCAACACGCACAGCCTGGAGCAACACGACAGCTATTCGCTGGGCTCGGTGTCCGGCAGCAGCGGCATCTCTGCCGGCCGGCATTGCGGCCAACAGCGTCCGAGCCCCATCGACAATAGCAATCTGATAACCCCAAATCCCTATCGCAATGTACGCACTCTCACCGGCGAGGGCGGTCATCTGAAGCGCGACACGCCCCTCGTCCAGAATCACGACTTTGAGCTGGTGCCCAAGTCGCTGTGGAAGGCGCTTAATCGTTGGTATGGCGACAATCTGCCGCTGCCACGTCAGGTAAGTGCTCAAGCCATACTAATTGGTATCTCTTTATGATTCAATCTTCACATTTTGCTTAACAGGTTATCCAGCCACCCAACTCGGAGGTGGAACTGGAGCTGTATCCGCTAAATCTGCGCATACTGCTGCATCAGCTGCAGACTGCCTCGACTGGCAGTGGCGCCGCCAGCACCCAAATCACCAGCTGGGGCTCAACGGTCAGCGCCGGCTACGGCGTTCTGGCATCGGGCGGTGGCTATGCGGCCATTGCGGCGAGCAGTGTTCTACAGGCGCCCAAGCGTTATCTGGCCTACACGGCTGCGTTCAGTCGGCTGGCCACGGTGCGTCAGGTGGGAGAGTTTCTGTGCGACCAGTTGCGCCTGAAACCCGAGGATATACGACTGTGGCATGTGCCGCCGTCGAGCGCAACGCTAGATAATAGTGCCATACTGTTGGAGGAGGACACCATGTGCCTTAAGGAGCTGTTGATACGCGACAACGATCAGCTGCTGCTCGAGATACGCAACAAGGATCTGACGTGGCCAGAGGAGCTCAGCTCGCTTGCCAGCACGCAAAGTGGCCAAGCGGGTGTCGCTTGTCCTGGCGATCGGCGTCGCATGACGCGCACCTCCATCATGTCGGTGCATGCGCCAGGAGCCACTGGTCTGCATAATTTGGGCAATACTTGTTTCATGAATGCGGCACTACAAGTGCTGTTCAACACACAGCCGCTGGCGCAATACTTTCACCGTCAGATGCATCGCTTCGAGTTGAATGCGGCTAATAAGCTGGGAACGCGTGGCCAGCTGGCCATGCGCTATTCGGAGCTACTCAAGGAGGTGTGGACGGCCACGACACGTTCTGTGGCGCCGCTAAAACTGCGCTTCTGCGTCAATAAACATGCCCCACAGTTTTCTGGCGGTGGCCAGCACGACTCGCAGGAGCTGCTCGAGTGGCTGCTCGACGCGCTGCACGAGGACCTCAATCGGGTAATGGAGAAGCCGTACAGCGAACTCAAGGACTCCAATGGACGGCCCGACAAGATTGTTGCCGCCGAGGCCTGGTCACAGCATCATGCACGCAATCAATCGATTATCATAGATCTGTTCTATGGCCAGCTTAAGTCAAAGGTCAGCTGCCTCTCCTGTGGACACGAATCGGTGCGTTTCGATCCATTCAGTTTGCTCAGCTTACCACTACCTGTGGAGAACTATGTGTATCTGGAGGTGCTGGGTAAGTCAACCAATGCAACTCAACTCTCATGAAATGCGCTTCATTCCTCTCAATCTTCGTAGTAATTCTACTGGACGGCAGTGTGCCAATCAAGTACGGCCTGCGTTTGAACTCTGAATGCAAGTACGCGGATCTGAAGCATAAGCTGGCCACGCTGTGTCCGCTGCAGCCGAGTCTGATGCTCGTCTGTGAGCTGTGGAATTCACAGATACGACAGGTGCTCGCCGACGAGGATAAGCTGCGAACGCAGAGCGCCAAGGAGCTGTATGTGTATCAGCTGCCTGAACAAACCAGTGCCAGGACGCGCTCAAATTCAGCGCTCAGCATGCACATCGAGCAGGGACTCAAGGACATACAGCGCAGCTCTGGTAAGTGCTTACGTTTCTCAATCGAATTCCCTATGCTAACATTGAATTGATTTTTCAGCGCTGATCACCACACAGGATTCGCTGTCATCGCTTAGCACGCTGCCGACCTCAAATCAAACTACTGCGTCGCGCGTCATCTGCAATGGCCATGTCGTCACTGATGGCCAGGAGTTGGCAATCGATGCTGACCATGAGATATCCAAATACAGCAGCAACAACAATAGCAACAGCAACCGGAACAATAACAGCTCCAGTCAAGTGCACGAGCTGCAGCCAGATGATGCCGGAAAGGTAAGCCGGTGCTTTGGAAAGAGAGAGTGCATGCCCCACAGTCTTTTTTGCTTCAAGGTATGGCTTCTAAACTATATTAACATACACGTATTTAATATGTTAGATTCATGTTGCCTCGCAAAAGGTCGCAAACAAAATGATTTTGAATTAAAATCCCATTGCCTAGGATAAACTCTCTCGCTCCAGCGACGACCCCGTTTCAAAACGAAGAATAATCAAGAATTTCGAATCCGCGCTTCAGCGTTTCAGCGTAACTGGCAAATTATTGATCTTTTTTTTTCTTCTTTTATTGACCACTCCGTCTTTTCTCGCAATGTTGCAGAATCAGAATCGAAATCTATATATTAAATACCGATATGTTAAATGAACAGTTGCCGTTTCTGTTTCTGTTTGGTTTGTGGGCTACCTTAGCTAATGTACACCCCACCCGATCTTAACTTCTAATTGTTCTTTGATTTCGTATTCGCACCTATTCAAATATATATATATATTAGTCTAAATCTCTCCCGTATCTTGTAATTTATTGTTATATTTCTATGCTCCTCTTAATACTAATACACACATTTAATTTGTTGCTGGCCTTACAAATAATAAGTATTGTACATTGTACATTTTTTGCTTTAAACAATTCTCAACATTAGACTCACCATTTAGCTCCTATCGTTACCGTTGCTATCATTGCGTAAGCAAAAATTTATAATTTAATTGTACCGTTTTTTGTACATTTTCTCTCGACTAGCCCGCTAGACAATTTCATTGTAGCTTTTCAATTGTACGCCAGGGTGATTCATTAGTCACAAAAATCAAAACAAAAAAAAACCATTATTAATAGCTTAATTGCTCTTTGCAAATAATTATTTAAAACACTCGTAAGTCACTTGCTTTTTTCAAAATGAAGATTTTTTTATACACCCTACTCAATTATAGTTTTCATTTTACATTCAAGTTTGCCGAACTTCAATATTAAATATTTTACAAGAATCGTATATGCGATTGAAATTAACTTCAATCAATTTTAGATACTTTATTCATGTTAGTTAATAGTTAATGAACTTTGCTGATATTCATAGAGCCACATTTGATTCTCATAAATATATAATAAATAAATAGTTTTTTAAAATATCAACTTTTTAGTTGAAGCTTACAGACTTATTTTGACATGGCCGTTTGTCGTTTGTCTTGAATCACCCTCTGTTGTACATATTGCAAATACTCTTCCACTCATTTACCCCCATTTAACAATATTACAAATTTTAATATGCGCTCCTAAATACTGGTATATATTTATACAGCTAATTTTGAACACGCGCAAATTGAATTATTGTACAATTTTTGTAGATGTTGAGCGTTTATCCTAGTTTATAAAAATATGTATATATACATATGCGAGTAGTAATCGTTAATTGTTTAAATTTGAAGAGCTTTAATATACACTCACCCTCTCACACACACACACACACACACTTGCACACGTACATATAAGTTACGCACAACTAATGCAAAACTTGGGTTACCTTCATTGGTACATCCGACACAGGAGTCGCTGATCCTAAGCTGCAGTCCGGAAAATAGCTTTATGCACGATCCGGTTACCCAACAGAAGCGCGTCTCATCGACCAAGCTACTCCACACGGAGAGCAACACCAGCTCGTATACGAATCACTCCGGTGAGAATTCCATGGAGAGCTCGCTGACGGAACCAATGCCGGTGGCCGAATTGGCTGCCAGTCGACATGGTAGCAACAGTGATGATGGTGCCTCCAACGAACACTCCAGTGGCATGAGCACAGCTCACACACTGGGCATCAATAGCTTTGATCGTGACGTAGATGATGATGATGACGATGCCGATGCTGATGCGGATGGCGATGAGCAGGGCGATGGCGAAGAGGAGCCGGATCAGCAAATAACCACCTCGCAGCCGGAAAGCTCGAGTGGCAATCAAACTAGCAGTGGCGTCTACTCGCGCCGCTCCTCGCAGCCCTACAAAGTGGGCAAATACCTAGTTGCAGTGCATCGCAAGATCACGCGCCACGACAGCTACTTCCTTTCGTATCACAAAACACGGCCCAGCCTGTTTGGTGTGCCCCTGCTGATACCCAACTGCGATGGCGGCACACACAAGGATTTGTACTGTGCCGTCTGGCTGCAAGTCAGCCGAGTGCTGAGTCCCCTGCCAGCCACCACCGAACAGGCAAATCATGCTGCCGACTGGTAAGTAATCACTTACTTAATATCCTCCAAATCTCTTTAAATTTGTTCTTTCGTGTAGTGATGACAGTCTGGGCTATGATTTTCCCTTCACGCTGCGCGCCGTCAAAGCGGACGGACTCACCTGCGCCATTTGTCCGTGGTCGAGTTTCTGTCGCGGCTGTGAAATACGCTGCAATAATGACTATGTGCTTCAGGGCGCCCTGCCGCCCATCAACTCAGTGGCTGGCAGTAAGTAATTCTCCCGTCAGTTGGCACAAGAGATGGCTAATAGCATATTTTTATTCGTAGGTAACACAACCACGCCCTTTACGAATGTGAAATGCCCATCGCTACCAAATCTGGAGGCCAAACGATCACCAGAGTATACCACATCGCTATCCTATACCCCGACAACAAAATATTTTGAAGACTTTACCATTGCCATCGATTGGGACCCAACCGCATTACATTTGCGTTATCAAAGCACTTTGGAGCGAGTAAGTGAACAACAACAACAACAAAAATATCGTGAATTCGCAGAATGAGATAAGAGTTTTTCTTTTATGTTCAGCTCTGGGTTGATCACGAGACGATTGCCATATGTCGGCGGGAGCAGGTGGAGCCCGTTGATCTGAATCATTGCCTGCGCGCCTTTACCTCCGAGGAGAAGTTGGAGCAGTGGTATCACTGCAGCCACTGCAAGGGCAAGAAGCCAGCTACGAAAAAGCTTCAAATATGGAAATTGCCACCGATTTTGGTAAATGTCTCATTATATTTAGCTAAGACATCTAATTAATTACTCTATCTCTACTCTGTAGATTGTCCATTTGAAGCGTTTCAATTGCGTCAACGGTAAATGGGTGAAATCACAGAAAGTGGTGCACTTCCCCTTCGACGACTTTGATCCCACACCCTATTTGGCCTCAGTGCCACAAGAGACGATACTGCGGCACAAGGAGCTGCTAGAGATGAAGAGGGATTTCATCAGCGCCAGCAACGAAGTTGTCAGCGAATTAGATGAGGTCGATGCCAGCGACAAAACAACAGCAGAAGCGGCACCACCGCCAAAAGCCGTGGATAGCGAAAAGGTACCCCCAGCAAAGGAGTCACCGCTGGTCGCTAGCAGCATGCTGCGTCAAACTAAATCGAGCAATGCAGCCAGACGACAGCGCCTCATCTCCACAAGCCTCACAAAAACACCCATTGTGGATGGGGAGTTCGAAGACTATCATCAGCATAAGCTCAAAGCGGGTGTTGACGAGTTTGATCCCAGATACAAGCTATATGCCGTGGTGGTAAGTTTTACAGATATTGAATACCTGAGCCTTTTAATGAGATCTCTCCCCCACTCTTCCACTTAGTCCCACTCCGGCATGTTGAATGGCGGTCATTACATTTCCTATGCAGCAAACACAACTGGTTCCTGGTATTGTTACAACGATAGCTCCTGTCGCGAGATATCACAAAAGCCAAACATTGATCCGAGCGCTGCCTATTTGCTATTCTACGAGCGTCAGGGTCTCGACTATGAGCCCTACTTGCCCAACATCGAGGGACGTGCGCTGCCAAATGCCACCCAACAGCTGGATGTGGACGAAACGGAGGGGGAGCTAAAGAAATTGTGCACCATATCGTAATATTGTACTTGGGTTGTTGCATACTGCAGCAGCTATGCGTGCTAAAAGCTATGATGGCTTCTTGAATCGCTTGAGCGTGTTTATTTATATATATTTAAATATATATAAATATATATTTATAAGTATGTGTGTATCTGGGCGTGCGTGCACGCGCGTATTTATGTTTATGTTGTTATTTACTATTTTAAGCTGATTTGCTGTTCTAGTTAATTAAGACTTAAGTTGCCCACAATATCTAGCTTTAGAGCGCAAACAACTTGCTTGCTTATTTTGTTGTGAGCGCAGTCACACATTGGCGTTGCAAATGTGATTTTGTTTAATGTACCATATTCCATACCACATGTACCATACAATGCTATACATACATTATTACCATTTTGTATCTATAAGTGTAATTTCAACATTAGCTCGCAAGTAATTTGTTTTGTCAGTTTATTATTAGATTATTTAATGGCATCGGATTTTTGGTGTTGATTGTGAGAAGCTTGTTTGTTACATTTGATTCTTATTATTATTATTATTTTTTTTATTAGCGCATCTTTTTTGTTGTACTTTGTCATATGTATTAGGCCGCCAGAGCCCGCTTGTAATTGTAATTATAATTATACGTACATGTGTATATGCATATACACGATATGCAATTCCATTTACTATTTGTAACTATTGTAAATAACGAGTCCGAGATCGTGCTGGAGAGATCCAAATGATGGTGGTCAGCAATTACTCGTCAAATGTTGTCGAAAAACTTGATATTAAATAGCAATATTTTTAGCAAGATGCTACCAATTTAATACCAGAATGAATTCGCACTCACTATTACGCCCACAGCATATATATATTTATAGTAAAGTACATATAGTATATATATATATATATATATATATATATATGATGAGTGCATTTGCTCTTATATTGGTTCTGAAATTAATGTTGCGCTTATCATATGACTTCAAGATGACTAATGACAATGTATTTGATATTTACAAATTAAATATAAATATATATATACATACGAGTATATACACATACAAACTTAACTAATTTATACTTAATATACATATATAATAATACAGAGAAAACAGAGAATCAAATAAATAAAAAATCTGTCGCTTACATGAAATAAAATTGTTTTCTTCTTTTCTAGTCAAATTTCGTTTTTGTAGTCATATTTCAGCAAAATTCTTATGGATCTCAAAGGCACACGCCTTTTTCAACTTGACGGAGGCAAATCTATCGATTTGCATTCAAGAACTTTCAAAAAACATGTTCACAGAAAACCCTTAAGCATCATAAAATTGGCCGTACTTTAGCAATCTGAAAAACTCTCCGGATAGCTTTTGACCCGAATGGGAAAATACATGGAAAAGTCCTCCAAACTAGCAAGATAAAAGTACTTTTTTGTATTTAAATAAATTGCATTTCAGCCTTATCCGAGCTATGAATCAAACGACTTATATTAAAAAGGACTATCAGGTGGTCATTCAAATCGTTCTAGTATTTTCTGAGCTATCTTGTGTTTTTGGTCCGTTACCATTCGATCTGCGACTACAATTTTTTCGGTGTTTTGTTCATAGATGATCCCATAACCTTGAATGCCAATTGATAGAGTTGGTCGCTGTGATCCTAACGCATCATGTTCTTGAAACTATCTACAAAAATTTGGCTGAAATGGAGCTATTTTGCTGAAGATCAATTGTCCTAACCTTTTAATCACACTAAAAGTATGCTTAAGGATTTTTGATTTTCTGGTCAGATTTCTTGATTTTCGATCAGCCTAAAAGTATTCAGTCCAATTTAAAAAGTCATATTTGCCAAACGAGTTCCTTTTGACATCCGTAAGGATCAGCGGTTGCTTACCTTTATCAGCTATAAGTGGAATAGTGGAATAAATAAAATGCAAGCCTTGGTTTTTGCAATGGAATTCAATTTATATTGTATTTGTAATCTATATTTAATAAAATTACATAGTAAGTTTTATTAAGCAATTATGTAATTTAAGTGGTATTATTAATTGGCCCGTAGGCCAGCCAAAATGTTCTATTTATAGAATGCGGCAAATATTGAATTTGTGAACGGTTATTAATTTCATTGCAAATGATTATGATAAATATTATATGCGTGTTTTGGGTATTATGCGTTTTTATATGTTGTTTACGTAGTTTAAATTCTTAGCTCAAGAGTAATTAATTTCCATGGAATTTGAATGCGATTGAGGCGCTCAGGAGCCGCCGGTGTTGTTGGCCAGCTGCCCGGGCACCGAGAACTGTGGCCGAAAGTTGGCAAAGTTGCCGGCGGGTCCGCCAGTGAATGCCGGCAATGAGGTGCCTTGAAACCCGGCCGGGAATTGAGGCATCAATTGAGCTGCAATCAAACCAAAATGACAATGTTTAAATGAAATATATATACTATATAAATCGAGTATAACCAACCTGCATTAGAAGCATTGCCAGCGGTGGCCGCCAGACGCGACAGTATGGAACGCTCGGACATTTGCAAGCGTTGCGCCACCGGCGGAATACGGGCCAAAGTGGCCGGCAGACGGGAGACATCGCTCTTCATGTCGGACAGCAGCTCCTCGAGCTGGTTGAGAACCTTGTGCAGGACAGCATTGGCCGGCTTATTGCCAGCCAACGATTCCTTGCTCAGATGCTGATGCGATTCGGCCAGGCATTCGACCTCGGCGAAGCGTGCATTTAACGACATGGCCGGATGACTGGGATCCTGGGCGAGATTCAAGAATGCCGCACGTCGCAGCTGCTCCTCAATGACCAGCGCCTGTTCGAGCAGCTTGAAGCGTCGGGCCAGAAACTTGTTCTTAATTTCCAAAAAGTTACCCTTGCCCACGTCCATTTTGAACGGCTCATTGATGATCGCAAAACGGATATCGTTCTGAATGTCCTGCCAACGGCCGTAGCCGTGTGTAACAATGCCAGCCAGCAGCCAGTAGTCGTGACGTCTATGCCAGATCTCATATTCGCGGCCAGGCACCGCTGCCTTCTCCTCGTTCAGCCACAAGGTGTGCAGCTCCGTAAATCCGCCATCGGCAATGTTAAACATAAATTTGCGCTTCAGTACCTCCAGGCTGTCCTCGACCAATTTGCCAGCAGTGCCGCCGGATACGGCTGCAGCGTTCTTCTGATCCTTGGCCGCATTAGCGCTGGCATTGGGCTTCTCCAGTTCGCCATCCTCCTTGACAATCATCACATCGTCGTCATCATCATCGATGATGTTTGTTGTTGCTGGTGTTGTTGTTGTGGTGCTTGGATTGATTGTTGGTTTCTCCTCGCTGCTGCTTGTCTTCTCCTTCTCCTTTTCCTTCTCTTTCTCTTTCTCCTTTTCCTTATCGTCGCTCGGCTCGCTCTTGGGAGGCGACTCCTCCTTGGGCTCCTCTTTTGGCTCCACTTTAGCTACCTCACTCTTGACAATCGCCTCGCTGACCTTTGCCTTTGCCTCACCATCACCACCGGCAGCAGAGTCTTCGGCCTTGTCCACCGCGCCATCGGTTGGCTTCTTGTCGGCATCCTCAGCATCGGGCTCGGATTTGGGCTCCAGCTTCTCGGACGTTGCTTTGTCTAGCGCAGCTTTGTTGTCCTCGCTCTTCTCGGATGCTGGCGCCGGACTTGGAGCTGCACTCGTCGCTGGCGTCGCACTGTTGCTGGTAGTGGCGCTCTCTGCTGGCGGTTTGCCGCCCGCAGCCGTTGCTGATGCCGCCGCTGCGGCGTCTAGTGGAACTCCCGGCTCCTGTTTGCCGACAGCAGCACGGACTGGCTCGCACGGTTTGAGTATTAGCTCGGGCATGCTGTAATAGCCATTGATGTGCTCAAACTCCTGCACCTTCTTGCGGATAAGGGACATCACACCGATGCGCGTGAGCACATGCTGTCGGGACAAACCCTCACGGGGCACTCCATCGGCAAAGGTCTCGGCATTGTCGGCACCCGGCTCGCACAGATGCCGCATGAACAGGGAGACGTACGCCTTGAAATTGCGCTCCGATTTGCCGCGCAGATCCCGCACCAGCCACTGTGAATTGAAGGCATCCTGGGGTGGCATGCCATAGCGCATGATCGCATTGAGGAAGCTCTTCCGTTGGCGGGCATTGAAGCCCAGCACCTCAATGTTGCCCCCAACACGAGCAAGGAGTGGTGGCAGGGGACGATCGTCGCGTCGCTCCAAGCGGCGCTTGGCCTTGCGTTCGCCGTTCTGCTCATCGAAGTCATCGTCGCCGCCATCCTCATCGCTGCCGCCGGAGTATTCGGAATTGTATTCGCTGCCATTGTCCTGCCAGTTGGAGTCGTCGCGTGATGTGTCTGCCGCCACGACGCCACCATCTGTGTAATTCACCTGCTTGCGCACACGTTTGCCCTTGCCGAGGGAACGACCCACATCCTCCTGGTGCTGCTCGTAGTGGTGACGCAGCAGTTTGACCCAATATGCTGGATCTGAGTTCTCGGCATCTTGCTTGATAATCTCGGTCTCCTCCTCTTCCTCCTCCTCCTTGGTGGCATAGGAGGCCACCTTGAACGAGGATAGATACTCATTGGCCCACGATTCCTTCTCCTCGATGCCGCGATTGGTGCGATCCAACAACTCTGCAACGGCCTTGTCATCATAGTGAATGGCCTCCTCTTTGTCATCCTCCTTGAAGAGATCCTCAGTGCCGAAGCGCAGAATGTCGTCCAATTCCTGTTTTGTGAAATTGGCACCTTTACCACCCATGCCGGGACGCACCACCAAATGGGTCAACATCATTTTGCGCTTGGCCACCTGCGTCACACGCTCCTCAACCGAGTTGCGTGTGACAAAGCGATAGATCATCACCTTGTTCGCCTGTCCAATACGATGGGCACGCGAGAACGCCTGTATATCATTGTGGGGATTCCAATCCGAGTCATAGATAATGACCGTATCGGCTGTGGCCAGATTGATGCCCAAGCCACCAGCTCGAGTACTGAGCAAGAAGACAAACTGTTGAGCGCCGGGCGCATTGAATCTATCGATTGCCTCCTGGCGCAATGTGCCCGTGATGCTGCCATCGATTCGCTCGTACTTGTACTGCTCACCCTCGAGGAAGTCCTCGAGTATGTCCAGCATTTTCGTCATCTGCGAAAATATGAGCACGCGATGATTCTGTGACTTCAGCTGCTTCAGCATCTTTGAGAGCAACACCAGTTTGCCGGCTGCCTTGGTTAGCGAGAGCAGCTCATAGATGCCACCCGCCGAGGTGGGTGCCTCCTCGGATGCCGAGGGGAATAGATAGGGATGGTTGCAGCACTTCTTCAGATCCATCATGATGTTGATCAGGGAACAGGAACCGCCGCCGCTCTTCGAATTGAGCGCCTCATAGTTTTTGGTCAATATGAACTTGTAGAACTTCTTCTGCATGGCCGACAACTCGACACGAACGATGAACTCCGACTTGGATGGCATATTCTTGAGCACATCCGTTTTCAGGCGACGCAGCATGTGGGGGCCGAGCATCTCGTGCAGACGCTTCACCTGCTCCTCCTTCGAAACATCGGCGAATTCGCCCTGGAACGCCTGCAGATCGTTGAACTTATCGCGACTCAAAAAGTTGAGCAAATGGAACAATTCCTCCAGATTGTTCTGCAAGGGTGTGCCAGTGAGCAGCAGCTTGTAGGCAATCGCATAGCTGTTCAGGATGCGGAAGAACTTGCTCTGGTTGCTCTTCAAGCGATGTGCCTCATCCACGACCAGCACCGCCCAATCAATGCTGCCCAGACACGGTGCATCCATGGAGATCAGCTCGTAGCTGGTGAGCAGCACATTGAACTTGTATTGAGTTGTTCGCAAGCGGGAGACTTTGGTGCCTCTGATGGCGCCCTCCTCGAAGGTTAGCTCGTTCTCGCGGATCACCGCTCGGGAGTCCTTGTCGCCAATGTAGGTAATGCAATAGAAATCGGGTGCCCACAGCTCAAACTCACGCTCCCAGTTGACCAGCGTGGAGAGAGGCACAGCCACGAGGAACGGACCACGGCAATGGCCCTCCTTGTACAGCGAGTAGAGAAAGGTGACCGTCTGAATCGTCTTGCCCAGACCCATCTCATCAGCCAGTATGGTATCGATGCCCTGGCCCCAGCTGTAGCGCAACCAGTTGATGCCCTCAATCTGATAGGGATGTAACTGCATGCCCGTATCGTCGAGGAATGTCGGCTGACCCTCGTATTTCTTCTTCAGATCCGTGGTGGGTTTCTCCGGCGGCGGTGTATAATGCTTGACGGGACGATCCTCATCGTCCAGTTCAAGTTTATGCTTCGTTTTGCGTCCCTTCTTGTTCTTCTTGCTGGTGGCGGCACGCGTCTGCTCCGAGGTGCAAACAGCACGCAGATCCTGATAGTAATCGATGGCCTGACGCAGACCGGGTATATCATCGCCCTCCTCCTCCCAGGTGGACTTGTCATAGGGCAGCTCGCGCCACTTCACCAGATACATGGTGCTGCCATCGCGTGCCGTCCGATGATTGATCACACGCTGCACGATCAGCCATTCGGGCTTGACGCCATTCTTGTAGAAGCGCTCCTCGAGAGCGGCCTCATCGTCATCATCGTTGCCCTTCATGCCCACCTTGTCCTTGTGGCGCTGAATGCGCTTGAAACGGGTATCGGCCTCGTCCAGGGACTCCTCGAATTTCGGTGGCTCCTCCATATCGTATTTGCGCTGAAAGGAGCGTATCATCAGCGGATGATGCACATCCAGCTGCACCTCGGAGACCCAATCGCAGTGCCAGTAGGACATGTTGTGCCACTTGATGAAATACTCGCGCACCCGATTGCCCATCTTGGCGCTCTTCGAGGTGGATGCTTCGCTGCTGTCGCGACGCTGCACCGCCCAACGCCAGGTGATGATCTTCTCGGCCTTGCCGACCAGAGGTGGGCAACTGCAGCGTGGACAGCGCCAGTCGCCATCGGGTATGGTGTCCAGCGGTGGATTCAGACAGAACGTATGGTATGCCGATGGGCAGGAGTCGCAGCAGAGCAGCTCACCCCCATCCTTGCACACACGGCAAAACTCCTGATGCTCGTCATCATCCTCCTCCTCGGCGGCGCCGCCATCGGCCTCGCAGTGGGGGCACGACCATTTACCCTCTGGCGGCTCGTCCAGTTCCGGCTCCAGGCAGACCAAATGATAGGCACGTGGACACGTGTCGCAGAGGATGATTTCGCCGCCCTGTTGGCACACCTCGCAGTAGTCCTGATGCTCGTGTTCGCCATCCTCGCCCTCTGGGAAGTTCTTTGTTTTCTTCATTTTGTTCTTCTTCTTGAACTTGTTGCCAATCTTGGTTTTGGCCTTCTTGCGCACCACTGGCGTACCGTCCTCTTGGACGCCGGCTGCGGCGGCTGTCGTCTCTGCTGGTTGTTTCTCCTTCTCTTTCTCCTTTTCCTTCTCATCGGCGCTGTCATCGGACTTCTGCAGCATGCGCTCAAACTCCAGATCAGAGTCACGCTCGGAGGCGCCACTGGCATCTGGTTCTTCGTCGGAGCTGTCGCGCTTCCGCTTGCCAAACTTGATCTTTAAGGTTGGCACCTTGGCGGCTCCTTGACGACGTCCCTTTTTGTTGCTGCTGCGTCCGCTGCGTTTGCGTCGCGGCTTCTTCTCCTCCTCCTCTTCCTCCTCGTCCTCCTCCTCCTCGTAGATATCGTCGGGCTTCTCGTTGCGCGACGAGCGCGATGAACGCGGCTCATCCGTCTCGGGCGCTGCTGCCGCTGGCTGTGCCTGTCCGCCGCCCTGCTGCTGCTGCTCCTGCTGTATGTGCGGATTGCTCTCACAGAACTCACGCCATTTGGCCGCCACCAGCATCATCAGCTTGGTTGCGGCAATTTTCGGATTCTCCTTTTGTAATATGGGTCGCACATGCTGCATGAATGCCTTGTACGTGGTCAGGCTCTGCAGATCCTCCTCACTGTACTCAATCTCCACATCGCATACGCTAAACGCCGAGCACACATCATCCACTGATGGCATTCCTATAATATAAATATAAATATGGGCTGCAAAGGAGTCAAAGTCAAAGCCGGCAACTTACCCGACGATGAAGATTCCTTCTCCTTCTGGGCCTGCTTCTCCTCTTTGCGCTTGCGTCCACGTTTCGATGAAGTGCTGGGATACTCAACTTCCTCGTCGTGCTGCACAAAGTCGCTGTCCTCCTCGCTCTCGTTCCTCTTGCGTTTCTTCTTTTTGCGTCCCTTCTCCTCGCCCTTCTTCGTCTTACGCTTCTTGCCCTTCTTCTTCTTGCGATTATCCTCTGGATCGTAGTCATCGTCCTCATCGTTCGGCAACGCCTTATGTGAATTATAGAAAGATGATCATTATATATGCTAAAACTGGGACCAAAAATGTAAATCAATCTACTCACATTGGGCTTCAATGGGGCATCAGAATCGTTAGATAGCTCCGCCACCTGAGCATTGTCCTCGACCGCTTCCTCCTCTTCTACAAGTCAGTGAAGTGAAATTAAATTAATAATCGTTTAATTGATTCTATCGCACTCATGCAAGTTCCTCATTTTTTTTTACCGTGGTTCATATTCAAGCGCAGGTCCAAAAACAAATATTTCACATACAACAAATAAATCTTATCAGAAGGAGATAAAACCGACATCTCAGTTATCTCCATCACCAACCCCATCCCTTAGCGAAAGTCCCACAAGGACAGGAAAGAATGTAAGAAAAATGATTGATTTTTTTTTCGATTCAATATTTTATTTGACTCTATTTTTCTTTGCTTTTTTTGTTAAGTTTTTTTTTCTGTTTTCTTTTTTTTGTTGTTTTGTTTGTCGCCTTATGAATTACTAGTATATAACAATATCTCATTTTTTTTAAGATTTTTAATTCTGCTGGTTTTGTCAGCGATTTTGCTCTTAAACTTAATAATAATAATAATTTTTTAATAATAATAATAATTTTCTCATGTCTCTTGATCTGGTTTACTCCTTTTTTCCTTGCGGCTTACATAATCATATTTCTTCCTTTTTTTTTTGTTTGTTTTGTTTTGCTTTGTTTTCATGTTGTTGTTTATCATTAATAAGTTTCTTTTTTGAAATTGCAGTAGATTAGTTTATGTGTGTATGTCGTGTGTGTTTGTGTGTGAGTTTTTGCTTTGTATGTGTGGTGTGTGTGGGGGGCGTGGGTGGCATTTATGCATATAAAACTAGTAAGTTGCCCATCATGTCTCCTTCTTGTTATACTTATCAAATGTCATTGTTGTATATAGGTATATATAGATTTTTTTTCATTTTGTTGTTTTGTATATAAATTGTATATATCATTTTGTTGTTGGTAATTGCTATAAACGCTTGATTTTTTGCAACTTGATCTCATTGTTTCGTTTGATTTTCCCTTTTTTGTTTCCATTCGTTTGTTTTTTGTTTTGTTTTGCTCCTACTACTTAAATATGGTATATAAAAAATATTGCAACGAAATAGCTACATAACAAAAAAATTTGTTTTCTTTGTTGATTCCATTCATACAATTCTTATTTGTTTTGTTCTTTGACACTAGAGTGTGTTTCAGCAAACTATTTTTTTTTTTATAATTTCTCAAGCAAAATATTTGACTTGATATATATTTAATATTTGTTGTCTCCCCTTACATATACACATATAAATTTTAAGGAAGCGTCTGTAACGTGCTTTGAGTTGTCGTTGTTTTTAAAAACTAGAAACAGCTTTTCGGGGGCCGCATAGCTCTGATACAACCGCACAGTTCATGTCTATAACTCATTTTTTGCATAGTATTAATTTTTATTTTTCTCTTTCTTTTTTGATTTTTGAGCAAAAATTTGTCTAACGAGGCAAACGAAATAATAAATATTCAATTTTTCTCTTTGCAAATGGTATTTTAGTCGTTGTTGGCAAATAAGGAAAACAAACGAAAAATAAAAAACAAATTGAAACACAAAAATTATCTTTTCCATATAACAAAAAATTAACTAATAGAAAAGTATATGCTAAAATTTCAAATTTTTCTAAACAAGTCGCTATTATGATTAAAAAAAAAGAAAAACAACAAAATTAACAAGCCGTTTTAAATGATCAGTCTATTGTTAAAGAGGCACGCCCGCATGCAACACCACAAGAAGAGGAAGGAGAATATAAAAATGTGTGCTGTTAATGTAAGTGTGTCTGTGTGTGTAATAGTAATGTATGTGGTAGTTGTAGTTGTAGTTATTGTAGTAGTAGTAGTAATGTATTTTGGCCAGCTGCACAGGCACAAAAGCTAACGCAGCAACACACAAAACAAATTGCTTTCGGCCCACTGTGCGCGCTTAAAATCATATGTGATTAATTCTGTGTTATTCTTGTCCATATGTATCAGAGTGCATCAGATGGTGCATGATTTGGGGGAGGCGGGGCGGGGAGAGGAGTAGTTGATGCTTATAATCATGTATGTACATAAAACAAGAACCAAATGCGAATGCGATTGCGATTGTGTGTGTGTGTTTGTGTTATGTAACAAATTGAGGATTGCAAATAATAAAGAAACAGAACATTTTAAAATGGAAAAAGGGAGTTTTCTAAAAACATATATATAGATATATATATATATATATAAGTATGTACACATATGTTTTAAAGTTGGCTTCATAATCATAATTATTACTACACTCAAAATGTAAAAAAAAAAAACAAACGAAAAAAAACCAAAATAAAACTTGTTACATTCTTTGCACGCATTTGTCGCAAGTTAAATTTTGTTTTTTGTTTTTTTTTTTGTAGTGTATTGTTGTTGATATTGTTATTAACAAAATATATGCGTGTTTTTACTTTTGCTTTTTACGCCACTTTTTGCAACGTTTTTTTTTTTAAATTTTCTTCTTGTTTTTTTTTTTTGATTTGTGTTTAACTTGTTTGTTAACATAACTTCAACATTTTTTTGTTTGTTTTATTTTTATAAAGTATTCTATTTCTCTCTTCTTAGTACAAATTTCTCCAGAACGCGTTGTTGGTGTTGCTTGTTGCTGTTGTTGCTGTATTTTTTTGTTGTTTACTCTAAAGTTTCGTAATATATATATTTATATATATATATATATATTTCTATATATAGTTATGTATAATAGTTTCTTTTTTTGCCTTTTTACATTGTTTGCAACTGCATTGCATTGGTGCATAGCTGCTTGGTGTTTGTGTCGACGTTGTTGCTGTTGTTGTTGTTGTCGTGTTATCAAGAAGTAGCTCTTTGTAGTTGTTGCCGATTGATTCATTCATTGTGTTGTTGTGTTTCAGTGTTTCAGTAGCGTTCGTCATCGTCAGTATTGGGGTTGGAATCATCGCAACCCTCTTCATCATCATCATCGTCATCATCATTGGAATCTGAGCTGCCCGAACTATCATCCGAGTCGCTCTCGTGGCTGCCATGATTGTTGTTGTTGTTGTTATCATTATTATTATTGATGTTGTAATGGTGGCGCTGTTGTTGCTGCTCTTGCTGCTGTATCGTTTCAACAGAATGATGTTGCTCTTGCTGAATATGCTGCTGATGATGTTGCTGATGCTGCAAGTTGTTGTTGCTGTTGTTTTCCGTAAAACGCGCTGCTGCTGCCGCTGATGTTGCTGTTGTCTCTGGTATTGCTGATGATGTTGCTGATGTTGCACTCATCAAAGTCTTGTCATAGTCCACCACCAGCTGCTTAATGTGCGCCAACTTCGCATGCAAATAATCGAATCGCAACTTATCCTCATGGATTCTCCGATCGCTATTGATGCGCTGATATTCGCTGACAATTTGACGCTTGATCTCATCGTAATCACCGCCACCTTTTCTGGCGTCCTCCAAACGCTTGGAGAGATCCTGGAAACGTTTGCTGACCCCCTCAACGCTGGTGACCAGCTTGCTGTACTCATCGTAATCGCTCTCGAATTCAGTCTTGTACCGTCTGCGCACCTCCAGCGTGCGAATCGGCGCATAATTGCTGAAGTCATACCGTGGTGCAGCATTCACATCCGCATCCGCTGTTGCAGCTGCATATGCATGTGCCGCCGCTGCCAGTTGCTGTGTGGGCGATGGATGTATGGCGGCATTTGTATTAACCGATTGATTATTATTGCTGATTGCTGCTGCTGATGATGATGATGACGATGATGTTGTCGCCGATATTGTTGTTGTTATTGCAGAATCACGATCGCGACGCCTTTGCTGCTGCTGTTGCTGCTGATGATGTTGTTTTGTTTGCTGCTGATGCTGTTGCTGCTGCTGGTGTGGCGCTGGCAACTGTTGATGCTGCTGATAGACGCTGCTGCTGCTGCTGCTGTTGTTCTTGCTGTTGCTGCTGCGCTGACGTTGACCATTGCTATTGCTATTGCTACTGCTGCTGTTGTTGCTGCTGCTACTCGTACGCTTTTTACTGTTGGACGCGGCATGCGTATTGTTGTTGTATGAATTGTACTCGTCGTGCGCATTATTGTTGCTGCTCAGACTGCTGCGTTGATGTTGTTGCTGCTGCTGCTGGTGTTGCGTCGCTGCTGCCGGCGCCGATTGGCGAACAAAGCTTGCTGCCAATTTTGGTGGCGTCGTTGAGGATTTGCGACTTTGCGTGGCAGATTGGCGACTACTGTTGCTGTTGCGCTCCTGTTGCACCGTCGTCGTCGACGTTGTTGTCGTCTCAAAGACACTGCAGCTGCTCGAATTGCTGCCGGTGGAGTTGCGCTTATCGGTGCCGCTGCTCTGCTTCGATGAGGAACTGCTGCCACGTCGACTGCTACTGCTGCTGCTGCTGCGGTGTTGGTGGTCTGCAGTTGATGCTGCAGCTGCTGCTGTCATGCTCCTAAATTCATCCATGTTGTCCAACACACTGTAGGTCAAATCGTTGCTGATCTGCTCATCCAGCTGCGGCGGCTGTCGCTGCGGCGGCGTATAAGCAGTAGTCCGACTCCGAAACGAGGACGAAACGTTGCTGTTGTTGTTGCCGGATGATGATGATGTACTATTATATTGTGGTCCTCCTCCTCCGCTTCCTCCACCACCTCCGCCGCCGCCGCTGCTGCTGATGCTGCCACCCGTCTCCCTGTTGTAATGACTGATGCGCTGCTTTTTGGGATGCACGGAACTAAACATCTCGTCGTACTCGATGCTGCTACGCTTGAGACTGCCACTGCCACCGCCAATGCCGCCGTGATTGGACAACGATTGCTGTCCCCCGCCTCCACCCATCATCATGCTGGGTGGCAATTGCAGCAACGGAGGCGGACTACCCGTATGGGTTGAGGTTGGACTTTGGCCTGATGTGGAGCTGCCCGCATCGGAGCTCATCGGCGGCGTCAGATTCTGTGGTTTGCGACGTTTCAGCTGCTGCAGCTCCTGTTCGCTAAAGAATGGCCAGTTCTCATCGACATCGTTCCACATCTGATGCCGCAAATTATACGTATTGTGAGACATGGTGCTAATCTCAGTGAGTGTTTTGCTCATCAAATTGCGGTCGCGATCCCGGATGCCCTCGTTCTTCAGGCGCGAATACAGCTCGGGTTTCTTGAACGGTTTCAATGCCAGCAAATGGACCAAACGCTCACGCAGACTACGCCGCGATACATCCGACATTTTATTGGCATGTCCAACACCACCAACACTGCCACCACCACCACCGTTGCCGTTTCCTCCGCTTCCTCCTCCCATGGATTTGGCATTGCTGCTGTTGCGCGAGTAACTGTTACCGCCGCTATTGCCGTTGAGCATTTTATTGCGACCATTGCTGTTGCTGAACGAAGATCCAGTTGCTGCGGTTGCATGTGTACTGCTGCTCATGCTGTTGTCTCGGGGCGAGCTGCCGCTTAGCGCACCACAGCCTTGTGAGATGCCGCTGGCAAATGTGTTGGCCAACGTTGCGATTGCGCTGTTGCGCTGACCGTGACCATGATTATTATTATTGTTGCCATTGACTGTGCCGCTGGCACCCAATGTATTGGGATTGGGATTGGGTGAGCGTGAGGCGTATCCTGCTCCTGCTCCTACTCCTATTGCAGCTGCTGCTGTTGCGGCTGCTGCTGCAGCTGATGATGACGTCAGACCATTAAATGGTGATGAAACTAACTTACGACTATTGTTACTGTTAAAACTATTGCTGCTGTTACTACTGCTGTTGTTGCTATTGTTGCTGTTGCTGATGCTGTTGCTGTTGTTCCCACTGTGATGTGATGATGATGCCGAGGCTGGCTTCTTCACCTTACGCCCAATATCCGATTGATTTGGCTTGATCTCGCGTATACACTTGCTCTTCTCCGTCTCCTCGGCTCTGGCCATTTTGGTGCGTGTCGTATCGTACACATCATCATTGGCATGGACGCGCAATCGGAGCGCCAATGCACCGAGAACATCCAGTCCCTGCTCCTGCTGCTGTATGCACTCCAATGTGCCCTCCAGATCGTCAATGGTGAAGCCAAATTTACGTCCGCTCTCCATGCTGTTGTTGCCATTATTAACAGAATTATTGCTATCGCCGGCGCTGCTGGGCAGCGGGAAGTGTATGATGCCAGTGTTGCCATTGCATTGGATTTTGGGACACTGGCCGGGCGCCAAACGTTTGGCATTCTCATTTCTTTGATACTCCTCGATGGCACGGTACGCAGAGTCGGTGAGCTTGAGGAATATGTACTCCTTGTTATCATCGGTATAACGGTGGCTTTGTGACATACCATAATTGCCGGACGAGAACGAGACATTGGGCAGGCATTTTGTTGATGCAATCGAATTGCTCATAACGTGTCCGCACCCCCCCTCTCAAAATTGAATGTTGATTATGCTGCTGATGTTGCTGCCGCTGCTACTGACTGATGATGATGATGATGCTCTGGTTGCTGGATGATCACAAATGATATACGTTGCTTGGTTATTCTCAATAACTTTTAAAAATGTTTCGATTGTTGTTGGCTGCGTTGTCCTTTTCCTTGTGACGTTGCTTGGCGGATGGCAATAATTTTGGCCAGTGTTGGACAACAATAACTTAAACACTGTTTTTGTTTTTCGAGTGTTTCCTTTTTTTTTTTGTTTTGTTGCGGAAGTGGCAATGGAAGTGTATGTAACTGTAACTGGAAGTTGTTGTTTGCTGCTGGCACTGATCCTGATCCTGATCCTCCTCTCTCCTGTGACGTAGTAGAAACAGCCTGGGGCCCAAAATGGCAACTGATTTTTGATTGTTTGTTTGTTGTTTGCTAGTTTCTGTAATTTGGTTTTTCTTTAGTATGTTGTAATCGTGAATAAAATTTACGTTGTTGCTAAGACGTGAACAGAGGCAGGCATAGCAACTGCATTGCTGCTTTTACACAGAAACCACACCACACCACACACACACTCTCTCACACAGTCACACACACACATACAGATGTACTACATGTAGTACATATGTATGCATATATTTTATATATATTTCTCTTGAGAGTTTTTGAGCTGAGCTGCAAACTTGCTGCTACTGTTGTTGCTGATGCTGCTGTTGCCGTTGCCGTTGACGTTGCGTTTATTTTATTTTTCTTCAATTTTTTGGATTTGAAATGCAAGCGCACAGAAGACAAATACACACTCAACTCTTAACAAAAATTGTTGTTGTTGCTGTTTGAGAATTTCACTTCCGTATACAACACATACGTCTCATTTCTCTCTGTGTGTCTTTCTCTCTTTTTATCTCAGGTTTTCGTGTCTCGACTTTCAAAAAAAAAGTCTGGTTCATATTTGCACTCCACGTTGCTGCTGCTTGCTGCTGGCTGCTTCTGCTGATCTCTTTGTGTGCTACTCGCAAATAACACAATTTCTTTTGTTAAATAATATGGTATGTATATTTTAATTGGGTTAAGGTAGGCATGTATGCATTGCTCTCTTCTTGTTGTTATTGTTGTTGCTGATACTATTGTTGTAGTTGCTGTTGTTGCTGCTTGGACATGTTTGTGAGTGAGGCGTGCGAATGGCTGTTGTAACTTTTGCTTGCTTGAGTTTAGTTGAGTTGAGTTGAAAGTGTGACTACTCCTTCTTCTGCGCCAGGTGCTCAAAGTTACTTGTCAATGTGTGTGAGAGTAGCTGCTGCTGCTCAAAAGTCAGGCGGCGACGGCCATAAGCAAAATCAAAGACAGCACAGAGCGAGCAGCAATCAATGCTGTTCGCACACACACACACACATGCACACACACGCACACTAATATGGACACACGTCGCTTGACTGCTTTTGGTAGTGTGTGCGCGCTCGCTCGTTGGTTTTCTTCGCTCTACTCTCTCGCACTCGTCGATCGTAATGTGCTAAGGCGAGACAACTGCTGTTTTGATTGGCTTCACCACTTTTATTGTTGTTGTTGTTGCTGCTTGATCTTTTTTCTTTTCGCTTTTTGCTAAAAATCATCTGTGTTTGTACGTTGATTTTTTTTTATATACATATATATATATATTTTCTTCTCTTGGTTATTATATTTTTTGTGTGTCCACTTCTATATTAGTTGCATATATATATATATATATTATATATATATATATTTATGTATGGGTTGGTTTTTGTGCATGTGTTTGAATATCTTTTTCTTGACACACGCACACACGTTCGGAATTGTAACAGGCACAGAGTTCAAGCATTCGAAATATTGTTAATTTAATGCCCCTTTTTAACCACTTATTTTGCTGTTTTTTTTTTTTTTTTTTTGCTGTCGTGTGCGTGATTGTGCACATGTACATGCACACACATACGTAGGGGTGTGTGTGTATTTTGGGTTTTTACGCCAACACTTTTACTCAAGACATTGCTGCGTTATTTTCACTAGAGCAGAGAATTCGCAAATTGAATGTATTATTTATGATTTTTACGCGTACAAAATTGCATTTTATTTCCTTTATTTCCACATGAATTTTGCTCGGCTCGTGTCTGTCTGGGTGTGTGTATGTCTGTGTGTCCACACCAAGGTATCTTAATCAACGTACAAAAGGTATCTGCTAAATGAAATCGAAACGAGTTGCTTTCAAGTGGTTGCCGTCGTTCCGTTTGCTGCTGCTGCTGCTTTGCTGCTGTGCACTCGTTTATTATTACACCGCTCACCACCACCGCCCCGTGGACAATGCTAAGACACACGGAGTGAAGTCGACGTCGACGTCGACGTCAACGAGTATTGAGAGTAGATCAGCAGCAGCAGCAGTCGTTGTCGTATCTCTTACAAACACATACACACATGTGTGTTCAGTTTGGTGCTCTTTCGCTTTTCCTCTCGCACGTTCGATTGCTTCGTCGTCTTGAAACGAAAATCAGCAACCAAAAAAACAACAATAACGTCGTCTCGATGTTTCGTTTGAAATACGTACGTGCCTTGTATCACTCACTTGCTTCTACTACTGCTGCTGTTCATGTTCATATGTAGTAGTAGTAGTAGTGTAGTTATTATGGAAGTGAAGCGTAGAGCGCAAAAATGAAAACAAGTTTGCAATTTATAATGTGCGCACTTGGCACTCTGCCGCTCTGCTGCTCACTCACTCGCTCACTCAGAGTCCGTTATTCGAATTGGTAGCTCGCCTGGCTCTTCTCTCTTGCTCTGTGCATTCTGTTGTACTCTTAAGAGAGCATTCGTTCGTTACGTTTTTTGCTTCTTTCAAAAGCAATAGCAGTATTTGCTTATCTTTGAAAAATGTAGTTGTGTTTGTGTAGGTATGTGTCTATCTCAAAAAAAAAAAGCTTCTGCCCCGTTGCACGTCTTAGCAAAATACGAAAAAGAAAAAAAACAAAACTATAGCTTACTTGGTTATTGTTGTTGTTGCTGTTGTTGAATGCATACGTGTGTAATTATCGCACCACGGTTGGAAAAGCTACGCGTCACAACAATAAAATGAAAACAAAATTTTTGTACACATAATTGAAATATAAAGAGTAAGAACAAAACGCAGCACCTACTCAAGTTCTACTTACAATGCGTATGTGGTTTTGTATGGGTTGACATTTAGTTTTCAATTTGTAGTCTGACAGCCGCGCTTTATTTTTTCTTGTTCTTCTTTCAGTGAATTTTTATTGTGTTAATGTTGAAACAGCTGTTTTCGGCTGCCACCTGCCCGCTGCGCTGCTGTGTGCGTGTGTGTGTCACCTCGTCTCACACAGCCTTAGTTGTGGTTGATGATTTTGTTGCTGCTGCTGCTGCCACACTTCTCTGTTTCTCGTCGGCACCTTTCACAGCCCCGCAAACACAAACAGGAAAGAGGAGACACAATCAGCTGTGCTCGTCGCTGCTGTGTACAGCCGAACAGTGTTGTAAACTGTCCGTATATCGGCTTATCGGGCAATCGATACCAACAACTACGATTGATTTTGATGGATAAATTGGAAATCTTTTCAAATTGGACGTTTTTGTTGTTACTGATGGTTTTTCTATAAAAATAGTAGTAACCAATTAAAGTGAAAATCACTTTTATAGCTAATGAAATGTTGTTTGCGTACTTAATTGTTGTTGTAGTTGTTTAGCTTGATATTTAATTGATGAGTGTTGATTTGATAGTTGTTGCTTGTTCCTTTTGTTGTTGTGCTCCTCCTCTTGACTTCTGTGCTTTGTTAAATTTGTGTTATTTTATTTGCACTCACACTTTGAAAGAAATTAAGTTAGTATGCACTGGCTTTTTTTGCAGTGATTTTCCGCTTCCCTCTCTCGCAAACGACCGTTGCCGCTTCCGAGTGGTTACGTTTGTATGTATGTATACATTTTTTATCACTTGCGTTTGCCGATCATACGTTCTCGTTACGCGGTTCACAGCTGTTTTGTGTTTACGTCGCAGCCATTCGTTACGCGTATATTCTCTTAAGAGACTCTCTTTCCGCTAAGAGCGCGTCAAGAGTAAGTGTAAAAAGAGAACCCGACACGACCCGACGATGAACACACGAATGTCATTTTTTTCTCTGCGCGTTGTTTTTGTTGCTATTAATTTTTGTTCACTTTTGACATTTTTGCATACGAAAATTTTCCGCTTTCAGGTATATTTACCGTAGGCAGCAGAGATCTTTGCCGATGCGCTGCGCTTGCTTGTGTATGATTGAATGTAGATGTATGTGTGCATGTATGTATGAATGTTTGCATGTATAGCCGTGTTAGTATTTTAGTCGTGTGCTCGTTCGTTCGCGTCTCGTCGTGTCGTGTCGTGCCCGCTAGGTTGGCCCGTGTGGTGGGCTTATCTCCGTTTGTTTTTGCGCTAGGAATTTGAGCTAAACAACAATATATGTATATATATTTATTCATATATAAATTTATATATATGTATATATACGAATGTGTGTATGGGGGAAATGGGTTTTTACATTTGAAGAATTTACGATTATGGTCGGGAGTCGCCTCTGCAAATAGCAAAGAGCACGCACACCTGATGCTCTCTCTCTCTCTCCCTCTCTCTCTTGCGGATTTCTTGCAAACAGCAGGAAGCAAATGTCTGTCGGGCAGGTCGACCCGCCGCAGCTGTCAAAGTCATAAAATTGTAAGAAAACAACTATGTTTGTCTCTGTTTCGCATATCCGTAAACGCATACACTGCATAAGTATGTGTGTTTGTATCCGTGTGTGTGTGTTGAACAGGATGAGATTATATTTGGCCAATCCGCAAAAATTTTTAAAGCTCGTAAAAAAAAAACAGGCCCACTCAAATAAACAGTTGTGAGCCAAGGTAACAAAACTCTGAAGTTCATATTTAAAAAAAAAACCAAAAACAAAAACAAGACAATAAAAATAATAATGTTGCCCCTGGTTTGTGTGCTTATTATGAGTTCCAATAGCAACAAATTTGCAGTCAGCGTTAAACAAATTAGTTGAGAAAAAAATAAGCGACTCAAAACCTAAAAAGAAACAACAATTATAACACAACAATATCAAGTTTGAAGCGGCGGCAGCCATTTGTTAAAAAAAACGTTCGGAGGAACGACGCTTAAATAGCATTGAGAGCCCTGCTGAACGAAACGAAAGGCCAATGCACTGCGCCTGTACATGTGTGTGTGCATGTGTATTTGCATGTGTGTATGGACTTTACGCAGCCAACAACAGCTGGCCGCAGGCTTCATCGCAACAACAAAACAGGAGCAGCAACAACCACCGAAAAGAAGTAGACACACACATATATGGAGAAAACCTATGGAAAAACGTGTGAGCGTATGAAACAGCAATGGAATGCTCGAGAAAAAAGGGCACTAACAAAAATCTCACACGCTACAAAAAAAAAGAAATATAATAAAATACATATGTAAGTGCTCACACACACACACACACACACACACACAAGTGTTGGAGTTGCAGCTGACAGCTGTGCAGACAATTTTTGCTTTGTGCTACGCTTCTTTTTACTAAAAAAAAAAACTACAGAAACAAGAACAAATCCATTGATAACAATGTCAAAGCAGAAAGTGCCCTCTCTCACTTGTGAGAGAGAGACTAACGCTATGCAGGGCAATCTGTGCACCGGCAGCGTTGCCACCTTCGCAAAATCGATCGAAATTTCGTTGAATCGATAAATAGGCAATGCAACAATAAAACAAAACAACAACAGCAAAACAAATCGCATTAAAACTCATTAGCGGGTGTGTGTGTGTGTGCAAACAAAACAAATCGCTTGCAGCAACACACATATTTAAGCATATATAATAGTGGGTTTGCGTGTACTTATATTATATATAAGTACGTGCACAGCATTCCACATGTACACTTTTAAAAATGACGGCGAACAGATGTTCAAAAAAATTGATGTAGGGCTCGGGCTCGCAAGCCACAAGTCGAGTAAATAAATGCGACAAAATTTATTGTTTTTGTAGACGATAAGAGGGCGGCAATGGAGAATGCAAGTTGACGTTGCCGTCAGCCACTCGACATTAGTACATATTTTGTTACAATGTGTGTGTGTAATGAATAATCAATTGTCGCAGCAACAATAAAAGCGGCAGACGCAACGCTCGGCTTTCTGCCCTCTCCCGCTCTCTATCTCTATCTATCACTCTCACTCCAACTGAGTGTAATAATTGCCCACACGGGAATCCCAAAGTGCCATCATTGCACACGTTGTGTGTTTGTTGCATACACGCTGCATTATTTTCAATACCAACAACGGACAAACAGCATGAGCAGCGATAGCTGTGGGCAGCATATCAGATATATACAAACATCGTTGTCTATATATTATGGCAATATTTCAAATTTCGTATATTCAACACTTTTGCTATTTATAGCACAAAAACAAAACGGCAATATCATTATTATGAAATGTGACTCACACACGACACAAGCAGGCAGCAGGCATCAAAACAGTGTTGAGAACATGCTCAATTTATTTATTTTCTTATTGAGAAAGGCGTTCAACAGTGTCATCTTCAAGTATGCAACCCTGCTCGTATGTGTGTGTCTTTTTGTATGTGTGTGTGTGTGTATGTGTAGCGATAAATCCCTTAATAGTAAATATATATTGCAACGATAGCATTTCAGAATATGCATGGACTGGCAAGAATGCCCGGCTAACAGGTACTTTTAAACAACAATTAACACTTGTTGAGTAACACTTTTGTATATATAACAAATTTTCTAATATTCGATTTTGCGAAAATAACTTGATTTCATTATTACAAATCTTGGTCACATTAATTATACCCCTTTTAAATCAATTATACAAAGGGGTCCAAAGTATGATTAGAGCGATAAACATTTGTTGCAGCACAGCAATGCGATATTTTATACCAAGTTCCAAGTTCACATTAAAATGGCTTTGACAATTATTTATTATGTCTAAGCGACGTATGTTCGTGAAATTAGCAATGAATCATTTATCACAAGAGTATCATTCACTATGCTTGTATTTCCCCCAATAAAAATATTCAAGTTTTGAGAAAAGTCACTAGAATCGATATGGAACGTTCGAATTATTGATTGCTTAATGAGACAGCAAGACAGTTTCAGTGAAAAGTGATTCTCTTACTACTTAAATGAATAATAAGTGACCTTTAAATATAAATAATTAAAGTTCAAGACGTTTAATGCTCGCATAAATGACGATTATAAATCATCAGCAGTTTTTAAAAACTGATTAACTGGGAGATTCTGAATAAAAATACCCATTTACAAGTACATTTTAACCAGTTTTTTTGCCTGGGCTTTATATATTAAATTTCTATAAGCTAGCATTTATTACTCGAGTAATTTGTTAAAGCGTTAGCAAAAAATCGCTCAAGGCCAAAGCGTGTAAAGAGTAATGTTAAAAATCAAGCACAGTTCTTGTCGGGGCTTTTTTTTTATTTATTTTTCTTTGGATTTATCGAGAAAAAATCAAGCACAAAGCAAAGGCGTACAATGAACTGTGGCCCGAGTGGACTCGCAATTTTTGCCCTCTCAGCAAAAAACAGCAATAACAACAACGACAACGCGTCACCTGGAAGATCTGGCTGAGCAAGTAAGCTAACACAACAACAACAATGACAACAACAACAAATACCTCGTTCCCGAACAACAGCACACAACGTTCAATGACCGTTTTAAACAACAAAACGCGATGGTCAATTGCATAATTTTTTTTTATTTGCCTTAAAAGTTGAACGGAAATGCGTTTTTTGTAGCTTCTCTATATCTATTTATCTCTTTCAGTTCGAACGAACATTGACCGTGAATGGGTAGAAACCAAATGTGGTTTTCATTTATTTAGATTAGATTAGAAATGGGGGTTTCTGTGTTTGCTTATTTATGCGGTGGTGTGGACGGACGGACAATCTTATCTTTTCATTAGAAAACATCAAATAAATTAACTACCCAATCAAATCGCCGACAAACTAAGACCTGCAAACTTTAAATAACAGAATAACGACGAAAAACAGCACAACTAAAAGTTAAAAGTTAGTTTTTATACATTTTTAATTATTGATTGGCAATCTTCTCCAGGTTTTTTTTAAATTAAAAACATACTACAAAGGTGGAGATTCAGAAACCAGTCTTAAAATGTGTGGCTGTTTAGAACCACTTAAGGGCAAGACAAATTTCAGTCAATTAAATTCTTAGCTCAAGCAAAATACATATTTTATGTAAAACACATTTGAAGCGTTAGCTATTTTAGAATCATTTAATGGTGCTTTCGGTGGTATATTTTCGATTAATTTTAAAGCAATCTTACTATTAATAGCTTTGTCTAGCTTGGTACTTCTTTGGTCTCTAGTCTAAATTTGAAACGTAATGCAAGTTGAGAAAAATCTTAACAAATTAAATACGAAATAAACACGCTATATTAAATTTTTAAAAATAATTATGTTTTTAATACTTTTGCGTCAATGGAGACAAATTACGTTGATAACTGGTTCGTGATTATGGACTTGTTGACTTGTTTATTTCTTAATTAAAGTTCATAAAAACAAAACAAAACATATTAAAACAAAAAACAACAATAGTATTTCTCTGTGTTTCGCGTTTCGTGATGTTGGCGATGATCAATCGATCGACCCGCGCCGATATCTTCTTGTACACATACAAACAAACAAACAAACATAAATCTCATACATGTGAATGCTAATCAGCAGCAGCAACACCCAAAAATTAAAACCCGATTCAAGAAAATACGCATATATATATATATATATGTGTGTG